AATGAAAAATAGTAGGTTTTCAGAACAGAAGTTCAAAAAGGAGTGCAATGTTATGCATACAGAAAATTTAGCACTTACAATTCCATTGTGTGGGACTGGTGTGAAAGTGAGGGTCCAGTTATTATTATTATTATTATTATTATTATTATTATTATTATTATTATTATTATAACATTTCTATGCCGCCCCTTGCCGAAGCCTTGGGGCGGCTTACAACACAATAAAATACATTGAAATACAATAGAACATAATAAATTACCATTAAATACAAAAATACAAAAAATACATTGAGTTACAAACGTAATCATATAAAATTGAAATTATTAGTATAAAATAAGTAAATAAATAATATAGGAGGAGAAAAGAGAAGGAAGAAGAAGTTGCCCTGGCCAGATCATATATTTTAACAATTAAAATGATGTTTAAATAAAAAGATCTTTACCTGGCGCCGAAAAACCAGTAACGACGGTGCCAGGCGGACCTCTTTGGGGAGTGAATTCCATAGGTTGGGCGCCACCGCAGAGAAAGCCCTCCTCCGAGTACTTACTCTCCTAATTTCTTTCATGGAGGGTTCCTGGAGAAGGGACTCTCCCGCAGATCTCAAAGGGCGGTCGGGCATATACGGACGTAAGCGCTTGTTCAGGTAGCCAGCACCCAAGCCGTTTAGGGCTTTATAGGACATAATCAACACCTTGAATTGGGCCCGGGCTTCAATGGGCAGCCAGTGAACCTGACGGAGGACTGGAGTCATGTGAGCATAACGCCCCGTCCCCATCAGCAACCTGGCAGCTCTATTTTGCACCAATTGAAGTGTTCGGACCGTCTTCAGGGGAAGCCCCACGTAAAGCGCGTTACAGAAGTCTAGGCGGGAAGTCACCAGCGCGTGTGTCACCGTCGCCAGGCAGTCGTACTCCAGGTAAGGGCGCAGCTGATGAATCAGCCGAAGCTGAAGGAATGCGCTCCTCGCCACCGCTGTCACCTGAGCTTCCAAAGAAAGCTCCGGGTCGAGGAGTACTCCTAAGCTGCGGACCTTATCCCTAAGAGGGAGTGTTGCACCATTCAGGACCAGGTCAAATCCACCCTCTCCAAAGCCCGATCCGCCAACCAACAGGACCTCCGTCTTGTCTGGATTGAGTTTCAGTTTATTGGCCCTCATCCATTCCATTACCTCGGCCAAGCACCGGTTCAGCACAGCCACTGCCTCACCTGGATTAGTGGAAAACAAGAGGTAGAGCTGGGTATCATCAGTGTATTGATGATTCCGCAGCCCACACCTCCTGATGACCTCTCCCAGCAGTTTCATATAGATGTTAAATAGCAGAGGGGATAGAATGGAGCCCTGTGGTACTCCATGGCATAGCTGCCATGACGCAGAGACATGGTCCCCCAGCACTACCTTCTGGAATCGACCGCTGAGATAGGAGCGGAACCATTGCAAAGCAGTGCCTCCAACCCCCAATCCCGCTAGCCTATCCAGAAGGATACCATGGTCGATGGTATCGAAAGCCGCCGAGAGGTCCAGAAGAACCAACAGGGATGCACTCCCCCTGTCCTTCTCCCTGCATAGGTCATCATACAGGGCGACCAAGGCAGATTCAGTACTGTGCCCGGGTCTGAAGCCGGACTGAAAAGGATCCAGATAATCAGTTTCATCCAACAGTGCTTGGAGTTGTCCCGCCACCACTCGCTCCAACACCTTGCCCAGAAACGGGATGTTGGCCACAGGTCTATAGTTAGTGGCCATCTCTGGATCCAGTGACGCTTTCTTCAGGACCGGTCGTATTACCGCCTCCTTTAAAGGGGCAGGCATTCGACCCTCCCTCAGAGAAGCGTTAACCACTTCCAAGATCCAGGTCCCAATCCCGTGCTTGGAGTTATTAACCAAGACGGGAAAGGATCCAATAGGCAAGTGGTGGGACGTACTCGTCCAAGCACCTTGTCCACATCATCGGGCCGCAATAATTGAAATTCCTCCAACAATTTTGGACCAGACGGTAGCATTGGCGTCTCCCCAGAGACCTCTGATTCATTAGTGGAGTCCAGCTCGTGACGAATCTGAGTGATTTTCTCCCTGAAATGCCTGGCAAAGTCGTCACAGCAGGCCTTTGAGGGTGGCATCGGATCTTCCTTAGGACCTGGGCGAACCAGGCCTTGTACCACTCGAAAAAGCTCCGCCGGACGGCATTGTGAGGAGGCAATGGAAGCGGAAAAAAACTTCTTTTTCGCCGCCTTCACTGCCACAGCATAGGCCCGATAGTGGGCTCTCAAGTGTGTTCGGTCAGATTCATCCCGTGATTTCCTCCACCTACGCTCCAGTTGTCTCCCAACCCGCTTCATCGCCCGCAATTCAGGTGTCTACCAAGGGGAAGAGCGGACTCTGCCCGGTGGGAGAGGACGCTTGGGAGCGATCGTGTCCACAGCCCTGGTCATCTCTCCGTTCCACAGTTCGACCAGAGCCTCAACAGGAGCACCAGTCTTGTCAGCCGGAAACTCCCCCAGGGCCTTCAGGAATCCATCCGGATCCATCCGGCTCCGGGGGCGAGCCCATACAATCGGGTCCGCACTCTTATAGAGGGAGAGGCCGCTCTCGAGCACAAACCTCACCAGGAGGTGATCTGACCATGACAGGGGAGTCAAACATAAGTTCCTCACCCTCAGGTCATCCTCTTCCTGCCCCGTCGAGAAAACCAGGTCCAGAGTGTGTCCACGTTCATGGGTCGGGCCGATGACGTGTTGAGACAGGCCCATGGCCGTCATAGAGGCCATGAAGTCTTGAGCCGCCCCGGTCAGTCCAGACTCGGCATGGAGATTGAAGTCCCCCAGGACCAACATCCTGGGGGTCCTCAACACCAGGTCCGAGACGGTCTCTGTCAGCTCAGATAGGGAGACTGCTGGGCAGAAGGGTGCACGGTACACCAATAGAATCCCCAATCTGTCTCGTTCGCCCAACACCAAGTAGAGGCACTCCAGCCCTGGTCTCGAAGGGACCGGAAGACCCGTGAGAGAGATGGAGGCTCGGTAAACCAACGCGACTCCCCCTCCCCTCCCTTCTGGGCGTGAACAGTGTTGAACCAGAAACCCGGGCGGGCACAATTGGGAGAGGGCAACATCCCCTCCCTCTCCCGCCCAGGTCTCTGTTATGCAAGCCAGGTCGGCCCCCTCATCCACAATCAAGTCATGGATGAAGGAAGATTTATTATTGACCGACCTGGCACTGAGCAGCAGCACCGTCAGGCCCGAGGGGTGGTTGACGAGGCTACCTGGCGCCCTCTGGCTGGGGGCAGAACCAGTTGCTGACCCCTTCAAGGACCTGTATGCATGCAGGGCCTCTGGTGAACAATGAGGCAGAACTGGAGTAGGGGGCACACAAGAACTAAGGTGGTGAGGACTTGCTTTGTAGGGGCCTTGCACAAAATGTACAGGTTACTTCCACCTCCCCAGCAGTTGTCCATAGGGTAGCAAGTGAGTAATTAAAGATCTTAGGGTAGCTGTGATTCCGCAACACACCTCACACAAATAAACTGCTTAACGTTATTTTAGATATGTTCAGCAGTATATAAATGTAATAAAATTAACACAAGAAAAGATAACAATTTGTGTTCATTCTAACTTAGAACTCTCCTATAGTGTAAAGTTTGTTTGTTTGAATTTTATCCCACCCCATTAGCCATAAGAATATTGCAGACTTCCTGAGTTTTTAAACATATAAAAAATTGTTCTGCCAATGCAAATATAGTCCATTGATATTATCCCCATGTTGCTAGGAGTGGGGTGGAATTGTGAAATATTATTAAACTTTGTAGTGTGCTCCACTGCTATTGCTTTGGGAGGGGCCAAAATAATAGTTAGGACATCCTTGCAACATAGTGCAGTGCTGTTATTCCTACATAGCTGCTGGTCATTGTTTGAAACTGAGAGAGAGTGATAGTTTACAACAAGAATTTTTTCTACAACCCAGGTCATCTCATAAAGCTGATTGGTGGGTGATTCAGGACCAATAAAAAGAAGTGCTTCTTCATAAACTGCATCGTTAATCTACAGAGTTCGTTCCCATAAGATGTTGTGATAGGCATCAGCACTTCAGAAGGGGACTGGGTGAATTCATGAAGGATCAGTACTCCCTGTCCTGCCTCCACATCAGAGGCTGTATGCCTATGCACACCAGATGCTCGGGGACTTGGCTGTTGCACTCTTCTCCTGCTTATGGGATCCTGTAGGCAGCTGTTTGGCCAGTATATGAACAGCAGATGGTGGATTAGACAGACCCTTGCTCTGATCCAGCATGGCTCTTACATTCTTAACACTGCAACATAGTGCAGTTATTCCCATATCACAAGGGCTGCGGATGAGAAAACCCACTGGCAATGTTGCCACAGCATTATGTTTGTAGGAATGCCTCACACACGAAAAACACACTTTTGTACAAAATCAAAGCTATCATCAATGGCATTTAAAGATACGACACTACGTTATACCTCCTCTACCCTGACCACTTGCTATCGGTGGCTGTTTCACATTTCTGGTGGGAGAAGACCACAAAGCACACGCAAAACAAAACTCAGATTGCAGTGTAGCAAAGATTGAGTCTAGCAAAACTGCCACCCCCGCCTCCCAGGGAACCCACCGCTAGTGCTTGACATGCACGCCTTGGGCTCCATTCACTTTCACTTCCATTCACCCCTTTTCTGGCCTTCACCCTTCCTGTTGCGCAAAAGGAACTCTTCACTCCCGCTCCCACTCTCCCGTCCTCAGCCCTCTATCAAACAGGGAACTGGAGATCGCGGCCTGCGGCTCTTCAAGCATATTGACCCACGGCCTCCCGCAGCCAGTTCTGCAGTCCGGAGCATGCTGGGAGTTGTAGGCCAAGGCGACTGAACGAACCACGTTGAGGACGACAAAACAAGCCGCTCTGTTCCCTTTCTCTATGGTGAGCAAGGCCGAAGAGGCGTGCGGCCCCGCCCCGTGACGATGACGCTCGGTGACGGAAGCGCGGAGGCGGGGCCCGGAAGGCCGTGAGGGTAATTGGGGAGTCCCAGCCATGGCCGGCGTCTTCGACATCGACCTGGAAACGGAGGAGGGGAGCGACGGGGAGGAGCCTGAACTGGGGGCCCTGGTGAGGCGGGGTGGCAAATCATAGGGGGTGGGCCCAGCTGGGGAGGAAGGGGAAGGGAAGGGGGTGAGGAGGGAAGGACGGCAGGAAGGAGCAGTGCAGTCGGATCAGAGACGTGTCAAATTAGAAGTCAGTCCCATTGGGTTCTGTGGGACTTACTCCTAAGTAAGTGGGTTCTGGATAGTAATCCTAGTGCTTAACACCCCCACACCCTCGCACACACATACACTGGGACATCCCATGGCATGCCTAAGTGCAAGCCTGGCTGCCCCACTTTCCTTGGTGCTGACCTCTGCTTTATCTTTTTCCAGGAAGTGGACCCAGATCTTCGCAGCAATGGCCCAGAGTAAGTGCAAGAGCTGTTAGTAAGAGCGGTTCGATCCAAACTTATTCTTGCTTTGGTTAGACCTTTTGAAATCCATGAGACTAATCAAATGTCCTCTTGGTTTCAGTGGGTCTGCTCTGAGTAAGAATAAGACTGGAGCTAACCCATAGTCCCATATTCCCTCCTCAGTGGGTCTTGCTTTGCTTATTCTGCCACAGCCTAACGCTCAACCGTGTCCATGCTGAATCTCGCTCTCCCCTTGGTCCCCTAAGAAGTAGGTAGGCAAGAGTGACCTTGGAGGATCAGGTTATCAGGGGTCCCTCTGCAGCCCAGCTGGCTGATGCTGAGAAGCAGGCACAAGCAAATGGGCCTCTCTCTCTCCACAGCATAGTTTGCACATTGCTTGTTGTTTGTTACCCAGTGCTGCTCATATCCCATAATGGCACATCAAAGCATTGCTTAAGTCAAACTGCCAGTTGGCTTTTTGATCAAGGCAAACAATAGATTGATGGGAGAAGCAAGGGCTGTCCTCAGTGCTGAATGCGTTCCCAGCTACCGCTGCTAGTAAATTAGTAACAATGATAAATTGTTAAGATTCCCCATTCTTTACTATCCTGATAGGGAATATAGCATAGCTATTAAGGGCATAATTCTATGCCAGTTTAGACAGACTGGTTCATGCTGGGAATTATAGGAGTTTGTCTACTCTTTTAATGTTTTCATTTATTTATTATATGCCACCTTTTCCTGCAGAAAACCCAGCATAGTTTATATAATCCTCACAACCACCACCCCATGAGGTTAGTTAGACTGAGAGGCAGTGACTGGCCCAAAGTTACCCAGTGAGCTCCATGGCTGAGCTCCCCTGCCTTCAGAGTTTCAGTCCAACATTCTAACTGCTATACCACACTGGATCTTGCTTGCATAGGATTGCACTTTAAGAGGATCTTTGTTGCTTCATTGTATCAGAGACTAAAGCCCACCTAGTTCTCAAAACAGTCTGTTTCTCAAAACAGTCAGCCAGACACTCAGAAATTTGTGTTGTAAGTCGCCCCGAGGCTTCGGCGAATGGGGCGGCATAAAAATGTTTTAATAAATAAATAAATAAATAAATCAGTGTGTGAAGATGATGGTACCAGTTTGGCATTTAACAGGACATGAAGGTTCCACTTAACCATTCATTTTGCTCTCTCTATATATGTGTTTATCCTTTTTTAAAAAAAATGCTTTCTGAGTCAATGGCGGTTCCCATCTCTTGTGGTAAATAAGTACATGCTCATTACACATTATGTAAAGAAGAACATTCCTTAGCAGTAGGTGTGAGACAGATAGACCGGCTCTGTCAGGTAGCTCAGAGCTTCTAGGGTGTGAACTCAGAGTTATATCCAGTGATGACTTGGATCATTGGAAGGTCCTTCCTCTCATGGAAGCTGAGAGGGCAGTGGTAACAGAAGAGGTCTGTGAAAATTGGGTGCTGACTTGTGCAAGCAGAAGCACTTCCAGCAGAGGCAAAACCACCAGTGGATGCAACATTTCAGCTGCAGTCATGTGCAAAAACAAGTGCGGCAGCTCCCAGCCTCTTCCAGCCACCGTGCAGGGGCTAGGAGGACGTTTTCTAACTGAACATGCTTCATGCGCATAGGATTGTGCTTTCAGTCTGGTACTGACACTCACCACTGCAATAAGCCTTCATGAAAGCCTGGGCCAGTGTAAAGTCACCCTTTGTACTTTCTTCTATCAGTTACCCCGTATCTATTTCAGTCTCAAAGCAAAGCAGCAGTTGGATGCTACAGAACCACATCCGACATCTGCCTGTGAGTAACAGGCAAAGAACTTTTTATTCTCCCAGGTCTTTCAAACTGTGCCTTACTTTATTTTTAACATCTTGATTGCTCCATTTAAAAATAATCTCTCATTTCTAGTTGTTCTGTTCTTTATTTTGCTTAAATGCTGAGCTTTTATTGTAGCTTTTAAAGTAATACTTTTGGGGTGCAATCAAATCTGGATGCCTGTTACTTTCTCAACTTATAGGAGGGTGGGCATCTGGTGCAAGGTACTGGGAAGAGCACTCCAGTGAAGGTTGCCCCTGTGCTTTTCCTCACAGTCTGCAAAACAAAGAGCCAGCCAGCCTTAGCTGTCTTAAATGCCGCATTCCAGAGCACCTGGGGAGGGAGCTGGGGACCTGCCAGGATACAGCATGCCATGATAGTGCTGATCTCCCCGCTCCCCATGGCCCCGAACTGCTTCCGCAAGGTCGATTTGTGACCTTGGAGAGGCAGCCAGCATGGCTGCTCCAGCTGTGAGGAGCAGGGAAGCTTCATCAAACTTGGCGTTCCAGCTGCGATCTTAGAGTGAGTTTCTGATGCCAGAGCTGGGACTCCAAATATGACTGAAGAGATGCTGCCTACCAGCAACACACATGCTTTATTACTAGTTTTTATCATTTGCAATATTGTTTTAGCTTTTATTGTGAATACTGCCAATAGTAAGCACGATGTGTGGTTGATTCAGGCTGTGCCTCTTGTACTATTCATGTGCTGTACTCAAATACTGTAGTAAAAACAGAAATTCTTTTTAAATGCTGGAGTTCATATATTTAAAAGTAAAGCAAGAAGTGGCTTTAAGACCCTGGAGAACTTTCCTGGGTATTCACTGCTTCTCTCTGCCCCCTGAGCAGTGTAGAGGACTCCTAGGAGAAGGAGAGGCTTTGGGGGGTTGCAGGAAGAAGGGACAGGCAATGGTCCCTCTGAAGCTTCCTTCTGTTAGGGTACCTGTCAGTGCCTCATGGAACACATTTCACATTTCTGTGCTTGTGACTTCTCTTCAAAAACACAGCAGTCCTCATTGCTAGAGAGCCTCCCAGCCTTGACCTGCTTCTTTATTGCTCTGCCCTCTTTTCTCTCCCTCAGGCTTGTCCCAGGATGCTATGAGGAGATTGAAATCTCTGAGAGCATTGTCAACAATGGCCTGGAGCGCATTGGGCCCCACTGCTTTGAGCTGCTTCGTGTCCTGGGCAAGGGCGGCTATGGAAAGGTCAGCAATGGCTTGTGGGCAGAGTTATCTTTGCGATTGCTTATATATCTTGCTTTTGTTCCTCTTGCAAGGAAGCTGAATGTTTACACGGTTCAGTTTACTCTCATGACACCCTTTTCAGGTAGGTTAGACTACAAGTCAGTGACTGGTCCAGAGTCACACAGTGATGCCTACAATCTGGACCAGCTGAATCCTGGTCCAGCACTAACTACTCCAAAATGCCAGCTGTCACTGTTAACCCCTACCCCACCATAGAGGTTTGCAGTGTTAGAGAGACTATTAGCTATGGGAGTGTATAGATCCATACCCCCTTAAAAACTTCATAGAGCAGTGGAGTTATTGAACCCTTTCTAAGTGAATTTGGATTCCAAAATCTCTGAAGAACCTTTTCACAGAAAGTAGCCTGCTTCTCACTGAGGTGGTAAACCTGCATCTTGGCACTCTAGATTGCAGCTGAGGACTCACTTGGTGGAATGCTTCTTTGTGAAACTAATAGCCTTCTGCATAGTTAACTGACTAGTGTGCAATAATAAAATTAGCGCAGCAATCTTCTCCCTGAGTTCTGTGTGAAGGAATGCTTTGTGTGTGTCTATGGAGGAGTATTTGCTTACATGGCACAATCCGGACAGGTTGAACACCTCATCGAGAAACAGGCCAGTCACTGCTGTGTCAAATAGTAGCTGGACCAGAACTCTTAAGAGAGCTGCCACAGCTTTTCCTGGTTTAAGGAGGAAGTGAGGCAGATAAAATAGGAAATAAGACCAGTAGGGGCCTGCAAGTTGTTGGATGGTGCCAACAGTGCAGACCTGTGAGTGGGGAAAAGTCGTGCTACACCCCACATTCCCCAGCCAGCGATGCTGGCTTGATGGTGCCAGGAGTTGTAAGACATTTTTTCTGTCCAGGCATACTTAGAATTGTACCCTAAAACATGGGATTGTTTTTGAAGCAATGTCAGTGATGAAAATATCCTTCTGTTTTCTTGACACTGCAAAGGGAAATGGACTGTTCTGTAACCTTGTGGCCACTGTAACTTTTTGATGAGCTTCTTAGATAACCTGGCTTAATTTTGGGTTAGCCAGGGGCATGAGTGCTTGTAGCTTTCAGTTTAGGCTCAGAAGTAGAGGTGCTAAAGGAGACAGAAGTTTTGCCCTTCCTTTACTCCAGGGCTGTGGAACCCTTCAGCTGGAGGGCCCTAATTCAGTTTCAGATAAGCTCTTGCGGGGCTGTACTCCAGTGATGTGTGGAACCAAAGGGAGAGGAGTTTCCTTTTAGCCTAAAGTTCTTACTGCCAGTAACACATTTCAGCCTTTTAGAAATGGAAAAGGGCAGGCACATGCCAGGATGCCAAAAGGAATAGAGCCAGGCGAGGTGGCATAAGGGCTGGGTTTGGCACCCCCAGGCTTGACATTCAACATCCCTGCCACACTTCTTCCCCCAGAATTCTCCAATGCTTCTTGGGGGCCTGGGGGTCAGGCAGAATCCTGTGAGTCATTGACAGCAGCATCCTTTTGAAGCAAATGCACAAGATCAAGTCTCTGAGGTCAAGAGGTACAACATGCTCATCCATTCTGAACCAGTCCCAAAATGTCATGCCTTGGGCCTTCTTGTTCCCCATGTCATTCCGATAGCCTTCAGGGCTAGCTGTACCTGGCTTAGAAACACAGAAACAGAGCAAGTCAGGAGGGTCTCCCAGGACATCTAGTCGGACCCATGGCTCTAGCTGGCTCTGCTCATGACATGCCTACCATGTGCAGCCTTCCATAGCAGAGAACAGAGTCCTCCTTTCCTCACTGGTTAATCCCGTTTCCCTGGAAAATATGATCACCTCTTTGGAAAGGATACCTTTGCACCTGACCATTGATTCCATTGTAACCTGAAAAGGGATTTGTTGTGGCCCTTCTGCAAAACTGCCCTGCTTTTTGGAGCTCACTTTCTGTTTCCAATGCAGGTGTTCCAGGTACGGAAGGTGCAAGGCACAAACGCTGGGAAAATCTTTGCCATGAAAGTCCTGAAGAAGGTAAACTGACGCACCTTTCACACACCCTGCTACACGGTTTCATGAGTTTTTAATTCTTTCTGGGTGTCTCCCACAGGCGAAGATTGCCTGCAATGCCAAAGACACAGCCCACACAAAGGCTGAGAGAAATATCCTGGAGGCCATCAAGCACCCGTTCATTGTGGACCTCATCTATGCCTTCCAGACTGGTGGCAAGCTCTACCTCATCCTGGAATGCCTCAGCGGTATGGGAACCCACGTGCCACCTCAGTGTGTGGAGAGAGGATTGCTCCAGCGGCTCTGTCCACCAGCTGGGAACACAGTCCATGGGGAGTCTCGGGGTGGTGGGGGTGGCTAGGCTGTGCTGGAGCAGGCCTGACCATTCCCCTTTCTCCTGTGCTTGCTAGGTGGGGAGCTCTTCATGCAACTGGAGCGAGAAGGCATCTTCCTGGAGGATGCAGCCTGGTCAGTGGAAATGCTCCCATAGCCTCAACTGGGGTGGTCAGGGATAGGGTTAGGACTAGATTGCTCTCCTGTTTCTTGCACAGGCCGGAACTAGGAAAGGTGGTAATGGGAAGTGTTAGAGTGCTCCCATCTGATTCATGAGAATAACTTGGCTACCTTCTTTCAGTCAGATTCTCTGTATCTTTCAGCAGCTTTCTGGGTAGGGTTTGAATTAACTGCCATTCAATCTCTTGCGACCCTGCGGGAAGGAATATGCCTGTGGGTCCTTAGCACCAAATGGCTGCCCACACATTGTGGTCCTTTGTCCTCAGATCTCATACGCTTGGCCTTGCTTTCTTGGTTGTGGCCCTTTGAAAATGCAGCTTTGTCTGACAGAATCGAACTGCAGAAGTGCTTGCATGGTGCCACTTCGACATTTTAAGATGTGCCTTCATTTGAAAACAGTTCCATGATATTTACATAATTTCCTGCTGCCCTGTGAAATCAACAGGCCTCTGTTTAAAAATGTGTAAAGTGCGCATCTAGATAAAATGCCTTGCAGATACTGTCAGAAGCATGACTGTCCTCCTCTTTTCTCTTTCTAGCAGACTTAGAGAAAACCTTAGAAGCACACTCCCTCATTTGTCCTGTACAGGGCATAACACAAACACTGTAAATCAAAGTAACAATCCCTTTGAGATGTGGGAGTAGCATCTGCCCATGTGAAGAGCTGAGTCTAGTATCCCCTCCTTCCCTCCCTTTCAGAAAGGTCCAGACTCCACCCTCAGCCTGGCTCCTACTGCTTGAGGGCTAGATGGTGAGAACATCAGATGCATCTTATTTAGTCCCCCGCTCCCCGCCTTCACCTATTGTCCCCTTACAGGCTCAAGGAATTCCCCTCAGTCTCCACCCCTCCCTCTTCTGAACTGTCTTCCTCCTTCTCCAAGGAAGTTCTTACACTCTGCCTCGGTACCTTGACTTTGTGACCTTGACACTGAGGTCATCTGCTCCACCACCTCTGCCCTGATTCTGATTCTGAAGAATCCACCTGGGGATGCACTGATTGGAGAGAGCTGGGCCCTCTCTCTGCTGACTCAACAGAAATTCAAAAGCAGTTAGGGGAGGAGAGAACAGCAAGCATTCCCAAAAGAGGCAGCTTTCCCCCCATTGTAGACCAATGAAAAAGGTCGCTGTGCTTGTGTTTCTGTTGACCTATATTGCTGGTCATTGGGGTCCTAGAGTGGCGGACTGGTAAGCACATTCCTAGGGATGGGTTGAGCTGTGTTGTTGCTTATTTATTCATTTCATGTTATTGACTGAACTCTTTTCTGTTCTTCCAGCTTCTATCTGAGTGAGATCACCCTGGCCCTTGGTCACCTCCACTCTAATGGCATCATCTACCGGGATCTCAAGCCTGAGAACATCATGCTAAACAGCCAGGGTATGGCGCAACATCCCAGCGTTCAAACTTGGGGTCAGGAGGCACTGCACGGAACTGAATATAGTCCTTGCTGCACTGTGCTCCTGGCCAGGACTGGAACAGGATCTCACTCTTCCGATTTGCTCTTCTACAGGGCACATTAAGCTGACAGACTTTGGGCTTTGCAAGGAATCTATCCATGATGGTGCTGTCACCCACACCTTTTGTGGCACCATAGAGTACATGTAGGTGATATGGGGCCCTGGGTGCCTTTGGGAAATTCACCGGACTCTGTCCCAGTTGCAGTTGAGTGAGGGATGTCTGGATCTCTCTCTCTCTCGCTCTCTCTCTTCCTGTCTAAATCCAGGGCCCCAGAGATACTGATGCGCAGCGGCCACAACCGGGCTGTGGACTGGTGGAGCCTTGGTGCTCTGATGTACGACATGCTCACTGGATCGGCAAGTCTCGCTTGTGCTGTGTCTGAAGGCGGGGTGGAACGAGCAGCACGCGGGGTGCGGCAGAAGTGAAGCCATGCGGGGAGGGGGAGGGGGAGGGGAGGATCGCAACGCAACGCAACGATCCTCACTGGATGATGGGGCAGGTATCGCCGAGAGCTTTGCTGTCGGCCAGCTGGTTGCTGTCAAGGGGTAACGGGGACCGTGTGCTTTTGGACAACATCCCTCTGCTAAATCTAGCAAGTATTGTGGGCACAGTGCTGTACAAGTGGTCCTTTGCCCCTTGAGCAGTTGCTGCCTTGATTGTGTGCCTTACGGTGCAATCTGATGCAGTTTTCATGGAGAAAGGCCTGCAAAACGCAGCACAGCCGTCTGGAGCATGCTGGAGTTGTAGGCCTTTTTTTCTGTCTAAACCTGCATGGGATTGCACCTTGAACGGCTCTGTTCCTAGGCCCAGCAAATCCCCTTGGTTGCACCCAGTACTGTCGAGCAACTCTGCTTGTGGTCCCCTATTGCTTTTCTGCCAAGGTCTTTGCTGCACCCTTTCCCTTGCTGCCGCCTCCTCACCCAGCACTGCTGTCTGCAACTGCTTGGGTTTTCAAGCACCTTCTCGCGCTGCTGTGTCCACGCTCAGCCTTTGTGCCTGTGCCTTGCAGCCTCCATTTACAGGTGAAAACCGAAAGAAGACCATCGACAAAATCCTGAAGGGAAAGGTGGTGTTTCCACCCTATTTGACACCAGATGCTCGTGACCTGATCAAAAAGGTACAAACCCACTCAGTGCTTGACTAGGCCCTACATATCTGGATGTTTACTGCCTTATCTGTTATATTTCTACTCCAATTCCCATACCCCACAGTATTTTGCAATTGCTGTAAATCAAGGGTGTGGAACCTCTGTCCTACGGAACCCATTTGGTTTCCAGGTTCCTGCCCCCTGGGGGCATCTGCCCTGAAAAAAGTCCTGCTCTTACCTCCAGCCTAAGGTACGAAATCACGAGTGAGAATCTCTGCATGCAAGTTCCCTCCCAAACGGACATGCAGGAGAATCGCCGCTGTTGTCTCTGGCAGGCTGGAAATAACCAGAGGACTGCAGGCAGTGGGGGACTGAGCTGCTGCTGGCAGGAGCAGCCACTGGCCCAGCTACTTGGCATGGGGCGAACATGTGCCACCCAAGCCAGGGAGTCAGCAGATGCCCCATTTAGCACCTGCAGAGTCCCTTCTCTGTACTGGGAGCGGCATGAAGTTCCATGCCTCTGCACAGAGAAGGGCAAAACAGATGGCAGTGGAGTCAGTCGGCGCCCACTGACATCATCCGCCCACAGAAGCCCTGGTGGCGGGCAGCTCGCTCCCCCCACTGCAACTTGTTCTGCACCCTTGCTGCAAAGCCATTAGCAGATTGCCTTTGTATGGATTTTGGTAAGTCCCACGTGATAATCTATTAATAGATCTTCAGCAATATCGTTATCCTGAAGGGCTCCTTGATGGGCTTCTGTGTGTGTCCCCAGGTTTTGGCTGGCCTTGGCAGCCAACCCCAGACTTGTGGTTCTGATGACCCGATAGAGAGAGGAAGGGTCTGCATCCACAGAGCACTGGACATTAAAGGCAAGAAGCCCTGAAGCTTAGCCCAATGTCATCAGTCATGGCAAATGCATTAAAATGGCAAATACTGTTCAGTATAAGGAATTGTGAGGTTATGTATGTTGTAGAAAAAATCCCATCTTCATGTATACAAATGATCCAAATAGGGATCCAAATAGTGGTACCAGACCAAGAAGGAGATGTTGCAGCTGTGGTGAATAGTTTGTTGAACATGTTGACCCAGTGTGTGGGTTTTTTTTTAAAGCAATTTCCACATTGGAGTTTATTTAAAAAGAAATCAGAAAATTACCTCTGCCAATGTCAAAATGCCATTATAGGATTCTGTTCTAGAGCCACACTTGGGATACTGTGTAGAGTTTTGGTCACTGTAACTCAAAAAGGATATCAGACAGCTGGAAAAGTGCAGAAAATGGCAACCAAAGACTACTGGAGCAATTCTGCTAAGAGGAAAGGTTACAACTCCTGAGGCTGCTTAGCTTAGAAAAAGGGTGCAGTGTAAGGGGAGGCATGAAAGACTTATACAAAACCGTACAGCATGGAGAAAATTGGTAAGAAGAAGTTTTTCTCATAGTACTCTTCCCATGAAGCTGATTGGAGGGAGAGTCAGGATAAAAGGAAACTGTTCTTCATGCAGTACATAGTTGAACTGTGGAATTCACTTCCAGAAGCTGGCCACCAACTTAAAAGACTTTTAGAGAAATTCATGGAGGAAAAGGTTATCGATAGCTACTAGTCCTGATAGTTGTGTACCAGAGGTAGCATGCCTGTGTACACCAGTTGCTAGAAAACATGGGCTGGAAGATGCTGTTGCACTTCTGTCCCGCTTGTGGGACCCCGAGGGCAGCTGGTTGACCACTGTGTGAGCAGAATGCTGAACCAGCTAGGCCCTCTTTTTAAGCTCAGATGGTCTTCAGCGCACGAGTGTGACATGCCTTTTCCTTCCCATAATGCATCCTTGCCCTTTCTAATCCAGGCTGGAGTGGGAAGAAGCACGCGCTCATGCGGTTTGCATAACCCCCATTGCAGATGCTTTCTATGTTTCTTGTGATCTTAGAAGTGGTAGGGGGACCTGCCATTTCTTTCTCCCCTTCTTCCTCTGTTCTCATCCTGCCCCTCAGAGCGAGCGGCAAGCCAGCTCCTCTCGTTCTAGCCTCTCTCGACTGCAGGAAGTGCTCTGTGCATGAGAGGCCACACTGCAGTATATGTGCAACACCTGCTCTAGTCAGCTTGGGTGAAAGCAGGTGGGGAGTGAGATGCAGCAGTTTCTCACCATGAAGCATTCCTAGTGCTGGGAGGTGAGAGCAGCAGTGGGGGGGGGGCGGTGTGCAAAAGCTGCGGTGACGATCACTTGCGCCCCCCCCCCCTTGCCGGGGACGGGGAGGACTCGCCCAAGCATGCACGATGGATGAATTTGTGGGTGCCTGTGTATGTGAAAGAGGCTGCCAAAAAGCCAGGCTAGTTCTGCACTGAACAAGTCTGAATGGGATGAAATGGAGGTTTTCATGACATTGTCACATTTGGGAGTTTATGGCTGAAAGCCGGGGCTGCATGAAGAGGCTGGTTCTGCCCTTTAGACTTAACCCAGGCAGCATTTCCTCAATGGATTCTTTCCTTTCTGCAGTTCCTTAAGAGGAATCCCAGTCAGAGGATTGGAGGTGGGCCTAACGATGCTGCAGATGTGCAGGTAAAAATTGAATCTGAAGAGGGAGACAGAGTCATGGCAAGGTTTGCTGTGATTGATGCCGTGTGAGCAAAAATGGGTGGCCATGTTTTACCAGTGCGGGAGTTGGATAGAATTCCAAGCCCTGAGCACGTCTGTGCTTCTTGGAAAAGCAAGAGGCCTTCTCTTCTGACTTTGCTACCAAACTGGGCTTTAAAGTGTGTGGTCACCCAGAAACTGAGAAAAGGGGTGTTGTCCTCTGAACATACCTTTCAAGGGATGGGGCTTCGTCACACCAGCAATGAATAAAAACAGAAGGAATGCAGGCAAATGTGCTAAAATTAACCCACATGAGTTGCAGAATTCAGCTTTTAAGAGCATAAAGCAGCCTTCCCCAAACTGCTCCCTTCCAGCTCCTGCAGCTGGGGATTGTGAGGGTTGTAAATCGGGAGTGCAGCAGCTTGGGGAAGGCTGGTATATGATATTCCCATCTAATCTGAGGTCACCAGAGACTTATTCAGACAAAAAGTGCATAGCATAGCACTCCATAGAGTATGTAACTAAAAACCTATAGACAGGGGAGTCTTGTATTTGGGGTGAGGCAAGCATTCGAACTTCCAATCCACTATGTGCATTCTGAAGTGTCATGGCTCTTCGAGGGCTGTGCCACATTTGTTTTCTGGATTGTGCAGGCTGGCTCTCGTTCTGCATTTTCTAAGGTAGTTTTGGTCTGTCCTGAACACCAAGGAGGAATAGCTGCTCACAGAGTCCCAAGGGAAAGTTTTCCTGGTACTAATTCTGCAAATCTCCGGATGGAGTGCAGTTTTTCCACCCAGATGGCAGTAGATCCAATGATCCTGCAGGAATGTGAGGGCAGATTCAGAACTTTCATTGTGAGGGCTATTCGTTTCAGGAACTGCTATAACTTCTGAGTAGTACAAACCTCTGTTTTCTGTTGCAGAGGCACCCGTTCTTCCGACATATTAACTGGGATGATTTGCTGGCCAGGAGAGTTGACCCACCCTTCCGTCCATTACTGGTACTGCTGCCACCGGCACTCTCCTTCCTTCGCCTTGCCTTTTCATCATCCCACATCTCAGCCCTGCTTCTGATGGCTCTTCTCAGTCCACAGCCATTGAATGTATTCCGCTCTGTACTTAGATACTGAAGGTTGATGCAGGAATGCTGAGTTGAGACCATCATTGCTTTTTGCTTTGCCCGCACGTTCCCTTGACTGACTCTAAGCCACTGACTTGGTCCACACAACAGGACAGCCCATGGTGGGTGACGTGCCATGGTGGCCTGTTGTTTGCCGCCAACCCTCTGGGTGACCTGTTCATGAACAAGAAGCTACCCTGACAACCCCCAGCTTGCTATTGAGGATGTTTTACTTGTGATGGGGTGTCATGTTGTCTGAACACCTTTTGCCAAGCTCCCTCGAGCCCATGGTTGCTCACTCCCTTCAAGGCCAGGGTGCTTGGAATCTCTCTCTGCCTTCCCTCTCATTCCCTACGTGTTTGCCTTGTTTAGTCTGGTGGTGGGCAGCCTGTGACCTTGCAGACCCTACAGCTCCCATCAATACTCAGCCTTGGCTCTGCTGGCTAGGGCTGATGAGAGTTATGGCTCTCCAGGTATTTTTGGCCTCCAAGATGCCCGTTCCTGCTTTAGGTGTTGTACTGCTTTCCTGTGTGTCAGTCCTTAGTAATGTACTTGTGAGCTGCACATTGCAAGTTTATTTCATTTTTGCTTTGTTCATTGAACCCCTTTAGCAATTCCAGCCCAACAGTGTCTAACGTCAGTCGGCTAACAGTGCGGCTTGTGTTACCATATTTTTAACCACCACCATCACATTTCTGTCCTGCCTTTTTTCCTCTTACAAGGAACCCAAGGTGGCTTGAGTACGCCTCTACTCTCTTTTATCCTCCCAAAATTATCCTGTGGGTTATGCTGAGAGTCAGCAGCTGGCCCAAAGAAATGCAGGGAGCTTCATGGTCAAATGGGGGCTAGAACCTGGTTCTCACAGATCCCCTGTCCAACACGCCAACCACCACACCGGCTCTATTAAAAATTTATCCACATGCTATTTGCTACCGGAGCAAACTAGTAGTGAAGGAAGGTTCTGAAATGGACTGTTTTTCTGAGTTCTCCCCTGCTAAGATGACTAAAGGAAGCACAGGGCACTGTGTCCTCTGAATACATTATTCAAAGCAGTCCTCTAACCTGGAGCTTTGGGAGAAAACATGGCACCTCGCCATCCTTTGTGTATCTGCTTTCTAGCTTACCTTGCCTGATCATCATGTAGGAAGGGAAGGCTTCTCCTTCCTCTTCTTGGATCTATTGCGTTTCCTTCTGCCTGCATGCTGATCTCCTTTCCCTTCTTTTCCCATCCACAGCAATCAGAGGACGATGTCAGTCAGTTTGACACTCGCTTCACACGCCAGACCCCTGTGGATAGTCCTGACGACGGTGCCCTCAGCGAGAGTGCCAATCAAGCTTTTCTGGTAAGGGATGCCTAGCTGGAAGTCCTGTATGAGAGAGGTGGGAGACCTTCCCACTACCCTTTCTCTCAGACAGACAGACTTTTGAGATAGATATAATCTGTGTATACAAGATTACACATCTGTAATAATACCTGTATATGAGTACACACACATTCGTGTGCCATGTGCATGCTTGAAGATTCCCCATTTCTTCCTGCAGAAAATAGGCTTGCAAAAGTTAGAAACCATTTTTCAAGGCCCGTTGCTGGAATATGGGTGTGGGGGGGGACTCTTCCTGAAGGTCACAGCACACAGGGAGGAAGGGTTGACACTTCCCTTTCTACCTGTAATCTTGAATCACCCCCTCCATGGGGGAAGGAACTTGAACTGCCGTGTGGTGCAGATGAGGCCCATGGGGTTGGTTCCCTGCCTGTGGCGCAGCCATCCCCAGCCCTGCGCCCTCTCAGCCTTTTGCACTAGAGCTGCCAGGACTGCTATACTGGCTGGAGCTGGTGGCAGCTGAAGTCACGAGTATTTGATGGGCATCAGGTTGGGGAAGGCGGAGGCAGCTTCTTACTTCATGGGGCAACGAGGAAGTAAATCTCTCCTTTCAGTGCTGACCAGGTGTTTCCTCTCACAGGGGTTTACCTATGTAGCCCCATCAGTGCTGGAGAGCATCAAGGAGGGCTTTTCCTTCCAGCCCAAAGTGCGGTCTCCACGGCGCCTGAACAGCAGTCCCCGCACACCTGTCAGGTAACCCTAACCCTATCCTGCTCTGGATGCTTGGCAAAAGAAATGCTGCCTGTGATGTGCCACCCTGGGAAAGTTCCTGTACCATTTGCTGCTCTTGGTGGGGCTTAGAGCCGCAGCTGTTGCAGCGGGGATGGAAAAGGAAGGCGTGCCAGTGGCTGAGTGAGTAACGGTTTTAATGGCAGCCCATGTTTTGCAGCCCGTTAAAGTTCTCACCCTTTGAGGCCTTCAAGCCAAGCACAACAGTGGAGCTGATGGAGCTGTCGGCACCCCCCCTCACGCCTGTGCCAGAAGTTACCGCCCCACTGCCTATCAAAACCCCATCAGGTAGCAAGAGGAAGAAGAAAGGAGGCCGAGGCCGGGCACGGTAGCCGGCCAGCCGGAGCTGATTGGACTGTTCACCTCGTGGAATGGAGCCCTCTACTGGCTAGGAGGAGCTCAAGGTGTGCCCTGGGAATGTGCAGCCTGGTTGGGGAGCCCCTTTCTCCCCCATGGCAAGGGCTACTTTCCCTCTGGGCTTGAAGTGGCCGCATGGCATTGGTGCTTCCCCCATTTGGGGAATGTTCCCCACACAAGGTGCTTTAATAATGTGTGTATGTCTGTATGGGGAGAGTGCTGGGAAGAGAGGGAACTTGGGACATCTGAAGGAGCTGTCCAGAGATTCCTGCCTTGAGCTCCCAGCATTGGCCTCCTTCATTGGGGTGAGTGCAAGCTGGGGTGGGGAGGGCTTTGCTGTGCTGGCCCCCAGAGGGCAGAGGGCCTGCCTGACGCCCCTTGTTACTGTGGCTACCAGATCTGTGCCCCTTCAATGTTTCGAACTACGAAGCAAGGGTGGAAAAGATCCTGCTGTTTGTGGAGTTGCGCCCTCCCCTCGAAGCTTCTTCGTGCATCTACTTTTTCCAGCCTCCACCCAAGTGCCAAAAACTTCAGCGCCTTCCTTGTGTCTCCCTAAGCAGCCTTTGCAAGAGGAGCCCTCTTTGCCAGGGCTGCTAGTCTCACCTCTTCGTATCCCATGCCACGAACGAATTCCAGCTGCTGCCGTGCCCGGCAGGCGGCCTGTAAGCACAGCTGCCGGGAAGTACATGGAGTATGACAGATGCCACGACACACGGACATACGCTTTAGTCGCCCCACCCACGGAGGAGGCTGTTGAGTGCAGCCTTCTCCCCGTCGCTTTATTGTCAGAGGGAAGGTGCTTAAAAAAAAGAAACCAAAAAAGGCAGCCTCTTCTTGAGAGAGACTAGAACAAGCAAGTATGTGGGCACAAACAAGGAAGGGGAGGTAGGCAAAGCGGGACAGGCACAGTCCCTACCATGGCCGTGGGACTTAACCTGTGGCGGCCGTCCGATGAGATCGTGGCCGAGTGTGACTCCTGTCCATGGCTGTCTTTGCAGGGGCTCCTTTCTGCCCTCCTTCCTGTGGCTTCTAGAGGGCAGTGACATGCAGTGGTTTGCCACTGTCCTCCCAGGTAGCTGTCCCAGAGAAGGAATGCAGGCCGCTGAGCAGGGCTTCGGCCCGGCCCTCTGTTGCCCGGGAGGCCCCCTCTTCCTCCGGGGGCTCCTGCACCCCAGCATCTTGGTGCAGCTCGGCATTGATGCTCTTGCTGGGGATCAGCTGCCTCTCCTCCTCCTGCTCGCTGTCTCCCTGCGGGAGCTGCTGCTCCTCGTCCTCCTCGTCCTCCATGTCATTATCCTGCTGCTGCTGCCCAAGCTCTTCGTCCCGGTAGCTCTGGGATGCGTCCTCAGCACTTGCCTCCCCACAAAACTCTTGCCAGCGGAGGATCAGGCCCCTCATCAGGTGCCGGGGATGGTATCTCCCTGCTGTCTCACGGCTCAGCCGCTGCCACGCCAGAAAGAGCATGAGGAGAAGGAGCAGCAGAAGGCAGACCAGGATGCTCACAGTAACATCATCTCCATGGTTGCCACCTCTCCTGCCGTCACTCGCCCCTGCAGCGTCTGCCAGGGCTTTCCCGGGAAACAGCAGCAGCAGCAGGGCAGAGAGAACGTAAGGGAAGCTGAGCGCCTGCAGAAAGAAAGGAGCCAACATAAGTCCCTGGATGTTTCCCTGCCCTTTGCACCTCTTGAGGAGTCTACCTTTGATGTGCGGATCATGGAATTCTTTTCAGCATTAATAGGGGGGCAAAGTGGAAGGAGCAGCTGGGTGCTGGGACTGCCTGGAAGCAGCCAAATGTTTACATATCCCTCTGCTTGCCGCTGGGAATCGTAGTGGAAGAACTGCAACAAAAGAATTTCCTAGGCTTTTGCAGTCTCCAGACCTTCAGCGGATGCTCCTCTGAATCTGACGTTAGAGGCTTTGCAACATCACTGAAGAGCAATAGATGCTTTCATTTAAGAATGAGGGACAGAGAAGAGTGATTGTGTCCTAGCGCAAATTACAGCTTTGGGGTCAGAGTCCACAGTAAAGGCATGGCCATGTGGCCTCTGCACTAAAAAGAAAAAAAATGTGTGCCAAGAAAAGCTTGGATCTATGACTATAAATCATGCCTACAAGGTCAATATATATGCACATGCTATTTTTTGCATAATTTATTTTGTTAATCCCAGGGAGGGATGAGCAGCCCTGCAAAACTTTGAAGTCCCACCTCTGGCCATAGTCTGGCTTCTGCATTACCCACCTGCTTTCTCACTGTATCGATAGTGAAAAGATGCTAAAGTTATGCTCTTAAAAAAAATAAAAGAGGAAGGTCTCAGGAAATTGAATTCTGTGTTCAAAGCTACACTCACTGGGTTTGCCGCCTTCATATGCATCATGTCCCAACCTGCGTTGCGAGAGGCAGCTTTTATCTGTCTGTGATGTTAGGGGCTTTGCCAATCTACAGCAATGGCTGAAAGCAGGGATGGGTGAAAATTTCGGTTTTGTTTTGGAAAGAATTTACAAACATTCTCAAAGTGTTCCTTACTCAGGATAAAAAAGAAATGGGGATTGAAAGAAAGAAAGAAAAACATGGATATGGGCAAATAGATTTGCCCATTCAGGCTCTGGCCTTTGAGGCCTTGGCTCTTAAAAGCTGGGCTTATATCCCAAATATTAGTGCTGAATGATTGTTGCCACCTCTTATTTCCTGAAAGGCTGCCCAGCTTTAGCAGCCTCAGGGCAGGCAGGCACATCATGATTCTCTGCTGGTGGGAACAGCTATACCCTTCGAACTGAGCTGGTGCAGAGGGATAGGAATCCAATTTGTTTTTTGTGAGAACTTAACAAAAATCACTAAGTTCTTCCTATTTGCAAAAGAAAGCATAGACTTTTAAAAAAACAATACAGGAAAATGTGAAGCTGACAGACTGGCCTGTTCCTCACGTGAAGGGAGGGCACTGTGCACACATCCCTCTCTTCCCAAGATGTCTTGACTCTCAGGATATCTGAGAGTAAGACACTTGCCGCATTTACTCATGGCCTTTTCCGTGCTGCTGCTTCCATGGGGTGCAAAGGATGCTCCTGCTTGGACAAACCCTTCCACTTTCCCCTTGGCCAAAATGGTAGACCCTTGTGACAGATACTGGTAGCATCGGAAAGAGGACAGGGCCAGCTTATGCTAAAAGCAGGCTGCAGGCTGGTCTTGGCCAGCCAGGGGCTCCATCGCCACAGGCCTGTCTTTCATGGAGGAGTGGGCTTCCCCCTTCACCAGCCCATGGGCCTACGCGCTGAGCATGGTGCCCTTTTGACTCAGTCTTGTGCTCCTTTCCCTTCCATCCCACCTAAGCAAAGGCCATTGATTGTAGTTGCAGCAGAGGGGCCCTTGGATAAGGTCTTGGATGTGTGTATTCGGCATCCCACACTTCTGCCATTTGGGCAGGGGCTGGTTAACGTATTCATCTCCACATCCTTTCTTTGCCGTTTTCTCTACCTAGTGCCCCTTTGCCCCCCTTACTTTACAACTTCTGGTCACAGAGACCCATTGGGACATGGTTTGGCAGCTTGGTGCTTGTATGCTGCATGCTTACATTTAAGGAATAATCACGGGATTTCTGTTTGTGTGCTGTGTTTTTATATTTAAGAAGTAATCATGGAAGCGGCTTGGCTTGTCCAGTGTCAGGAGGTCAATCATGCGTTCTAACCATTTAGTTTTGGAAATGGAGATTGGTTTGGCCAAAGTGCAGGTCCTCTGTGTGGGCACCGCCAGTTTGACAAGCAGGGCAGCACAGGGGCTTACGTGCCTTCTGCAGGAACATATGTTCTCTCTTCACTGTAAGGTAGCCGGCAAGCAACAGCAGGGCTACTTTCCTTTCCAAGGTAGCTATGGTGGTTTGTTAAAGAAGGGTGAATTAAACAAAGGAAGGGAATGTGCAACTGTTAATGGAGCCCAAGCACCAGCTTTTCATCTGCACCAAAAAAATTAAGCTAAATTGTGACGTAGGCAATTAGCCTATATCCCCTCGCATGCAGAGTGTGGTAACAGAAAATGTTTGAGGGCTTTGTGCACATATATCTGTGTTGTAAATAAAGTGGTCAGCCCACTTTAGCATTTTCAAGGATCATTTGTTTATGGGCTACTCTGTTACAGAACACTCCTAGGGACAACTGTTCTCTTAACAACCCATTTTCTGTGTGGCTGATTCAGTTCTCCACCTTGAGCCAACTGAAGGCCTTGTGCTACAGTATTTGTAAACAATGCCGAAAGGCACCAAGTGGGACACCTGCAGGAGAAAGGTTTATCCAAAGGTGGAGCTCAAGGTGGGTTCATCACAGATTTTGGAAGCAGCTTTACAAACAAGTGGCAAGCACAGGGGAGAAAGTCCACTTCTCATATTTCTTAACAAGTTGGAATTGGCCACCTGGATGGGCCTTAGTTACATTTCACTGAGGGCATCAAAGAACCGAGCAGCAGAATCTCTGCAACAGGTCTTGGTTAGTGCTGGAAGGTTGTTTGGCACAGAGGCAGAAGCATTGCCTTAGAGACCAGAGTAGCTTAAAGGAGGAGCAAATACGATAGTGGGAAGCAACAGCTTACTGTTTCCAATAGCCTTGATTTACATGATTGCAAAGTGGATAATAAGCCATGTCGCCTTGTTAACTACCAGCGTCTGCTGGCCAGATTTACATAACCACCTTCTCTGTGACAGCTTAATATGCTGTGCAAAGCTGGCCTTGTTGTGGGTAACAGGACACATTTCCCCAGCCACAATTGTATCTACAGTTACCTTTGTAAATTTCCTAATGCCTTTCCGCTTAAGAATGAGCTAAACTGAAGCAACAGCTTCTCCCCCACTTAGAGAAAAAGAGCTCCAAGGGAACAGGATTCTGATGAAAAGTCTACTGTATTCTGCCCTCCCTCACAAAAAGCAGTAGAAAAATAGGATGAAAATTACAGTGACTGAGTTCATATTACATGCTAAGCCATTGGCTGGGTGGGACATGGCTTAGGATGTATGTGAACCCCACATTTTTTTCCACAAGATGGCTATGAAGCAGCATAAGAAGCCGTGGCTTAAACCATAGGCAGCTTGTTGTGTCATCCGAACCATGCCACAACGCTGAAAAAATGAACAGGCCCCATGGCAAGAGCACAAGAAGGTGTTGCTTGAGAAAGAAGAAGTGCACAGGTGGGAAATGAAGCTGAGCAGGCCTTCAGCATCACTGATGCATTGCAGAGGCCTGCACCAGGGGCCGTTGGTGCAGAGGGGAGGGCAGAGAAGAGGAGGCGTTAGCACACCCTCTTCTGTGCTGGTCTTCAACCACTGGATCAGCCAGCAGCAACCAGGAACCCGGCTTCAGCCCCCTGGAAACCCAACCCAGGCCCAGCAGTAGGCAGCCTGTGCCTTCCCCACACTCCATCTTGCCCCCTCTGCACCAGAGATCCTGCCCTCCAGCATGAGGATGGGACATGACAGAATGACAGCTGCCAGATGTGCCCCCTTTGGCAGCTGCCGCACCCGCTCCCCTCAGTGCTCCCACTGTGCCCTCTGGGTTGCCAATGGAAGGATGGAGGGAGTGGAGAGGAGGAGGCAGTGCCAAGCATTAGTCCAGCACAGCAGGGTCCTCCAGGCAACTTGAAGCCCAGCGTGGGTCCTGGGGTTAAAGGGTCATCCAGCCGGTAACTGGCCAGCCTGGGATAAGCACATTTGCATCGCAAGACCAACCCGTGATCACAAGATGTTTTGTCCTTCCGTTGCCATCAATCCTATCCATTGTGGAGGACCATGAGAGTTGTGGACCGCTAGATGTTTTGGCCTACAAGTTACGCATCCCTCCCCTGGCAGCATTGAACAGCCATGTCAATCAACGCCCCTCTTTGCTTCTGCACTGGCCCCACTTGCCCGAGGAGGACACAGCCTGGGCACCTCTGCTTGAAGCCAAACAAAGAGTCCAATTGTGAGCGAGCGGCGGAAAGGCTCAGCGGCTTAGCTAGCTGCCAGTCTTGGCTCAACAGAGCGACTCACTGTGGGACAACGCGGCCTTTCTTCTAGATGTCTCACACACTGCTGCCTTCCCCAGCTGGACCTACAGATCTTTCCCCACTTTCAAGTCACCTCCCGTGCCACACCTGTCGGGCCTGACCACTTACCTGCATTGGGAAGGGCGTTTTTGCTCGCTGCAGCATTGCCTAGAGTCAAATGAAACTTTGCAAGCACATTTGGGCGGGTGAGTCAAGGGGGAGGGAGAACGCTTCCTGCCTGTCCCTGCTCCACTGCACAGGGGCTTTGCTGCAAAGCCTTTCGTAGCCCCATATGCAAAGAACCACGTGACTACCCATTTCCGCTAAATCAAAAGCCATTGCCGACTTCTTTGTTGCAGTTGATGAACTTAACCTGAGGCCTTTATAAGAGAGTGGCAGGAAAGCGGGGAGAAACGGGTCAAACCTCTTGCATGGATTTAGTTTTGAGACAGTGCCCAGTCTGCTTCAATGCAATGCAATAAAAAAATTATGCATTTTGGACAGCTGTCGAGGGCTGCCCCCCCCCCCCCCGCTAATTTCAGGCTTATACTGCTATATTTCCCTGTCTTTATGGCTGGTGTGACATAGCAGTTTGAGATCTGCACTGGGATCCAGGAGATCTGAATTTTAGTCCCCACTCAGCCTTGAGGCCTAGTGGGTGATTTCCAGTCAGTTGCTGACTCTCAACTTTATCTACCTCACAAAGTTGTTGCAAGGATAAAATGGTGAGGAGGATCGTGTGGGCTCCTGGGCAGAAAGGCAAGACATAAATAAACAGAAAAGTTGTTCATCAGAGCTAATAGAACTGAAAAAAGCTTCTCAGTATTAGGATGGCCACTGAAGCTGAGAGCAGTGCCCAAAAGGCTGGTCCTTCTTGCATTCCAGAAGGAAACTGAGGAAAGGGAGACAGAAAGAAATCAGAGTGTATAGATGATGTGACGCAAAGACAACTGTGCAGCATGGGGTACAGTCTGCCTTCTTGAGAAGTGGAACAGTGTATAAATGCAATTAAAGACACGTTCCACAAGGAAAAGGTAACAGCTGCCTGTTTCATCTCCTCATCTGAGTTTTACATGGAGCAGGGATCATATATCAGTGCAAGACCCAGCACTGATTATGAAGGGGAGATTTACATGTGTACTCACAGCTCTGCACTGCTATTTCCCGTAGGCTCAGGCAGCAGAGATGTACCCGTTCAACAGTACCGACCACAAGCTTCCTGTCGCCCCCTTGAGCAGGAAGAGCAGTGCACCTGCCACCCACCACTGCTGTTCTGCTGTGGAAAATTGATGCATGGCTGGGGCCTGTAGCATGAGCACATTTAGTAAAAAATTTCCAGCATTTTTAAGAGCTATGAAAACGACACAGCAGAAGACCACTGTGTTTGTACTGCACGTTAGCTGTTAGAGGAGAACAGGGAGCTGTTTTGTGGTGAAGGATGACTGCAATATACCTAAATCATTTTACTTTTAAAATGTAAGCTTCATTTCAGTAAACAGTCCTTTAAAAAAGTGCGTGATTAACATCTTTTATATTTTTAAACAATGGAAACACGCATTCAAAAGCACGATAATATGAATACAGCTCTAGTCAAACTTCAAATGGAGCTGAGCTCCTAGTCCCCTCTGAGCAGATCTCAAAAAGGGGAGTCAGATCATGTGGACACAAATAGTTCCTTAAATATCCCAAACCCAAACCATTGAGGCTGTAAGCATCCCAGAGCTTTAAAAATGCAAGGACCAGCTCTTTGGATTGGGCCTTGAAACACACAAGGGGCTGCTGTGGATGAAACAACAAACGATGGCCAGGCGGCGAATGAACGGCCCCTGTCCCATCAGCAGGCTGGAGCAGATGCAGGTTCTGAAAATTGAGAAGGCAGCCATACATAGACCACATCAGAGCAGTTGAAGCAGGATGTGGCGAAGGCGAGTGCAGACATGGTCAGATCAGCCTCCTCCAGGAAAGGACTCATCTGGTACACCAGCCTAAGCTGTGTGAAGGCACCCCCACCCCCACCCCATCCCCTCTGTTTTCCTGACCAAAAGCACACGTGCTTCCAGCAAATCCAGATACTGGAATATTATGACTCGGGAAGCATCTACATATCAGTGATGCTGCATTATCTTAATCCTTTGCCAGCAGTTTCGTGTAGTTATTAACACAAGGGAGGCTCAGAACCCATGTGCACTAAATACAAGCTATGGAGAACCACATAGAAGTTCAGGAGTGGATAGCCTGATACCCTCCATACATTTCGGAAAAACTCCAATGAACTTCAGCCAGCACAGCCAATGGCCAGCAGTAAGGGGAGTTGTTGTCCAAAACATCTGGATTGCCTAGTTATGCCAAAGGCAAAGGAGAACATTGTTCCCAAGCACCACCTTCTGGAATTGCCTAGGACATTTGAGTTATTACACTTCTATCCTTCCCTTTTGCATTCTTCAGGGAACTGCAGCAGCTCCCTCCTTACCCTCTCTTATTTTATCATCTGAAGAGCCTGCAAGTCAGGTTAAGTTGGAGTCAGCAACTGGCCCAGAGTCACCCAGTGAGCTTCCTGGCTAAGCTGGGATTTCAACCCAGATCTCCAAGTCCCAGCCCAATCCTCTAAGCACTGTGTCATGCTGGCGCCTACCTAGTGGCTGGCTAGGACAGATGAGTCCAAAAGGAGATTTCCCCTCACGGATTTCACCATGGCTGGCTGCAGACAACTAGAATCTTGCCTTCACGTAAAGGCCTCTGTGCTCAAGATCTGGACAGCTTTTGCCTGCCAGGGGTAATACAAGTTCAGATGTACAAAATATTCTCTCCTAGTATGGATAATTTCATGTGAAACATCTATAAACCCCTCCACCAGTTTGGCCATCCTACCTCTGGCTGTTTTAGTAAAGCCAGGATGGGCAATGATCCAGGAATGCTGCCCACTTCTTCGGAGTGCACAGTCAGAAAGATACCCATACTTGGTTTTTAAATGTGGGAAAGTAGGGACCTCCAGTACATTCACAGATCTCACAAGCAACCCAAGATCCAAGCGACTTTTTCTGCAAAGGGGTTTGCAAACTGGCCCCAGGGGGTCTCTGAGGATTCAGCCCCCAGTTCTACAAGGGCCAAGATATGATTGTCATCATTCCTACCACTCTGAAACTCTCCCAGCAGATAAAACAGGAGCGAAACAACACCATTTCTTTTTCAGCACACTCTCGTCAAGCAACAACTCCCGAGAGATCCTCAGAGCCACCACAACTTCTGCTTCCTCGGTGCCCACATCTTCACCACGGTCACTTCATCATTCCCATTTGCAGTTTCACAGGAGAGCCAATGCGGTGTAATGGTCCAAATATTGGATTGGAGCTTGGGAAAGCAAGGTTCTAGCCCTCATTGGGCCATAAAGCTCATTAGGTGACTTTGGGCCAGTCACTGACTCTCAGCCTAACCTACACCACAGGGGTGATGTTGTGCAAATTCAAATGGGGAGGAGGACTGCTATGTTGGGTTTTCCAAATGACAGAAAAGGGGGGGATATAAATATCGTAATGAATAATCCAAAGATCAAGCTCTGAAAAATATTCGACACTGAAGAGCACATAGCTCCTGTATGTGTACATATACATGCATATGTGCATGTGCCCAGACCATGCTCTTCTATGCTTGTACATGGGTTCAAGCAAGAGTGGGTCATCACATTTAAGGGAACTGCAGAGGGCATGTTGCCGAACTGAAGAAAGCATTCCTCTTTCCACTCCTGACAGAATCTCCTAAAGGAAATCCTGGGTCTGGGCCTAAACCAGACAGATGGCAGATCAGGTGGTGGATATGGGAAATAAGAGGCTGTGGGAGTTGTAAGTAAACCCGGGAGGTTAGTTTAAAAGGTTTGAGGTCCTGTCATCTACCGCCCCCTAGTGGAGAACCTTCCTGTTAGGACTTGTTTTTCCGACTCATGTAGCTAGGAGTAGTCTGGAATCCAAGGGCATCATGTCTAGCGGCTTTTCTTGTTGTTTAGTCGCAAAGTTGTGCGCGACCCATCAGGACCCCATGGACAACATTCCTCCCAGCTCTCTTGTCCTCCACCATCCCTTGGAGTCCAACCAAGCTCACAGCCACTGTCCCAGTGACTCCATCCAGCCACCTCATCCTCTGCCGTCCCCTTCTTCTTTTGCCGTCAGTTGTTCCCAGCATCAGGGTCTTCTCCAATGGGTTGTTCCTTCTCATTTGAGGCTTTTCAGATACTGCCAAAATAGAACCCCAATGGTACTGGCTCAGCGACTACCACACTGGGAAGAGGAGGAAATTAGAAGACTGACTAGGCAGCAGTTCCAGAATAAAGCATCTTCTCAGTATGCAGAATGCCCCAAGTTCAATCTGCAGCCTCTCCATGGAAGGAAGGATGAACATGTGCTCAAACTCTGGAAAGCAACTGCTGGTCAACCTTGACAATACTGGGCTAGGTGGACCCAGCATCTGACTGGAAGTAAGGCAGCCTCCTTTGTTACCAAGTCAAAACCTATTAAGTAGCTCTGCTTCCCATACAATTAGCTGGAGAAACATCCATTCCTCCTTCAGCAGAGGCCTCATCAGCTAGTGCATGGTAGCTTGTGGGTTTGTGTGGTGCAAGAGAAGGTATAGTTTTTCCTACATCCTCCACCCTCCAGAAGAGGACGGTCCGTTTTAAATCCAAATTTTAGGGCATAAACCTCTCACCCTGGCCCTTTGGGAAAGCTTGCCTTTGAAGTTCAGAAGTATGTGGAAAAGGAATCTGGCCTGAGGGCCAAAACCAGTGCAGCATTATTGTGACCCTGGTCCTCAGCCCCTCTCACGGCTATGCCACATTTGGCCCAACCTCTGATGCTTTCCTGGCTTATGTGCCATCCACTCCCCCCGCACCACACACACACACACACACTTGAAAAGCTAAAATGCCTCTGAGAAATGAGATTCCAGCTGGAGGGCTGAAGAAGTTCCTTGCCCCTGATGAAGGTACAGCCACCACCGATGGCCTGAAGGAGGCACCCTTCCAGGAAAGAGGTGCCACCTACCTTGACTTCATCTCCAAGCCCGCAGGAAAAAGGAACGGAGCAGCAAGACACTTCAGCACAGAGCTGTGGCTTTATAAAGATCTTTATTTGGAATGAAAATATAGATATTGACCCTGAACCGTTTCCTTCCCCTCTTCCTGCCCTCCTTTATTTCGTCAGAACCTGCTTTGCTTTTGAGGGCTGGAGGGAAGACGCTCCCAGAGACAGCAGCCTTGGGGCTGACGGGATGACAGGTCCTTTCACAGTCTGGCCCCGCTGCTCATCTCCACGGTGACTTTCAAAAATAAAATAAGTTCAGGCAAGGAAGCAGAAGAATCCACAACAGGATCTCAGTGGTCCTAGCAAGGAAAAGGGGGCAGCAGGGAAGAAGAGGCCGGGCGACTCCCAGCACTGAAGCACAGGAAGCAGCAGCTGCAGATGGCCAAGCCCACCCTGCAGGAGAGACGGAAAGGCAAGCCCAGGCTTCTCCCCGGGCCACCCGTCCGAGTGGTGTGGCACACGGGCCAACCAGCCACGGGAATGAAACAGTGGGCAGGGGCTCTGACCAGAGTAAGGCACAGGGGCAGGTGCAGGGAGACCAGCACTTTGCCCCCGAAATAATATGGGGTGCAAGATTAACAGGAGATTTGGTCCAAGACGAAACCCAAAGAACTTCCCAAGTAGCAGCAAGAGAGGGCAACTCCCAGTCTCACACCACAGGGCAGGATGAGGCAGTGTAAAGGGACTGCTGGCAGCCCGAAACCGTGACGTGTGTCGGAAGATCCAGGGTGACGGGTTCTCCACAGCAGGCCCCTAGACATCGCCGTTCTCCAGGCGGCTCAGCTGCTCCTCTAGCCGGGCGATGCGCTCGCCCTGGGCAGCCACGAGCGCACGCAGCGACGCCACCTCGTGCAGCACCTCCTCAGTAGTCCACCTGCCTTCCTGCGAATGGAGGGAACCGGTGTCAGGGCGCTCCTGTGGCACCTCCCAAGATCCCAGCTGCTTGGCTCAAGCCCTAACACACGGACCATCCAAACAGAAAAACGGAACTCTTCAAGCTAAAGCATTCATTCATTCATTCAAAATATTTATATGCCGTCTTAATTGCAAAAAAGCCTCAGGCTTACAATGTAAGCATTTCAGCTTCTGCTTTCTTAAGCTGCTCCAATCTCAGATACAGGATCTGACAGACAGATTTGCATCAGAGCAGGCAAAGACACAAAAGCTTCGATGCTTTTCTTTCACGATTTCAGTGTTCTATTTTATGCTTCACTCTATGAAATTCAGAGATAGATAAACCACACCCTTTGGGTGAATATGTGCACACACATTCGAGGAAAGCCACACTGCTAAATACTCCCGCTCAACCCAGCCACGCACACACAATCCTGCCTCAATTTATGGAGCCACAGGAAGGAAGGAAGCTGCCACTTTTCTTCCCAGCAAAGAAGCCCTGAGCATGGCTCATGCTGCTCCCGAAATCCCGCTTCACCAAGCCCTGAGGAACTGGTGCCAAGGAACTAGAGCTTTCCAAGTGACCTTTGTGTGTGCAGGAGGGACTTTGGAGGCTCATACTTGGACTGCAGAAACCCTCCCCAGCCCCGGAAAATGGAAAACGTAGATGAGAGGGCGGGAAAGCCTCAAAATGAAGCAAAGATTAGACATGCAGAATACACACAACGCTGCCCTCTAATACGCCTCCTGCCAGACGTGTGAACTTTCTCCTACCCCCAAGTCCCTGCGCTGCACGTGCTTCGTGCTCCCTTCCAGCTCGGTCCCTGGGCAGCCCTGTTGGAGAAGACAAGGAAGCACCAGCCCACCCCATTCTACTACCCCGCACGTACCCCACCAGCCATGCCAACGCTAATGGCAGGTGTCGCAGCAGGCGGAGACATGGCACTGGGGTGTGTGGCACTCAGCCCGGTGCTGGGCACGGCAGCGGGGCGGCTCTCGGGCAGTAAGCTCCTTCGGTTGATCTTGAGGTCCCGTTGCTTTGTGGGCACGTAGGCTTCCCGCAGCGAGATCAGGATGGGCGGTGCTGTCTTCCCCGCCACCCATTCCTCGGCTTCCATGGCGGCTTCTGGCCCGGCTGTGTCCGGATACAGGTCATCTTGGAACAGATCGGACTGCAAGGAGAAGGTCGCATTAGCAGTGGCCTCTTCTGGTCAAGATCAGTGTAATTTCATTTATTCAAGCTGAACTGAAATGGCGGCGCTGGTATGCGAACAGCAACCTGCTTTTCTCCCTGTAGAACGACGACACAAGACAAGCTACCAACGCAGCGACTGTTCAAGTGAGCGCTCACACTTCTGGCCAGCACACCTGGAATCGGAGGGAAGCCCCTGCTGCTGGGCAGAGAGGACGCCTTGCACCTAGGCAGGCCACACTGAGCCTCTTCCCCTAATAGTCAGGCTAGGAAAGGAGCCATGGAACACCAGCCAGGATGGAGGGCATCCAGGACAGGTCTAAAAGACTATCGCTCACGATGGAGATAGGAATAACAAGCAAATGCCTTAATACCTCAGGTTTTAAAAACTGTTCTGATGAGAAAGCACCTCTCCTGTCTCAGACATGGTCTATTTCTCCCAGGTCCTGCTTCACAGCTGTACTAGCTGCTCAAGGTAAGCTGCCAAGGTAGTTGCAGCTACAACTTGCTTCACTGAGGAGATCCTGCTTGGCCAAACAAGGAGAAGCCTTTAGCTCATCCAAGCCTCTTTCTGTTTCCTCACACGTACAAACCACTCTGCTGAAGGCTGAGCTATTGTATTAACACAAAAAGCAGTGCCCACTTCTGTGTTTCAAGCTCAGATACCACTGGCAGGTTCTTGCTGTGTGGCAGGAAACCGGGGTGGATGGAATGGACACCGGGTGGGGATTCCGAAGTGCCGCTCGAGGGACGCTTCAGCCCTTCCTGACTGCCAAAATCTAAGTGCGTGCAGCTCCTTCATGTACCCCACCAATGTACAACCTGAGCAAAGCAGTGGCAAAAGGCTTTTTCTCCAAGGTGAGTGTTCTCTAGTGCAGAATGACCAGTCCAGCCAAAAAAGGAGACAAGGCTGGGGCTTCCCGGCAGCCATCTGAATGTGGCTACCCCAAACAGCAGCAAAGGGAGCAAAAAGCTGGAATTCCCAGTAGATGAATCCCTCCTGTCCAGCACCCACCTTCCTTGGCACTGTCATGATGATGGGTTCACACTTGCGCTCATGGAGTTTGTAAAACCTGCAGAAACAGAGATGGGGGGCAACCGGGTGAGCAGGTTAGGAGGAAAAGGACGGACGTGACCAGTGGATGCTGGAGTAAACCCACTTGCCCCCGTGATCACGGCCCCTTTGCCCTCCTCGGTCTCCCCTCCCCCCGCCTCCACCAGCTCATCTCATTCCAGCTACCTGGCGATCTCACACTTGTTGACATCCAGGCCCCGCTTGGGCATCCACCCCATGCCGCGCTGAGGTTCCTTGCTAGTGAAGGTGTTCAGGAAGTGGATGTAAGGTGCTTCTGCTGTGATCTCAAAATACCGGATGCTTGAGTCTCCCTGGAAGGAAATTGGAGGAGCCGACAGGGCAGGAGGACACAGTGTCAACGCCACCCCCATCACGGTCATGGTTAACCAACTGCCCCATCTTAACAAACCCTTTAGGAATTTAACTTGATTTAAGCATTTCTATGCTATCCTTTGCAACAAGCCTCAGGATGGCTTACAAAGTCATGTAAGCCGCCCTGATTATGCAGCCATCTTGAGTACTTTGCTTTCAAAGAAACGGGACCGAGTGATTGAGGGAAAGAAGGTGGGAGCTACTGCCTTCTCCCTCTTCAGGGCATAGGAGATCAAAAGCTGCTACAAACCAGAGTTCTGGCTCTCAGAGGGAAGGTGGGCTTTCCCACAAGATATCTGTGGGGTTCGGTCAGTGATAACTTGCTTACACAAGCAAGTCACAGCTTGATTTGCAGGAGTTATCACAGGCAGGCCTGGCTGCAGTAAATGTTGAAACACAGCCCTGTAGTAATTTCTGGCCCCACACTGAGATGCAAGGAAAGAATCTGAGTCACCGAAGTCCAGCAGGCAACTCCAAGGTGCCTGAATTCTGGTAGAGAGGCCTAGTTTTATTTCATTGGGACACTAAGTTATAATGTAAGTTACTACAGAAAGGGAAATCTGTTGGCGCTCAACACTGTAAATACAGATTCCATGAAATATGAACAGTAAAAGTTTATCAGTTTTGGCAAGAGAGCAGCAACTGTGCTTTCAGAGTACATCCTGTCTGGGAACAGAATCAGAGAACAGAACCAGAGAGATACTGTAGCATGTTCGAAGGGGCAGAGATAAAACAAGGATCTGGTCTGCAGAGGGGATCTGGAGCAACAGACAAGGTGTGATGCTGCAGAGGATGCAGAGAATGGAGGACCCGATCCCTTAGATCCAGGGCATGGCTATAAATGCACAAGTCACACAAAATATTGTCTCCAACAAGCAAGCGGCTCAGCCTCACACATTTCTGTTGGAGAAGAAAGCCACTGGAAGTCGAAGGGAGTCAGGATGACCTGCCAGGCTAAGGCAGCAAGCCAGAGGCCCCTCTCGAGCTGCGTGGGGAAGCATACCTTGCCGCAGACATAAACCACGTTGGTGTCGGGGTCGTAGAAGGGCAGAAGGGCCCCGTTGCTCGAGTCCAGCTCCTGCAATGCCATGGGCTCCTCCAGGCTCTCCTGCAGGGCAGACACACACACAGGGAAGCGCAGAGGCCCTTCAGGCACTGGAGGCCACCGCAGCCCCTTTGGCATTATCCTCCTCACAAACAGAATCTGGTGGAGGCTTTGCCAGCCCCATCTCCCTACCCTCCAGCTTCCTAGATTGGGGAGGTGCCTGGACCCATGGAAAGGCTCCCCTCTTCAGACATTCCTCCCAGAATGCACAAATGGGGGGCAGTAATGGGACAGTGGAAGCAGTGCTGGCTAACTCAGCCCTGCCCTCTTCCTCCATACGGTGGGACCCAGTATCTAAGCCATGCCCATTTTGCTCCAGTGCAAAGAAAAACAGCCCGCTCAGAAAAGCAAATGAAGAGGAAATGGCTTGCTTATTTAGTTAAAGTTTTATTTATTTAAAGTTTTTGCAAAGTGTTCTCTAGCACATGCTCTCAGGTCATCAGGAGGTGTGGGCTGCGGAACCATCAGTACGCTGATGATACCCAGCTCTACCTCTCGTTCTCCACCAATCCAGGTGAGGCAGTGGCTGTGCTGAACCGGTGCCTGGCCGAGGTAATGGGCTGGGTGAGGGCCAATAAACTGAGCCTCAATCCAGACAAGACGGAGGTCCTGTTGGTTGGCGGATCGGGCTTCGGAGAGGGTGAATTGAACCTAGTCCTGAATGGGGTTGCACTCCCTCTTAGGGACAAGGTCCGCAGCTTGGGAGTGCTCCCAAGGGTAGTGGGGCTACCCTTGAAGACGGTCCGGATACTTCAACTGGTTCAAAATAGAGCTGCCAGTGAAGCTGACGGAGGACTGGAGTCATGTGAACATAACGCCCAGTCCCCGTCAGCTTCACTGGCTCCCCATTGAAGTCCAGGCCCAATTCAAGGTGTTGGTGATGACCTATAAAGCCCTAAACGGCTTGGGTCCTGGTTACCTGAAGGAGCGCTTACATCCATATATGCCCAGACTCCCCCTGAGATCAGCGGGAGAGGCCCTTCTTCGGGAGCCCTCCGTGAAAGAAGTTAGGAGGGTGGTTACTTGGAGGAGGGCTTTCTCAGCGGTGGCGCCTAAGTTATGGAATGCGCTCCCCAGAGAGGTCTGCCTGGCGCCGTCGTTATTTGTTTTTCGGCGCCAGGCGAAGACCTTTTTATTTAAGCAGCGTTTTAAATGTTAATATAATTGAATTTTATCTGGCCAGGGCAGCTTATTTTATATTGTATATTTGTATTTTATTTTAATGTATATATTTTAAAATGTTATTTATGATGTTTTAATTTATTGTTGTAAGCCGCCCCAAGGCTTCGGCGAATGGGGCGGCATAAAAATGTTTTAATAAATAAATAAATAAATAAATAAATAAATAAATAAATAAATTTCTTTGCTACACTGATAGCAAACTTGTGCCTTCCAGACATGTTCATACTGCAACACCCCGAATTCCCAGTCAATGGCCCTGCAGGGTGGGAATCCTGGGAGCTGTGGTCCAAATGCCCCTGAAGGCCACCAGGGTGGGGAAGGCTGGCCTAAGAAGATCACGGGGGGGGCCGGCTGTGGGAGTGCAGCCTTCCACAGGCTGGACTGGGTCCCCACATGGGCCGGCGGTTGCCCTCCCATGCACCAACTGAGCCCAGGAAGTGGGATGGCAGGAAGAGTCCACTGCTCAGCCCAAACTCCTCGGCTCAGGGAGAGCCCTCCCCACATGCCCAACGGTGCCTCCCCACCGCAGAGTGCAGCACGCCCCCGCCCTGCCCCACTCTCCCACTCACCAGGTCCCAGAGCGCCAGCTGCCGCTCGCTCATGCGACTGAACCCCGTCGTGAAGATCTTCCCATCAGCCAGGAAAATGGCCCGCATGGGGCGTGCCCCCTCGTGGGCTCTCTCCTTCTCCTGTGCCGTCGGACAAGCAACAGATAAAGCTGCGGGCAGTTTCCACACGCTCCCTCGGCTGCCACAAACGCTCCAGGCTGGCCCCACTCTCACACCTGTTCTGCTGCTGGATTCTAACTGGCTTATGCATTAGGGTCAGCGTCGACCCGATGACTTCCTCCTCCCACCCTTAAGGTCCAAGGACACCCTTCCCCACAACCAGATGCTGACAGAGGTGCTCAACCCCCAGCCACGCATTCTGGCCCAGAGCAGGCATAAAAGAAACAAGGGGCCAGTGGCAGACACGAGGGGGTGGCCGGCATGAAAAAAAAGTACAGGATTCCACCCCCCCCCCGGCATCTCCAGCTGAAGAAGGGGCTCCAGTCCTGGGTCTGACAGATGTGTTCAAGTCACTGCCTGAGAACAGACCAGCCTTCCCCAATCTGGTGCCCTCCAGATATCTTTGACTATAACCCCAGACATTCCCAGCCGTCAGTCATGCTGGCTGGGGCTGTTGGGAGAGGAAGCCCAATGCATTTGCAAGGCACCTGACTAGGGAAGGCTGAATGAATCCTTCATTCACAGTATTTGTGTAATGTTTCATATGCCAGTACGGAGATTCCAGAGAAAGACAAAAAAGATAAAAGGAATAAATATGTGGATAGGTAGAAAAGTGATTACAACTTGAAGCGAGAGTGGTGATGTTAAAAACATAAATGCAATTGCATTTTCCTTTAACAAAAGCAGCTGCCAAAGCCAATCTTTCAGTTCAGTTCTCTGAACAACCCAACAAAACATACGTAAAGATTAGCACTGCTCCAGGTTACTCAACCCCAGAGGCAAACAATAATCTTCTTCAAGGTTAAAGTTGTGCAAGTGAGATCACAGGCATGATCAATACCATAGTGCAGGGCTAGGAAAACTTCTAGATTATGGGAGATACTTTATTATTTCCTAGGATCTCAAGATCACTAAACTAGAGCCAAGTGCGAAACAGTGGATCAGAGTAAGGGGCACACAAACTTAGAATTAAGGTGCAGGGTACCTCTAAGTGCGTCTCAGAACAGGAATTTGTTTTCAAACCCTGAGCTGCGCACAAAATAAAAAACAGAAACTAAAAATGCAAACAGGAAACACAAGTCAACCAACCCAGAATCAAAACCAAAAATGAGAGTCACTGTGTTGTGGTGACTAGAGTGTTGGCCTGGGACTCAGAAGATTCAGGTTCTAGTTCCCACTCAGCCATGAAGCCCACTGGGTGACTTTGGGCCAGTCACTCACTCACAAGGATAAGATGTGGAAAATAAATGTAATGTAAATTTTTAACATTAGTGTTTGTTATTAAGCAACATTCCTGGTTTTCCCTCAGAAGCTTTCTTAATTTCGGCAGCCAAAATGGATTAGTGCAGAGTTGTTGCTATTATTTAACTATTAGGAATTTCGTGACTCATTGCACATCACTTGGAGATCTACCTGGAGATCCAGATCGAGCTATTTCACCCCTAACCAAGCTAGAAATGGAAGGCACACATCTCAAAGAGATGATAACAAGATGCAGAAGACTTTCAAGTCCCAAATACATCCCTACTGCACTATCGTGAGACCCAAAACAAAATCCCTTTGACTTCCAGGATGAGAAAGGCCTTGTCAAAAAGCCAAGAAGAAGTAACAGTAGCAGAGAGAGAACAAGTACACAAATGCCCACCAGGCCAAGAATGCCCATGTATCAAAAGACTCCGGGGAGGGAGGAACATACCGCCACAACTTGCCCACGGCGAGGGTCAATGATGCGCACGGCCTTGTCCTTACAGGCAGAACAAAAGAGGCTGCCATCCCGGTTCCAGCTCACATTATAAATGAGGTCAGGGTGCAGATCGTCAAGGCGGTAAAGCTCTTCAGCTGTACCCACGTTCCACACGATAACCACATTATCGCAGCCTGGAAAGAAACCACATTATCGCAGCCTGGCACACGCAAGCACAGCATTGTCACAGGAGCAGAGGCTCTCAGGCAATGCCAAGTGCTGTATCTTGACATGGCCCACGCACAGGCTGGCAGCCAAAGCATCTCAACTCTGCTTCCTCCTCATCTGCGTCTTCCACCACCCACCACCACAGATGGTACCTGCACTGAGAAGGACATTGCGGGCAGTTGGGTGCCAAGTAATGATGCCCACGCGCTTTGAGTGCCCTTCCAGAACCACCACTGGCTCAGTCAGAGGCAGTGTCAGTCCATTCTCTGGGATCTCCCACACCTGAGGAGAAAGAGGGAGTACAATGACACAATATTCAACCACTCTCCTCTGCTCCAATTCTCACTCTGGTGCCACATCCTACCCCACAGAGTCGCCCATCATGAAACATTTGATCACAACCACCAGGACAGACAACCTGTCCATACTAAAGAGACGACCCTCTCCTGATCTTAGGCCAGTATCCCACATTCTGCAAGTAGCCTGCAGCTCCTCAGTCTTTTCCACCTCCTGACAGAGCACTCTTCCCTAATCTAGTCCTTCCAGGTGTTTTGGACTACAGCTCCCAGCACTTGGGCCAGTGGCTGGCTGGAGCTGAAGTCTAAAACATCCGGAAGGCACCAGGCTGGGGAAGGCTGCAGCAGCGCATCCCACTTAATATTTCCTCCACCTACAAATACTGCAGGGACATCAGTATCATTGCATACTGTCTCCAATTTCCCTTATACAAACCTGCGTACATACTGAAACGAGAGAGATCATCAAAATGACACAAGCTAAAAATTTGGATTTTCTGTGCATGTTAGGAAGAGAGAAGCACTTTCCCTTCAGGGGCCAAATACCAATCTGGCAAAGGTTTTAGGAGGCCATATTCTATCTGCTGGTTTTCAAAAACAGATTTATCAACTTGTCAAATTGCTTGATCATGGAATACATGTGACTGTGAACTTCAGCAGGTGTCTCTCGCAAGAGACCATGGCTGCAAAAGAGCCCTTCCCATGCAGCCCCTTCCCCATCTCCCCCTCACCATAACAGTGCAATCCTCAGAGCCACTGGCGATGATGTGATCGTTGTGTGGGCACCAGTCAATGTCCAAAACTGGTCCCGTGTGCCCACATACTGTAGGATAAGACTTATCAATACGCCCAGTCTGGGGACAGAAACAAAGGAGTAGAGTCAAGAACTGGTGGGAGCCCTTTCCAATCCCTTCAAAGCTGGAGTCCTGCTCCCAGTATCCCTAATTGCTTTGCGGGATTATTGCCACTCCCAATGTATCACCACCCTCCTATTCTTTCAGTGGTGTAGCAGAAACTGAGCTCGCATGGATGCAGAAGTGGAACTTTTTATATTAGCAGGGGCACGGATATCAGCCCCCCACACCCAGTGACAACCCCTTGTTCCCCCGAACTTACCTGCAATCCTCAATAGCTGGTGGGCAATGGATTTTCCGGGCAACAATATACATTGCTGCAATGCAAAGTATTTTGGGGGTGGGGGGTTAGTCTTAAAGACCAGACAGCTTTATGAAACTTGTGCTTCTGGAAGGGATGAAAGCTGCTACAACCAGCCTCTTGATATGGATCAAGACTGGACTGCTACCTGCAATTTTTGGACTCTCCTTGTGGGTGTGGCCACAGTGAGTCCCTTGTGCTCCAAAATTGGCCACTGCACTCCTAACATATAGCAGAGAATGCAAGAGAAGAAATAAATGAGGCTTGGTGAGCATTCAGGAATTCTGGGGTCCCCACACCTCCTCCCTCCATTTCTAGCTTCACTGCTTCTTTCCTCACCTTCTGCAGCGGGAGAACCATGAAGGCCCCCCCTCCACTGGCTTCCACAATCACAGCCACAAACTTGGGGTTGACAGCACAAAAGGTGCTGTCCCAGGTGACCCGCGACACTCGGATGTCATCGTAGCACTGGTCGTTCTTGACAGGTTGCCCAAAGACATGCCGGAACTTGCTCTGGCGCACGACCTTCCGGAATGACATGACTGGGGAGATACAGGAGAAAATCAAGGTAACACACATCTAATTTGGTGGTGAGTGTATCACATTGTGTCAGGCAATGCTGCAATACGCTTCAGTAAAGAATATGATTCCCATGAGAATATGCAGAAATGTGGAGCAAGGATCAAAGGGATTTTCTGAAACCACTAAATGACTGCAGCGGACTGAAGGCATTGCAAGTCCTGCGTGCTTCTGATGTATTTATTTGTTTGTGGGGAGGAACCATGCGTGCTTCCTCCTCAAGTAACTCAAATGCGTTTCTGTACTACAGCTCCGAACAACTCCATACATTACAGTTTTAATCTCTACGTGCAATTCTGTGGGCATCCATATTTCCATTTAATTTCATAAATGAATACTAACACTGCCCCATGTGCAACACGTGTGTGTCCAACCCCACATATAATTGGACCACGGCTGGATTCTTTGTTCCTTGCAGCATTTGCTTTCGACTACCGTAAGCTTCTTAGCCACTATCTGCCTAGGAATGGATGGGTCTGACACTCTCATTCTCACAGAAATTGCAGGATTTTCAGGATGACACGTATTCCATCCTATTTCCCTGTGGGCATGAAAAATATATTTTCCAAATATACAATTTTTGTGTTTACTTCTCCCTATCCCTACCAAACTGAATCAAGTTCAAGAAATGTGAAGATTCTGAGGTTCACCTCTATCTTGCCTATTTGTTCAGGTGAGAATTTGCTAAATTTGCATTAAAAGTACAACACATTTCTCACCCATCCCTAAGTTAGGGAGGGTTCTCTTTCTCAGTTTCATTTTATGGAAATATGTATGAGGAAGATTGCTTAGTGGAAAAGGGAACTAGAACCATCTTCCAGAGGCGGTTGGGCCCTGTTTGAGTTAGTGGAGCTGAATGCAGAGCATGTCTACTGAAGTAGTACAACACTGTAACATTTATGAAGATAGACAGAATTAGGTACACACCCTTGGTTCCTTTGAGTGATATGAAATGTCAGAACTGAAAATCCCCTCCTAGACCACAGAAGTATTCTCCACCCAATCCTCTTACCTCTACAAAAGTTTGAAAAAAGAAGAGCAAAAATATAATAATCAGAAGGTTTTGGATTTATCCAGACCTATTTGAGAGGAGGAAGGTCAGCAGTCAGCTTCAAGAGAACAGCCCTCAGCTGACCACTGAAGCAAAAGACCTAAAAGACCTGAATGCAAACTAAGCCTTAAATGTTCAAGAGGCAGGCTGTGTCCAACAGCAGGGTGCCCTGATCGGAGCCAGAGGCCAGCTCAAACCTCCAAACAGAACCCCTTCAAGCTGGAGGCCAGCACTGCAAAAACTGGCACAACCACCGCACACAGTCCTTTAGCAGTGTGTTTCTACATACGTTCCATTTCAGCACATAGTCAAAGGAGTTAGACTAACAGGGATTTCTGGTGCCCAAGAGCTTCCGTCTGCAGCCTCCGCTTCTGATGCAGTGATGGCCCCACCCTCCTTTCAGCTGCCACCAGGTGTGACTGGGGCCATAAAAGAAAGTTTCCTTTGGGTGGTTCCTGTTGGGAAGGTTCATGCCACAGAAGAACTAAAGGACGGGCAAGCACCGCCTTTCTTCCGCACAACCCTAGAAAGAGTTGGAGGCACTGCAGAACTTGCCCAACCTATTTCAGCAAACCAGAACCCCTCGCCTAGGATATTTTCCCTATTTTGCACCTGAGAGCGTGTAAGGCAGCAGGAGGGGAACTCAACCAGGCAGAAACTCTCAGACTGTGTTTTGCTGTTGTCTAGAAGGAAGCTAGTTTCTGGAATTGTTTTCCTGCAAGGAAGAGCCCCACAGAGAAATGCCAAAGTCAAATCACGCAATTTCTCCAGTGCAGCAACTGCCAGATGCAAAGTGGAAATTTTGCAACCAAATTCCAACTGTTCAGTTTGGACCCACAGGGTGTCAGAAAAATCTCAGCCAGGCAGACTCAGCTCCAGGCATGTTTTGAAGCATTTTAGCCTTTTAACTGTTTGCAGCCCACTCAGAGAACACTGATGATTGGGCAACTTAAAAGCAAACAAGCAGGCAAGCCTTTTACTACTTTTTATCATTTAGCCTCATTCATGGAATTTCACTAGACATGGAGGTATCACCACAGCAACTTCCACCTGTAACCCTCCAGTGTTTTCTCATTGCTTCTTCACTCATTTTTCTTACCACACTAAGGAGAAAAAGATGGATTAGTTATGCAAGGTCTTCTGAGCAGTGGTGCTAGGATCCCTCTACCTGGAAACATCCCGAGCATTTCTCTAACCTCTCTTCAAAACTCAATCAATATACCCTTTCGGGGCTAATGGGTTATAAAACCTTTTTTCCAGGAGGAGGGGTTCCATTTCAATGGAAAAAATACTGACGTTAAGCCCCAAATCTCCTGGCTGCTGGTAGGGGGATCTACCCCGTTAACACAGAACAAGCAAGCGGGAGTTTCTGGGCATGTGCGAAGTGCTTTTCCCCTCGCCATCCAGGAACCATAGCTAAATGACGGCGCAGACGCTCGAAACCTCTAGGTTTAAGAAGGAAAAGTACTGAAACCTTGGAAAACAAGATCGCAGCTCTCGATCCCGAACCAGAGACGAAAAAGCGCTGCAGCAGGGCGGGACTCTCGTCCAGCCGGGGGAATGAGAAGGGGGAGGACGAGGAGGGCAGCGGAAGAGAGGCTGAGCTGGTCTCGCCAAAGCGACGCTTCCAGCCCGCTTCGCCGCTTTCGCCTGCCGGGAGGCAGCCCAGGCCCCGGTCCCCTCCCCACGGCGATCAGGGCTTCGTTACCCACCTCCACTCACCGGCCGGGGGGAACGCAGCAGCCTCTCCCTCGCACGCTGCCAGGGCGGTGCAAGCGCTGGCTGGAGGGAGGGGCGGAGTGCCCGGACTGGGCTGGACTCCCGGCCGCCACAGGAAGTGACAGAGACAGTGAGGCCGGCGGAGGAAGCCTTTCCTCCCTTCTCCGCTCCGCTGTTACCTGCCCTGCGGGAGCAGCGCGCCGGCGGAGGGAGGCGCCAAGGCCCGCCCCCGGGGTCAGCAGCGGGCCACTGCGGGCGCCGCACGCCCCGCGCCGCTGCTCGGGCGAGCCCGCTCGGAAGAGGGGTGGGCGGCGCGCCGCTGCGGTAGTTGCAGGGGCGGCGCTACTTTGGCGAGGGGTATAGCCGCATCTTCAGAGGCTGCAACGGAGGGGCCGTGGCCAGTGTGCAGGCTGGAACCTGATTTTCCGTGGCGGGACAAGCCCAGGTTTGAACCAGTCGTCATCCGCAAGAAGAGAGTGTCCTTAAGCATGCGCCAAGTGCTTTTCAGTTCTACCGAATAATGAAAAGAGGACGTGGGAACTTCTAGGGCCCCGTTGCATGAATCGTGAGCTTCGAGACCTCTCTTCTTACAAATAAAGCCCTGGCCACTAGAGGGGGGCACCCACACCGACAATTCCCTTTAATTATGGTAAAGTCTCCCCAAGATAGACTGGGGAATAGGTCACGAGCGTAAGCCCCGCGGGGCAGGGACCTGTTCTCCCATTCTTCGTAATGCGACATGAGCATAGAAGGTGTCATCTACCGTTGGCTTCCCCCTGCGCACTTCGGCACCAGGGTGCGGGTTGGAAGCCTGCCAAACTTGCCTTGGTCATGCGGGAGAAATCTATTGGCCGGCGCGGGGGATGCAGTTTGAGCTCTGCTCTAATCTGAGCGTGCCTTGGACTATATTCGAACCAACCACCAGGCAGCTGCTTCCGCCGTTATGGCTTATTTTTCTTTATATAGTCCCGTCAATTAAGGCATTAGGAAATAAAATATGAAGCAACGGGTGGTTGGGAGCGAGGCGACAGTAGGTTTCTTGCTCCAGTTTAGATTATAAAGGTGGATACAGGAGACCGATCAGGAATGGCAAAGAGTTGCTGGTGGTTGCCACAAATTACTCAAGTGGCACAAAAGATACTATAGTCACTGCTCCAGTGAGGTGGATTGTCCCCATAGCATCACGTACAGGAACTCACACACTTCTGCACCTTTGTGACAATTTCAGAATTTTAGAATAAAAAGCAGCTGCTCCTCCCTGGAGAAAAGCCTACTCTGAATGGGTGTGTATAAACAACAGCCACAACACACGCATGATTGCATCGGGATCTGAACATGGGAAGAATCCCCCCCCCCGAAAAGAAATCTATTGGGAGCAGAGGCATGATGAAATAACTCTGCTGCCTGTCATTAGAAGAGAACTACTCCACATTTAAAATTTTTTTCTCATATATAGCTGCTTGATCATCAAAACATCTGGGCCATCCTTCCCCTTCAGATGAGTAGGGTCACAACTCCACTGTCCCCAGGCAGCATGCCACTGCCCACATGGTCATGGACCATGGGAGCCCAACACATCTGGAGGGCTTCAGCTGGGGTAGGCTGAAGGTCCATCAAGGTCCATCAAGCCCAGTAGTGTCAACTGATTGGCAGCAGCTCTCAAAAAGTCCAACAAGGTTAATTTCTCCACCCTGCAGCTTGCAGTCCTTTAAGCATGCTGGGAATTGGAGGCCCTTTCCCTCTCTAAACATGTACAGGATTGTGCCCTCAGTTCAACTGAGGGAGCTGCCTATTGCATGCCTTTGAGAGATCTTGTTTCACTCATTGAGAGTTTAAAAGGTGTGACTTGTTTGTAATCGGAGTATTTTCTGAAGGATATGTTGATTCTAATCTACATTTGTGTTTTGAGCCCAAGGTTAAGTGCCATCATAATGTGTATGATCATAAATGTTATAAAGGTGTGAATATATTGCTATATATAGTGGCTAATAATCTTGGTTGCTCATTAATCTACAACACGTAGCATGGTTTAATATTGGATTCTGGGAATTCTCTCAAAGTGATATTGAAACAGAATCAAATGCACATTTCCAACATGTTTTCAGCAATCCAGTTGTGCATTAGGAAAGGGATAAGCCATCGCTATACTTAAAATGATTGTCTAAGGCTGCAATCCTATACATGTCTTTGCAGTGAATTCAATGGGGCTTTTATACCCAAGGAAGTGTTTACAGGGATAGGAAGCATATGTTTTGAGATCACTAGCTATAACCAAGCCCCCAAAGATAGTTTCTGTTTCTTAGCCTTTCACTATGAGACATTTCCAGAAGGATCACTATATTAGTTGGAACAAAAGCAACAAGTGACCTGGTTCAGATGATCATGATGGATTAAGAAAGTCCCCATGGCTTGCTTAAGCTGCAGTGCATGCTGGTCATAATTTACCATAACTTGTTATATTGTCCAAACCTAAAAATAGCCCAGCAACAGCTCAAGGGTCATTTGAGGGTTGTTTCCCCAACAAAACAGCCCTACTGTCTAGGTTTGGACAACATGGCTAGCTGTGACAGGTGGGTCATTTGTGGCTTGTTTAGCCTACTACAATCATGTGAATTGAGCCACATTCTTGGGGCCCATTAATTACTAACAAAGTTATTGGCCTGTTTTGCATGTAACAAGAAACCATCAGAATTGCATTGCCTTGTGAGGCTTTTCATTGCAGTGGAGGGTGAACTTGCGAATATTCAAGCCACAGCAGGTACACATTAGAGCTTTTTGGCATGTGAGAACCCAGTGAGGGTAGGTTGCTGGGGCTGCTACCAAGCCGCTCACAGCCCTAACACAGCTTATGGTTTTGAATATTCAAGGTGATGGCTATGGAACCAGGTCACTGGCCTGTGAGAGCAGAAGGTAATGCAGTACAGAAAGTACAAACACCGGTAAGGTTCACAAGATTTAGTAAGCCACTCAGGGTGTGGCTTAGCATGACATGTGAATCTCCTTTGCTTCACCTGAGGTGGCTTATTAAACATCCCAATTAGCCATGGCTTGCAGTGAGGTTTAGGAACCCCTCCCCTCAAAACGTAGCATGTTATTTGAAGCTGCCACTGCGCTGTTTATGTGGCTTAAAATAGTTTGAACTGGCTAGTGACATTATGCTAGAATAACTGTGGCAATTCACCAAATACTTCTTGGTGATAATGGAGACATCAAAGCATTGATAAACTAGCCGATGTGTGATAGACCTTGATCCCTCTTTCTTTGAAGTTCCTTGGTTAACACATGACTACCTTAAGCCACTGAGATAACCATGTATGTCTTCCCAAATTGTCCAGGTTCTTGCAAAAGCTGAAGAAGGACATGCATCTATCCAAACTTCAGGGTACATGCTTGGAAAGTGTTTTCTCAGCTAGGATGTTGCTCTGTGATTTGGAGGTGATCCAAGGTAAGTGAATTATAAATGACACATTACTCTCTAGAAACTTCCTGTGGCAAATATTACAACAAAAATAGGAGCAATGCCCATTACGGCTGGAATCCTGAATACACATACCTGGCAGTAATGTTTGGACTTGATGGGGCTTATTTTTCCGTAAGCTTTCATGGTAAACTGCACATTCTTTATGGCAATCTTTATCATTTCCAATTGACTAGAATGAAGGAAAACAGGCTTCCAAAATTGACAACAAATGGATGTGCCAGTGTGAAACTAAAATGCAGGCGCTGGAACTTGGCATAGGTTCCAAAATGTGACAAAGATTGAGGGAATGTATGAAGGTGATAAGGACTTCATTGTGGCCTCTTCTTCTTCCAAAAAGCAGTGGAACGTGGATACAAAAGATGCCCTGCAATGAGATGCAGACGCTCCAGTGCATCCCCAGGCAAGTATGCATAGGAATCCAGTCTTATGTACTTCCATTTTCTAAAATATCTCCTCCCACTTTTTTATTTTTATAACAACAACGCAATTCTTCCATAAATGCAGTATTTCAATCAAAATTATTCCAACATCTTCAAAGCTGTTACCAACAGATTGGCTGTCCTATATTTATAGAGCTTCAGGAATTTAAAATGTTACTGTTATGTTTAATATCGTGCCATATGTGCCGTTTCTAGGAAGAATTTTAATGAGACATTTGGGTTGCAAAATGCTGATGACCTTTTTAAAACAGTCTTGTCTCCTTGAATCTACCCAGGGAAGTATCTCTCATAGGGAGTTGCAGCGATTGATCAGACATGGAGGACATTTGATCAGACAAAGCAAAATGTATTACATTGTAAAGAAACTTATGCATACTATTCTTTATCATATTATTATTATTATTATTATTATTATTATTATTATTATTATTACATTTCTATGCCGCCACTTGCCGAAGCCTCGGGGCGGCTTACAACACAATAAAATACATTGAAATACAATAGAACATAATAAATTACCACTAAATACAAAAATACAAAAAATACACTGAGATACAAACATAATAATATAAAATTAAAATTAACAGTATAAAATAAGTAAATAAAGAATATAGGAGGAGAAAAGAGAAGGAAGAAGAAGTTGCCCTGGCCAGATCATATATTTTAACAATTAAAATGATGTTTAAATAAAAAGGTCTTTACCTGGCGCCGAAAAACCAGTAACGACGGTGCCAGGCTTGCCTCTTTGAAACTAGTTTCACTTACTTTGCTATTTCTTATTATGTTCTGTTCTCTGTGAGTTTTGTGATGGCCTTCTTAGTTTAACAATAAAGTGGTAACCTTGACTGAGATTGAACTGTGTGCAAATTGAAAATATGCCTGCTTTGACACCAAGTAATACAGATCTTATTAAATAAAATGACTTCTTGATTTGTTTTTGTATTCTCTAATTGCCTGTTCAACCCAGTTTAGGGTTTAAACTGGAGTTCCTTTTATTTGGATGATACCACAGCGCAAATAATTTCTTGAAATGCAGTGGATACTCTGGGGGCACAAGTTAAAGGGTATAGTACAGTATCCATCATATTTATGCTGCAATCAAATGCCACATACTGATTCATGGTGTTGTATTTATGGGGAAATCAGAGTTAGCAAGTTCACATGTGTTTTATCGTCTGTTAAAAGTATGAGCACAAGCCGCAGGCCATTGCAGTGTAGCACTGTAATTATGGAAGAAATGAGAGGGCCTACGGCTGTTTCAATCGGTTTGGTTTTTCTCTGCTGGCAGCATACACACTTTTGCAGATATGCAGGAATGCAGGTTTTAAAAGTGGTTGCCTGGTTATTCACAGCTGTGCAGCTTGTAGGCGCAGAGTGAAAAATACACAAAATGTCACGTATTTCCTGCCACAAGTCCCATCAAACTCAGCGTGAGGAAAGAGCAGGGAGAGGAAGGAGAATGAGAAAAACATGGGAGGGGGAAGAAGGTGAGAACAAATGTTATAAAAACTGCCTTTGCCATTAAAAACGATAGTCCTGGGAAGCTGGAAGACAGATGACTTTGTAGCCCATGCAAACTGGAAGCATTAAAAAAAAAACCCTTAAGTGTAGGTTGTGGGGAAAACAGTTCTGAGGGAGTCAATGGGTTGAGGAATGTGTTGTGTGCCTGGTGTGTGAGACTGATGCTACAGTCCCATGATAAAATGCTAGTACAGATCAGTTCCACTTGTTCCAAAGGGTGCATGCCCTGCACATGACTGGAACTCACTTGCAACTTCAGTGCAGTGCTAGACGTGCCTCTCCAGATACGCTGGGGTAGAACCCCCATCATCTGCAGCAGCACGGCATAGATCAGTAGTCCAGATGTGCTGGTTTACAACTTCTGTCACTCATGGCCATTCTGCCTGTGGGTGGAGTTGTAGTATGGAGAGTACGGAGCTGAGGAAGGCTGCTATAAGACATTATATTCCTTTCATTGTGGGAATATCCTGGCCACCACTTCCCCAGAGTCGGATTTTTTTCTCGAAACAGAAACACTGCCTATAGTCCTGTGCACACTTCCTAGAGCAGGGATGGGGAAACAGCCTTATTTATTTATTAGATACTTTGTTTGCCCCATTAGCCACAAGGCAAGCAAGAGCTTTCTGGGAGCATTTAAGCTCAGATCTGTGGCAAGAGTGATCTGTCCCTCTTCTGGAAGAGTTTGAGAGAGTAGGCAAGAGGGAGAGAGGACTCTTTGGACTCTGGTCCCACACACAGCCTAGCCCCAAGGGGGAATTAATCACATTTGACACAGAAGGGCTTCCTTCTATGTTCCCAGGATCCCATTGCTCTGTATCTTATGCCCAGGATAAAAAAATTTAGCCACTGTGTGGAGCTAGAGTTGAAGGAATGTGGAGAGGGGCTGATGCTACAGATGGGTTGTGTGCATCTCCTGGACAATATTTTTCAGGCATGTTTGTGAAGTTGTGGGCACAACTCCATTTCCAAAGAATCATCTTCCAGGCTGAGACAATATCTTTCAAATATTTGGGAGATGCACTGAAAAATCAGAGGATAGCCTCCCGCTAGCCCCCAAGACTCCAGCAACTGCATTAGTGAGTAGTAGTCCAAGCATAGTTTTCATCAAATTGACTGATGGCTGGGGTGCCAGTGGCCCAATTTTTGTGACTCCTTGGAGCTCTCCTTTCTTGAGGCTCCCAGTGATGCCATGAGCTTCTTCACTTCCCAGATGCTCCCAGCCTCTCCTCCAATCCCACAAGCTCTGTCTCCAGCCTCCAGGGAGCCTGCACACAGATGACCTGATGGATTAAGGTGACACCTTTCCCAGGGAGTCAGTAAAAGCCACAAACAAATTCATACAGAAAAGCCCTCTTCTTAATCATTCTCAAATACATACAAAAATGGTCTGTCTCCACAAGCATTTAGAATAATGCACCTTGTCAGGGAATTTTACCATGTGTCTTTTTTGCTCACTTGGTTATCTGTTGCCAGAGGACAGGCAGGGCATCCTGGACCACATCCTTCTCCACTGCCTTGGCCAAAGGTGTCTTTCACAGCTCTGCTGCTTGAGAAGACTTAACTGGAGCTGGCTGGTTCCTGTCCTGCCTGAAGCGATCCGCCTGTCACAGCACATGTGCGGCCACTGGGCTGCAGTCCCTCCCACACGGGGACTGTAGAGAGGGGAGGCTTTGTGCTAGAAGCCATGGATGAGGGCAGCTCTAAGGGGCTAAAGCCAGCACCAGTATCTCCCTAATAATCCCCACTAATTGGCTTTCTCCCACCCCCCTCCTCCCTGGAGGTGGAGTATAAGAAGATTTCTCCACTTCTTCTTAAGCCCCCATATTCTGAGTCTGCAAGCAGTGCCCAAATCCCACATCCGAGAGGCACACCTGTCCCATGCCACGCAAGCAGTCTGGGGAGCCAGAGGGCCCGGTGAAGGGCGCAGCGGAGGAAGGTGATCAGCCCCAGAAGGAGGAAGGCGAGCCCAAGGGCAGCAAAAGCTCTGGCTCTGAATCGCGGCGAAGCTCCCAGTCTGGCCACGGGCGCAGGCACAGCAAAAAGCATCAAGCTGACCCTCATGCAGCTGCCATCAAGGCATACTCGCCGTTCCTTAACACTGTCTTTGGCAAGGTGAGGCCGTACCTGCAGACGGAGGGGGAAGGTGCAAGGGAAGGGCGCAACTGCAGCAAGCAGGGCAGCTCTGTGAGCAAAATGGCTTTCTGAGCATGGATTCGTGCAAAGCCAACACGGTGGCACCTGCACAGAAGTGGGCCTTATCAGCAGGCATTCTGGCTGCCCCCAATAAGGGCTGAGTTTGGTCAGTGTCACAGAATATGGGCAGATTGTGGAGGGGGCAGGGAACCAGAAAGCCATGGGTGGTGGGAATGGATCTGAGCATCCAGGACAGCAGCATGGCTGGTTAGAACCATGGACAAGAGCGCTGCACGCTGCAACATTTTGTTACAGGTTCTGTTCATGGAACGCAGGAAAGAGAATGAAGTCAGGGGGGGAGGAAGGGAGAGGCAGGCTAAGGAAAGGCAGCAATGAGAAGGGGAAAGGGAGGGTGGGTACGGAATACTATAATGTAATTAAATAATACAGTTTTATAAAGTAAATACCAGCAAAATATTATGCAGATTTCTGGGAAGGGGATGCTGTTCATTTGCAGTCATCCCTCAGGTCAGGTTGGGTGCAAATACCTCGAAGCAGGTATTTTAACAGATCGCTCTCTTGGGCAGTGAGCACGGATTCCACTTACCTTCTCAGTGTCAATGACAGGTGTATATGTTGGAGGCCTCAACACCAATTTGGTAGCTGCTTCTGACCCCTCTCCCGCTAAGGATCTTTAATTCTTAATTTAAAAAATACACAGACACCTTGAGGCACCCGAGAGGCAACTGGACAGCCGTCTGAGCAGGTTGCTTTAACCTGGAGTCCTGCACTGAGCAGGGGGTTGGACCTGATGGCACCCTCGGCCCCTTCCAGCTCTACTGTTCTATAACTCTCTGAGTCTATAGTCATGCAGGAAGCAATTTTACAGAGATAATTGCTTCCAAATGCGCAGGCAATGCAGGAGGAGCTGCAGAGGTTACCTTCTTGCTGCTCCTGCTCCGCATTTTCAAGAGCCGTCTGCCCATCACTAAGCTTTGGAGGAAAAGAGGAGGAGGCTGCAGAGGACACAAGATATGTTATGCCCTGACCTCTCTAGTCTTTCTTCCTCACTGCCCACTAGAACACCCTTTCACCCCTCGCCGAGGTCGCTTCCTCAGCCCCAGGGAGGCAGCCAATGTAGTTCCTTGCACACCAGCTATGGGAGTGGTTGGGAGGGTTGGAGGATGCATTCCCAGCCCCGAGCTGGGAATCCAAACCGCCTTATGCCCCACCCACACAGCACTGTCTAAGGGGCATAGGACTGATCCCTTAATTGTATACCATCTTTTTAAGACAAACAATTTTTCAAAACAGTTCCATGACTGGTGGAGTACCATCCTTCTGCCAGACCTTTGCTGAGTACAGCCTCCTGCTTTTGTAGCAGTCTTGTGGAACTGGTTTCCCCTGAGCTTTTTGAGAGGAAATGGTTTGTTTGAGCAGAAGGTAAATAGAGCGCACTTCTGGAGCAGCCCTGCTGCTCGAAAATAGGCCTTGCAGGACCAGCATAGAATTTGCGGAGTGTTGTGGGGGTGCATGAAGCGTGATTATGATCTTCCATGCAGAAGGGCTGAATTCCCAGGGTCAGGATGCAGATGGAATGCTAGAAGCAGGTCAAGATGGCGTGGATACTCTAGAGGAATTTGACCCATACTTGAACTTAATGACCTGTTGCTGGTTATAAAGCCTGAACTTGCCTTTTCCGAAGCAACATTTCACTGCTGGAAGATTGTCACTTTTCCTGCATGCTTTAAAAAAAAACCAGTGCACAGTACGAGATATAGATGTACATCGTAGATGTAGGGGGCATGCACGCAGTCCGCCTGGGAGGACCCTAGCTCAGAGACCAGACTTGCATGCACAAGGTCCATGGTTCAGTCCCAGGCATCTCTAGTTAAAAGGATCAAGGAGCAGTTGGTGAAAAGTCCTCCATCTGCTGCAGGCCTCGGTGAGCCACCGCTAGCCACCCCAGACCATTTTGGGCTGGATGGACAAATATAGCCCGACCTGCTGTAAGGTCACTCTCTGTGGTGGAAAACACCCCCCCATCCCTGCTCCCCCATCCTTCATCTGCACTACCATTGACAGTCCTCCTCCCTCCATCCACCATTACAGAGGGCCAAGGGCAACTTCCTTTACAAAAGGGGAAACAACCTCTGAAAAGTGAAAGCTCTGCAAGATCATATAGAGAAAAAACAGACAGGTGAGCTGGGGTGTACGTGTGCGTGCGCGTGCACACATCCTACCTGGGGAAATAGGAATGAATCTGGGTTAATTGACATTTTAATGTGCCCCTGCGTTTACAGTTGGCTCACTAGCTAGGACGCACAGACCCATTCAGGCCTTACTTCCTCTCCTCCGCCTTGCCACTGATTGCCTTTCTCCGGTGTTCCTGTGTCTGAGCCCTGTAGGCCAGGAGAATGGAACCTCTGTCAGCTGAATTCCATTTTCAAGAAGCAATCAGGATCCTAATTCCAGTGGCGGGCAAGCCAGAGGCAAGCGGGGAAGGGCTGGAGCGCAAGCATACTTTAGCGTAAAGCTCTTCCTGCCAATGCCTAGGCCTTCTGTTGGGCCTGCCCAACCATTCAACAGAGTGATGAGGTTGCTTCACGTGCCAGGTGCTGGAAGGAGGCGGCAAGGTGTTGGAGGACAGAGCCGTGTGCCACATGGTTGCTCTGTGCCAGCCACACCAGCCTGCTGCCTGCAGGTGTGGTAGAAGATTCTCTGGCACCCCCACCGCTGAAGACAGTCAACTGCTAGTCCAGTTGGCTTGAATATGGGGTAGGAGAAGGCCTCCTCTTGTTCTTCACCAAAATCTCTTGAGATGGTCCTGTCTTATGAGAGACATTTCAACCTTTAAAATAGGACAGGGAGCAATGCAAAACAGCCAGAAGAGCACCAGGTGAAAGGCAGTGGGGCCAAGGCCACTTCAGCAATGGGGCTGAGACCTTAAGCTTGAGGTCCCGCACCCCTGTTGGAGGCAGAGCTGTCCAAAGGCACCCTGATGATTCTGTGCAGGCACAACAGGCCGTCAGTGGTAGGGCAGAGGCTGAACTGCTTCAGGAGGCAGAATGGCGATAAGGAGGTGCAGGATCCACCGGGACACCCCTGTGATTGGGGAGATGATCTCCAGCCCCTCACAACATCCTTCCTGGCCCTTGCTTAATTAGCTCATATAAATAGCCCAGGGCTGATGCCCTGCTGGGAGGCCAGGAAATCCCATTAGCCAGACCAGTAGGTGGGGGAAAGGACTGGAGAAATGGTAGCCCAGTTCCTCGGGGGCTTCCCAGGGCTCTCTCCAGACTGGCAAGGCCTCCCAGAAGCCTCTGCTGAGGGGTCATGGGCAGGCAGCGCCCCCACAGCACCAGCACCTTCCAGTTTCACTTAAGACCCTGTGAGTAGGCCGCTTCTGTTCTTACAGGAATGGCTGAGAAAGGGCCAGCAGAGCTGTGCTTGACCTCCAATCCATTTAATCCAACCTTCAGCAGGTTAATTTGGGAAGCGATTTCTCTCTGGGGTGGAAGTGGGGAGGGCTGCTCGGAGCCCTCCCTTCATTATGCAAGCTTCCTCCACGTTAATCAGCTTCCTTCAGAGAGACGGGACTTCTCCGAGGGCTCTGGCAGGGAGTTATTTCTTTGACAGTAAGGCAAGTGAGGCCTCCCCAAAATGTTTCAGCCTGCCCCCCCCAGGGGGGGGGGGGGGGGCTGTCCTGTCTGAGCACCAGCCAGCAAGCCATGCCCTTCTCTAGAATACCTGATTTCATTCCATCCTTCCTTCCCCATATTTTCCCATGTCCTTTTCAAACTAACACTCAACATGCAGTAGCTCCTGAACTTGTACAGAGGCTATTTTGTCCCTTAAGGGGTTTTTTTAATGAGCTTTTGTATTTTTGTAACCCTCAGGGTTCCACGAAAAAGCTGAAGCCTCCCTATAGTTTTTCAGTGGCCCTCCTTTGGCTCCACTTCTCTCAGCACTCACCATTTGAATTTGCTGTTAGCAGGATAAAGATACAAAGAACAGATATTGTTCCTGAAACAGTAGGGACAAGTTGGCTTAGCAGGAACCCTTAGCAATTCCACTTTATACCTAATTGGTTTCTACTGTATTATGATAGAGATCAGATCCTACGTATTTTGTACAGAATTGCTGATGTTTTTCTGAAACCTTGTCTTTGTTATTCCCTTTACGGTGTTTTGAAGGAACTCAGAAAATTGTTGATGTATTGATAGAAATACATAGTTTTCTTTTCCCCTGGGGCTGGTGTTAGTTGGCATTGATTTGTTCTCTAGTTGAAGAATTAGCTCGCTCTGAAAAACTGGAATGGGAGATGGATGTCTGATTAGATTCTATGAAATTGGTCATGGTTTTTCATCTTGTCCTAATGATATAAACATATAGATATAGCAAATTTAAGATGTTATTTTTCTGCCAGCCTATTTTTAAGTCCAATGCAAACTTTTAAAATGTAGATCTGTTAACCTTCCAATTGCTCTTGACTCTCCATTTACCTCTCTCAGAAGTAAATCGCTGGCACCAGTGCCCAAGCTGAAAAACTCTCCCCAGCAAATCTGGCACCAAAACATTTCCTGTAGAAATAAGACCCAGCTTTTTCTATATCAGCTTGCCCAGATTGTCAGACTTTCAGGGGAAGCTTTTCTCTTGCTAGTGTCCCTTCCAGAGATGAATTTGATGGGACTGCAACATAGGCCTTCTCCATGGCCACCCCACACTCGGAAACTTCCCTCCATCTTGCTGTTCTGCACAGCAACAGCATCTCTCTCTCTCTCTCTCTCTCTCTCTCTCTCTCTCTCTCTCTCTGTGTGTGTGTGTGTGTGTGTGTGTGTGTGTGTTCAAACTGACCTTTGTTGCAGAAGGGCCGGTGCTGTTTATATTAATGCTGTGCTTTTAATTGAGTTTTAAACGTATTTACTTTTATAATTAAATTTTAAACTATGTTTTGTTTGCCAACTTGTGCACCTTTGTTTTTGGTCAAAAGGTAGACTATTATTACATTAATCAATTGATTACTCTTCCTAACCTGCACTCTGTGCAAAGGGTAAGGTAGCTTGCGTGCAGTCTTAAGTAGAGTCAGAGGGGAAGGAAACAGTGGATCTACTGCTTCATTCAAAGCCTTCTGAGCTTGCTGTGGCCACATCAGGAAGTTATTTTAGAGACCCACCACCACTGAAGGCAACAGAGGGGATTAAGTATATCAGCTTGAGGCAGAATGAGAGCTGGCTCCAACCCACCACACCCTGGTATGCCCCATTTGGCAGCCTAGCTTCTGCTTCCACTGCCTTTAGCACTGCGGATCGCAGCTTTCTGCCACACGCAGACACACAGTCTTGGAAACTCCCCGCCATTACCATCACCTCCACCTAATCATAGCCCCTTCCAACACCTTCCCCCAAAACTGATAAGAAATGAATGAATGCCTCGTAGGAGGCCCCTACTTCCCTGGTTTAGTTTTGCTCTTGGAGCAAATGGTGATATTCTGATAAGTGGAAATCTTCAGATAGAAAGCAGGGCTCTGACTCATTCTTCTGCTTTTTCCTCCATTTTGCCAGGAGAGGGAACTTTCTCCAGTGGAGCTGGATGGTGAGTTGGCAAAGCAGAGGCGGGGAACTGCGGGGCAGGGGAAGCAGGAATACAATGTTCTGTTTCTCGGTAAAAGGACTTCGCACTGTTCCCCTTGCCTTTTTGAATCCCTAAGATGTATTCACTTTGGAAAAGACCCAAGAGGATGTATCAGAGCAACAACAACAAGCCATATTCCACATTTGTGATTCAAATAATTTATTTATTTAAGAATCACACATGACACAACTTGCATCTCTGTAAAAATTACGTGACTTGTTTGTGATGAATTCTTTATGTGATCCCCAGTTTAGCACAGAGACCTTCAGTGTCATTATTAGAAGGACAAGAAAGATGTGTTGGGGTAATAGACACAATAGACATCTACCCATGTGATTTCCTACATATACCTTCCCTTCCTTTTTATGCACCAAGGCCTATGCAAAATAGACCAATATATGCAATATTGACCATATTGAATGTATATCTGATACGAAGGATCAGTAATACAGACATGTTGCCTTTGCCCCACCTCCCAGTTCTTTGCTGTCTAGCAAGCAGAATGTTTGCTAGTAAATCATGATTGTAACCTTTGGTGCTCCACAAAATAAGGGTGCTAACAGACAGTGAGCTCCTAATACTAGTGATTGGAAGGCTTTGCGCAGCTATTCCATCTTCTCCTGCGTGGATTTTCCATTCTAAAGGGGGAAAGATGAAAGAAGGGTCAGGAAAATGTGGGAGAGTTGCAAGTGGAAGGCGGTGACACCTGGATCCCTTGCAAAATTCTGTGAATGTGGCCGAGTCATTCTAGCCTCCAGCAGAGGAACCTCACCTAGAAGGCAATGGTGCAACTAGGGCTGCATCTGGAGGCTGAGATTCAGGACCCTGCTGACCAGCCCCCGCCCCCCCATGACCAACCAGATAGTAGCAGAAGCTCCCCCCACCCCAATATATTCCTGTAGCCCTGATAATGGTGCTATGAGTTCAGTGAGTTTAAAATGCAACACTGCACATCCTCTGAGTGTATTTCCTAAATTGGGGATGGCGAATAGTTTTGCTGTCGATGTTACCTATCAGGAATTCAGAGGCAGAGGTAAAGCATGGGATGGTGGTTGGGGTGGGGAGGAGGGAGAGAAATGCTAGCTAAGCGGCTCACAACAAGAGGGCCAGCACCCTGCGAGGGGCATGCAGATTCCTTCTTTTGTCCAGCCATCCCCTCCAATACTGTGGGTCTTTTTTGGAACTCCCACTATGCCCACCCGCAATCAAGAAGGGAGATCACAGCAGGAAAGGCTTGTCTCACCTCTGCAACGTGTCTCTTCCGGGCAGAGCTGCTAGATGCCTTCAAGGAGTTTGACACGGACCAGGATGGCTACATCAGCTACAAGGACCTGGGAGAGTGCATGCGCACCATGGGCTACATGCCCACGGAGATGGAGCTGATCGAGATCTCCCAGCACATCAAAATGCGGAGTGAGTCGGGCCTTTCTGTTCCCCTCTCTCCCTGTCCCATCCCTAGTCTCCTACCCTCGTCCGGCCCCAGGATCTCCCACCCAATTCCTCTTAGCCCAAAGGCTTCAGGATGCCCCTGTAGCCCAGAGTTGCGTCATTTCTCGTGGTTCCTCTGCAAAGGTCAGGAGCATGGAACTGGTCCAGGGCACGCAGGCTTCCCAGCCCCTTCCTGCCCATAGCAGCCCCTCCAGCCTCCCGATGATGGGTCAGGAGATCCTGCTGCATGGGGTGAGCTGTGGGGTTGGGGCAACCCCCCAAATCAGCCCAAGTCACCTTCTGTGAGCTGATCCCTTTTATTCACAGAAGGCAATTTGTGGATCTAACCCACTATCTTTAAGGACAGCTTGAAAAGCAGTATTTGCAGCAATTCTTCATATTTCAGTCCCCCTTTCAGGGAATTTGGATAGAAGGTGAAGAATGGCTGTGTCTTTCATTCAACAGACAGGCGTATAGTTCGGCATACGTGGACACCAAACTGACATTTATTTATGTATTCTTTAGTAGTAATTTTTATTACATGTATATCCCACCATTTTTCTCCTGGTAAGAAATCCAAGGCAACTTACATGTCCCTTCTCCCCATGTTATTCCTCACAACAACCCTGTGAGGTAGGTTGGGCTGAGAATGTGTGACTGGCCCAAAGTTACCTCGCATACTTTGAGGGCTGAGTGGGGGGACTAGAACCCAGATCTCCTGAGTCCCCAGCCCAGCACTCTAAACACCACACCAAGCTGGGCTCACACGAACCTCTTGCCATTTCACATGCCACAGCTGCCGTTACAAATCTGGAACAGCTAAGAATGAAAGCATTTTATAGAACAACCTATTATCCTTCAGACTTTTTTTTTTTTTTGCAGGCGAGAGGAGACTGCAACATCCATCAGTTTCAACCAGTATGGACAATGATATTGAATTATAGGAATTGTAGTCCAAAACATAGAGGGCACTGAGTCTTCTACCCCTTTGATAGAACAATTATGGTTTTCTAGTATGTTTGTTTGTTTGTAGCCTTACATACTGCTTAGGGCACAATTCTATGGAGATGAGCATATGCCTCTGAACTCAGAAACTGGTGCTCATTCAGTGTAGTGCAGGAGAAGTGGTACAGAGGAGTAACCCATGTACCTCTATGCCATTTTAGATAGCGTGAAGCTGAATTCAGAGAGTTTGAATATATTCCCTTCTATTATCACTGAAGCCATTCAAATACTTTGTAGAAAGGTAGTATCTGTATCCATTAATACCACATAATAAAATAAGAAATAATAGAATTATAACTGTCATAATCAATTATATCAGTCATAACTATGATAATAACACCATTTCCTACACCACCCAAAACTGCTTCTGAGACTACAATTCTGTATGCACTTGCCTGGGGTTAAGCCCCATTGATGCCACTGGATCTACTTCTGAGTAGCCATGTATAGGGTTGCATCGTCTGTCCTACTAACTTGGGAAACTGCCCTTTCCTTGTGCTCTTTCCTCACAGTGGGAGGGCGTGTAGACTTCGAGGACTTTGTGGAGATGATGGGCCCCAAGCTGCGTGAGGAGACAGCGCACATGGTGGGCGTGAGGGAGCTGAAAATTGCCTTCCGTGAGGTAGGTGAAAATGAATGGGAGGGAGGGAGGGGTGGATGATGAAAATGGGACGCAAATGAATGGGAGGGGAAGATGTATGATTATATTTCAGGCAATGTTTTATTTGCACTGGTACATGATCTTTCTATAATCCCTGCCAGAAGAATGCAGACAGGGATTCTAGTCAAGGTTGGGCACCTGCCGGTTATTCCTCCTCTTCAGCACAGTGATCTCTTGGCACAGATGGAAAACTGTGATGTGAGAAGGAAGGCAACAAGATGCCACGGCCTTCCTGCTCAGAGGGGGTGAAGCACACTAGCAACTGGTGGCGGTGGCCGTGAGAAGGCAGACTCATAGCGAGAGGGGCTCGCCTCAGGGCGTCTTGCCCAGGGGTCCTCAGAAGCCTGAAACTGGTCCCGAGTCTTGGGCTAGGAGTGTGGGTGGAAACTAGCCAGTGAGCAGAGCAGGCCTGGGATGGGACCGAGGTGCTTGTTCCCCAGTACCTGTCCCTTCAGCTGAGCAGAGTTACATGGTGTAATAGTTATCATGGAACAAATTGTACAGTTGGAAAAAGTAATGGATTCTCTGCAAAATGCAACCCAGGGTGACTGACAGCGTGATCCTGTACATGTCTTCTTAGAAGCTAGCTTACTCCCAGGTTAGTGTGTACAGGGCTGCAACAACCCAAGTAACACAAAGTATGATTTATAAGATGTGTGTGTGCTTAAACTATCATCTGCTTTGATATGCTACAGGACTAGCAATGTGACATTTGACAGGGAGTTTAGAAAAGGCATAAATACTATTTCAGTCCATTCAGGGTCTTGCGAGAACCCTGCTTTGCAGACAAATCATCTTTGCCGCACTTTTGTCTGCAAAATGTCTCAGGCATAATCTTGATCGATTTTGATCAAATTGCTTATTGCCATAGAATTGGAGGACAGGGGTGGCTGCAAGAGAGGTAGAGGCCACATCTCACTGGCAACAGTTCTTTTGGCATTGGATGGGTTGGTCCTGGCACTGCCTATCTCACCTTTCACTCTGTCTCCCTCCGGAAGGTAGCTGCCCAATCCTGCTCCAGAACTGAATTCATCCCTTAGGCTGAAAAAAGTTCCATGTTTGCACCTCAGTGGCACCACAGAACTGGAGAATTATGATAGGGGGAAATGGCTGAATGCCTATGATGGAACTCTTGCAGTATAATTAAATCACAGGATTTGACTAGAGATATTCATGCAGTGCCCTCTACTTTCTATCCACGTGAACAGCAGCATTTCTTAGCACCCTGGTTGCTTAACACTGGGCCTGTCTGAGGGATAGGAATAGGGCTCTGTGTTATATGTAAGCTCTGAAGTGACCATTTCGAAACATGTAAGATGCTACAGATGTTTATAGCGTTCTGTCCTAATGCTGCTTTTGTGACAGCCTTTCTTTGATCTTCTGGGCACATATATGATTATCCAAAATTCCAGGCATCTGAAAGGTTTCATACATGCCTTTATTGGTAAGGCATGAGGAACAGTTTTTCAAATGACGGCCAGCTGTTGATCTCCGCATGGGAGGGCTGCAAGCTGCTATGGAGGGCTTGGCACATAAAAGTGAGATGCAGGCTTCCTTTGCAGCCTCCCACTCCAGTGGTGTGGGAGCCGCTTTCCCCGGGGTGCTGTCCCACACACGGTTGCTGGGAACATGTGGCTACATGGGTGGAGCTCCTTGTGCAGAATTTCCCTACAGGACTGGCCCCTTAACAAGCGACTGAATGCCAGCTGAGTGGGGGAGAGCCATGCGGTGGTCTCCAGCGGCAGAGGTGCTTCATTCACACATAGTAGAAGGGCATGGGATTAGATCATTGGGAGGCAATGGGTTTAGTCCTTGATCAATACATGGGAATGGGGCACATGGGAAGGCACCCAAATTCAGTGTCAAATAGCAAATGCCCTGGAAGACAGAGGTAAGATACAGGATGGTCTCGGTAGGTTAGAACACTGGGCAGTGAATAATAGAATGAACTTCAGTAGGGACAAATGTGAAGTTCTCCATTTAGGAACAAGAAATCAAATGTATCATTTCAAAATGGGGAATACTTGGCTCAACAAGAAGGAACTTGGATTGCTGCAGATCACAAGCTAAATATGAGCTCACAGTGTAATGCAGCTGCAAAAGGGGCAAATGCTATTTTGGACTGCATTAACAGAAATATCACTTCCAGAAAACGTGAAGTACTAGTTCTCCTATTCTCAGCTCTAGTCATACCTCACCTAGAGTACTGTGTCCAGCACCTAAGTTTTAAAAAGACACAAAAGGGCTAGATAGGGTACAGAGGAGGTGACAAGGATGATTCAGAGACTGGAGGCAGAGCCCTGTGAGGAAAGATTGAGAGAACTAGGCATGTTCAGCCTCAAGAAGAGAAAACTGAGGGAGGCTATGATAGCACTCTACAAGTACCTGAAAGGCTGTCATAAAGAGGAAGGGCAAGATCTCTTCCCATCCATTCCAGAGTGCAGGGCATGGGGCTGGACCTGATGGCCTTCTGGCTCCTTCCAGCTCCATGATTCTGTGATTTTATGAAATTGTTGTTGGCTTAGGGCAGAAGAGCAGAGATGGAATGGACTGAAGAGGATTAGGGACTGCAGGTGGGCAGGAGAAGAAGAGGAGTGGCAGAAAGCCTGGATAATGGGGAGGGGAAAGAGTGGCTGGAAAAGAAAGGCAGAAGCTGGAGTGAAAGCTGCAGAAATCAGTCCTTAACTGTTTTCTTCTCTCTGAAGTTCGATACAGATGGGGATGGAGCAATCAGCGAGGCAGAGCTTCGCCAGGCTGTGGGTGCCCTTCTAGGTGAGCAACTGAAGGCCCAAGAAGTGGATGAGATCCTACAGGACGTTGATCTCAATGGGGATGGAAAAGTGGACTTTGATGGTGAGAGAACGCAGCCCATTCCCTCTTATCGCTCCTCCCCGAAAGTCCTGCAGAGAGCTACACCTGGCCAGAGTGTCCTCCTTGCACTCCACAAGGACTGGGGATTGGCTCTCCGTGCATCTCGCTTCTTTTACACCCACAGGCAAATCCACTTTTCCATCACCCACTACCCTGGCCACATCTGCTGACCATTCAGAGCAAGCCCATGCATGGTTTGGATCTTTGCCATTCCCTACAAAGATCTACAATGTTAGCCATGTCTCCCTGCTTCTGTTCACATAACCCTGCCTCCACAGAAGAACCAATCTGCCTCTTTCATTTTGTTTCCACACTGTTTGCAGATCCTTCTCTTCTGTTTGTAAGTGTACATGAAAATTTATATCAGTTCACATTTTTGTGCACGTGAACATTCACATGCATTTTGTATGCAATTTCCCCAAATACATGCAGGGGTTTTTTGGGGGGTGGGGTTTGGCAAACAGTCCTCTCTAATGTGCACATTTATGTATACCTGTTTGGGTTAAGGAATTGTATGGTGAGAAGAGCAAAAATGTGTTCCAATTGGTACGTTAGTTTGGGGAAGTGCAAATTTGATTTGTTGGTATTAAAGTGCAACTCCAATCAACATTCCCCAGTGCCTGCTCCAGCTTGGAGACTAATTCTTCCCTTCCTGCTTCTTTCAGAATTTGTGATGATGCTGTCATCCAGGTAACCAGATCTGGAGGGGAAGGGGCTGTCTCGCCCCTTCCAGCATTATCCTCCTTTTTCAGTAGTCAAAGGAAATGGGCTGCCCTTTGATCTCTTTCCACCTCCTGGAGATAGTGGGACATCACCCATGGAAGGATGAATTGTCTTCTGTGGAAACCTTCTGGACTTCACTGAAAGCCACGAAACCCCACCTACACATTTAATTCAGTCTTCATGTGATGTAAGGTATCGCTGGGGAGCTGGAGAGGTGCCAGGCTGCAAGCCATGTCCGAAGGGAACTTATCCTGCCTTGAGGCAAATTGTCTAGACAGCCCAAAAGAATCTGCCTGGCAGTTTCCCCTCCCTGTTAACAGGAAGTACACAAAAGCTCACACCAAATTCTTCTGGTCCTGGAAAACTGTCAACAGGCATGGAAAAATCACTCTCAACCATGGATCAAATGTGAAGGCCCCGTGATTTTTCTGTGTCCAAGTTCTCTGCGCAACCTGAGGCTTCATCCAGGAGCCAGAATTCCTAGACACTTTCACTAGAATCAGTGCAAAAATGAATACTTCATTTCTCCGTGGGCTGTTGACATTCTTCTGAACTGAATGGAGAAATGTATCACTCCCTGGGGCAAAATTAATAAATGAAAGGCATCATTGGAGAGGCTCCAAGATGGAGGGAAAGGAACCCTGTAATCCCATCCTCTAAACCACCACTGGGTGTGTTCTCTTTTGTTAAATCAGTTCAGTGGGAAGTCAGATGACAGAGTGGTAGCAAGTGAACCCACTTCCGAGGGTAGTTGCTCTGGGCAGTTCATTGCTAAGCATTCCCACAAAATGTGGACTGCTTCTTAAGGATGACATTGCTGAAACCCCCCCTTCCTAGGTTTTGTGGGCTGCAGTGGTTTAAGTCCTCATCCAAACCTTACTCTCACCTCCACCAAGAGCTCGCTGGGCCCTGCACAGTCAGACTAAAGGGGGAGAGCACATGCCCTGCCTGCAAAAGCCCCCAGGCTCAGGCACCAGCATCTGCCTCCGAGAGGCTAGCAGGTAACAGTAGCAGCATCAGGAAAAGGCACTGCCTGGGGCCCCAGAGAGCCACCAAGAGCTGGAGCAGGCAGTGCTGGGCCTTGCTTAGATGGCCCAACTGAGCATGCAGCAACCTCGTCCATGTAGGGCGCTAGAAAAGAGATAAGGAGCTCCGTAGGGCAGTCTTCCCCAACTTGGTACCCTCTAGGCGTATTAGACTGCAGCTCCCAGGATTGCCAGGATGGCTGTGGGAGTCCAGCAAATCTGGGAGGTACTAAGGTGAGGAAAGCTGCTATAAGCAATTATAAGCTGCTTCTTTCCTTTTCTTTCCATCCCTGGAGAAATATTATAGTTGGAGTTTGTGTTGTGCACATGCAGCATTGGGTATCATTGGAAATGTTTCTAGATTTGTCCTTGTTCTATATAAATAATTGTTAGATCATTGTTGGCTTACTGCTTTGGAATACAAAATGTATTTCTTTGTTTCATTCAAAGATTTGCAACCTGCCTTTCTAGTACAAAAAACATATAATTACATTTTAAAAAACCCCCAAATACTACAGCAAAGCAGCAATATAAACACAAAAGAGACAGACATGGCAGATGAATACCCCCTTGGTAAAACAATTTCAACCTGCACATTAAAAGCCTGTCAAAATAAAGACATTTTTATTGTCTTTATAAAGGCACAGCATGGTGCGGTAGTGAGATGGTTGGTTTGGAACTCAGAAAATCTGGGTGCTAGTCCTCACTTGGTCTTGAAACTCATAGGGTGATTTTGGGCCAGTCCCTGACTTTTGGCCTAATCTACCTTACAGGGTTGTTGTAAGGATAAAATGGAGAGGGTGAATAGGAGGATTAGGTAAGTGGTCTTGGGTTCCTTGCAGGAGGAAAAAGTGAGGAATGCATGTAATGACAGAATGAAATAATGAAGTGTTAACAGGCTGGTGTGCTTCCAAGTGAAGAGCCTTCCCATTTCTTCTTAGCAAGCAACAAGACCAATATAGAGAGATGCAACCCCTTATGTATCATGGACCCAAGCCATCAGGGCTTTCAGAGTTGTCACCCACACTTTGAATGATACTCAGAAACTGACTGACAATCCACGCAAGCCGTGCAGATTAGGTCCCATATGTTTCTCTGGGTGGGCGCCTTTTGACATCACTGCATTCTGGCCCAGCCTTCCTCAGCCTGACGCATTCCACAGTGTTAAACTACAATTCTCACAGCTGGGGAGAGGTTCTGTGCATTGTAATCTAACATTCCTGGAGGGCACTGGGTGGGGAAAGACTGCCCTGGCACAACTGAAGCTTTGGCAGGCACTCCAAAGGTAGATGATATTCTACCTTAATCCAATGTGGCTAACCAAGGCAGATTTCTGTCATCAGGTCAGCCCTCTTCTGGGATGGGTACAGCTGATGCCTCAGCCTAAGCTAGCCAAAGACACCCCTGGCTGCAGCCACACCTTTGCACCTTGGTTCGGCATCCAGTGCAAAGGTGACTTGAGAGACTCCCACATCAGGGGAGAGAATGGTTCACCTCTTTTCAAACCAGGGGCACCCCTCCCCCACTCTCTCTTTCTCTCTTTCTCTGCCCTTTATCCTCTGGAGTAGCATTCTCCAACATGATGCCCACCAGATGTTTTCTACTACCACTCCAGTCAGTCCTGGACCACATGCCCAATGACTAAGTTTATAGGTGCTATGGTCAATATCACTGGGGGGCCCAGGTTGCCCAGCCCCATTCTGTAGCCTTCAGGCCATGGGCTCTTCTGCAGAAAGGACAGCCCTCCAAATAATCCTCCCTTCCCATCTGACTGCCCTGATTGTTAAAGAAAACCCTGGGCAAAAACATGTGGAACAGCCTATCAGGTTGTGGGATCCAGTTCATGGAAATTGTTCGGTGCTGGAAACCCCTGAAGGGCTTCTCTGCACGAGTGGTTTAACCTCTGTATGAAAGCTCCTTTGTTTTTCTTGCAGAAGAACCCGGAGCTTTTCCTGGGGGTGGTATTTCTCTGTTTTTCTATATTAACCAAGCACAAGGTGGCACTGCGGTATAGATACAGTATAGTGGATTTTGCTCTTTTTGCAAGGCTTTTGTGCTGGTTTCTCATATTTTAAAATTTACTAGCAGATTTTCCTCTCACCCCACAAAAACTCGGGAAAAATCAGAAGAGACCCTGGAAAACAATGATGATGTGAAAAGGTCCTATAAACTTCTTTCAGTGAGGACCAGAAGCACACAACACCTCCTTTAGGGAAGCCCTAAGTTGCCATGTGTACATTTCCTGTTCACGCAACAGACAAGCACATATTGTAAGCCATCCAGAGACTTAGTAATGGATGACATAGAAAACAAATAAACAAACAACCAAATAACAGACATAACTCCACAGCGCCAGGAAATAACACAGTGGCAGAAGACTTGTCTTGCTAAAGTGGGGATGAGGAATATGTGATTCACCAGATGTTGTTGGACCGCAACTCCCCTCACCCCTCACCATTCTTTACACTGCCTAGCTCTGACAGGAGCTGCAGTCCAACAACATCTGGACAGCCACACATCCACACCCTTGGCCTGAAAATACCAAAGGGGCTCTTCTGAGTTTTGGTGCTGGTAGGTCCAAGTTCCACATCTTGTCTGCAAAAGCAGAAGGGATAATAAATGCAGCATGGTTAGCAATACATCCAGTACTGTAACAGAACAAGTCATCTGAGGAACCCTAAACTCTGGTGGGAATGTGCAGCTGCTGTAGAACTGAGAGGGGGTGTGTGTGTGTGTGTGTGTGTGTGTGTGTGTGTGTGTGTGTGTGTGAGAGAGAGAGAGAGAGAGAGAGAGAGAGAGAGAGAGAGAGAGAGAGCGCGCGCGAGCAGACACGAATCAGCATCCCAAGAACACTGTGAGGGAGGCCAGGAGAGGGTGTGGCAGGGGACTCAAACTGAGCAAAAACCGCTCATGCAATCCATGCTTGGATTTCAGAACGTGCATCTAGGCCCGCACACCCAAAGTTCATGCTACCAAAAACATGCTGGCTCATTCAAACAGCAGTTTCACCCCACAGATATCAAAAGGCAAGCCTTGAAACATGCTGAGGTGCAGTACAAATTCTTTGGGTGGAAGTAACATGGACTGCTGCTGCTTTAGAGACTGGGGCATCATCTTGCACCAACACAGGATAAAACTGTAATCAGCTGTGGACTGTTTGATAGTCTTTATTTATTCACAAGTGTCCAGGGGATAAGCCACACCACAGTGGTTTCCTAGAACACTTGGCCCAATTGCCTTCTTGTGACGGGCGCTCGCTCCAGTTTGCCCTGCTCAGACAGGGCTCGTCTAAAAACTCTTCTGCAGTGCAGGATGGGAGACTGTGCACTTCTCTGTCTCGATGAAGGCCACCCTCTTCTCATAGTAGGCTGCCTCGTTGATGAAGACTGGGTAGGTGGTCTTGTCACCCTCATATAGAATATCTTCCCCACTGACTGTTTGGAAAATGGGGTCCCCAGACTTTAGAGGCTGGAAATCTTTATCCTGAAGGAGGGAGGGTTTGGTTATAGCCCAAAGCCAGAGCAGACAGACGCCCTGCCTAAGCCAGTTCTTTCTGTGTAGCTTCCTCTGGCGAGAGTGAAGAGGTGAGAGCCACCTGGGTGAGTACAGGCAGCCTCCCCAGCCCTGGGTCCCTAGTTATCGTGGACCTGCCAGTCCTTTCATCCCCAGCCAGCATGGCAATGGCCAGGGATACTGGGAGTTGTAGTCCGACATATTGGGATCCAAGGTTGCAGAAGGATGAGAGCTGGCATAGCTTCGATGGCTGCAAGGGCAACTTTCCTCTCCATTGCACTGCTACGGTGCAAGGTGCATCTACCCAAAGCCTATTTTTTCATGCTTACTAAGGTTCTTGGGGTGCCAGCCTCCCATATTTTGGGTAGCAGCTCCAAGGATACCACTCCCTGCGTGCGCACACAGCATCTTCCCTTCCTCCCTGCTTTCGCTCCATACTCACCTGCAGATTTGGATGGATCGCAGCAGAAATCTCGCCATTAGGATAGCGGGGGAAGTCCACAAAGCCAACCACCTTGTATGCTTCAGTCTCGAGGGCTGGAAACAACATACCTGAGACATGGAGATGGATGGACAGTCGGTCGGTCCAGAGAAAGCACCAGCTTCCTAGTTTGTTCCTACGCTTCACACCAGGGCAGAAAGAAGCGCACCCCCATCCATGTGATCAGCCACCACTCTGGGGCTAAGAGCTTGTGGTACATCTGAGCAGTCCTGGGGGATTCATCCTAAAGGCCACGCCAAAGCCAGAGTTCGCTGCATCGTGGCAGAGCAATGCAAACTGCATGCTGGGCAAAGGCACGAAGGATGGACGGGAGCACGTCGCCAGATCCGCAAGTGACGCGATGTGTTGGTTGGTCAATCTGCCTGGCTCTCTTCTATCTATGTCAGATGTGCAGAATCTCAGGTCCAAGGGCCAAAGATGGCTTTCCAGGGACCCATTCCAGCCACCTAGGGGTCCTCTGAGGGCCATGCCCTCATCTCCTAACTCCAGCCCTTTCCTTGAACTACTGACTGTATGGTGGTTTCCAAGCTTTTGCCTTTCCTAAAGCTCACTGTAAGGTATGCTGGTCTTTTGGGGATTTTGACCCTTAGAAGTTTCTCTGAAATGGAATTTGGCCCTTGGACTGAAAAAAGGTCCTGCAGACCTGATGTATGGAGACGTCAACAATTTGGAGATATACATCTCCAGTAAAATGTTCACCAGTAACATTCACCAGTAAAGCAACATTCACCCGTAAAACAATAAAAGCCATGCCATAATCTTGTTGCTAGCTAGTGTCTCTAGGCCACATTCATTAGCCCAATTCCCAGTCCCAAGAAGGAGCTCAGAACAAGGTATGCTGAGGTAGGTCACCTTGGTTAAACTCTTCAATGAAGTCCAAAGCACAGGCCACGATGGACCGCATCTGAGCAAGCAGGTCAGCCCGTGCTACCCCCTGGGGCTGTGGGCCCAGCTCCAATGCTGCAGGAAACCACATGAAGACAGTTGTGTTGATTATAGCACTGTTGGAATCAACTTGCACAAACTTCATCTTTGCTGCCTAAACCATTTGTTTCCTGAGAAGCTTTTGCGTAAATCGTAGCAAGCACAAGAAAGTCTTGCTCATGCGTATTTTGCACCATTGCCTGGAAGATTCTTCTGGCACAGCACAGCATCCCATGCTGTGGCTTTCCCCAGATCTTTGGACTGAGCATCGCCTGGTCCTTATCAATGCCTCCCATATGATAATGAATGTGATGCAGCATAGTTACAAGTGCCAGACGTGGAGTGGGAAGACCTGAATTCAAATCCCTGCCACAAACCTTATTGCAGGGGTCTGCAACCTTCTCGGGCCTCTAAAATTTTAAGAGTATGTCATTAGCGGCTTCAAAAAAATGTCTCCAATGGGGATTGGCCATTCTCAGAATGGCTGCAATGGTGGGCATGGCCCAGCACAAAACACCCATTTCCCAAAAGGAAAATGGGTGAGTATAACAGAAAAGTGACTTGCCCTGGAACCTAAGTCCAAGGCAGAAGTAGCATCTAAACTCTAAAATTCAAAACCACTGTCTTGAACTTACAGTTTTCTGCTTTAGCACTCATTTCCCAGAAAGAAAGCCAAGCTTTCTTTGCAAAGAACTTGGTCAAGGAAAGAATGAGGAAAAGAGTCTCAAATGCTGGATTATATATTTGACCTTCCCATAAAGCACAAGAAAATACCCATTTCAGAGAAGACAAATTGCAGATGCTCAGAAAAACCATGCACACGCAGACAAGAAACATGAACATGCATGGGCAAGATTAACCCACACCACACTGCGCAGCCCCACCAAACCACCTCCGCAACAAGCAACACTCACACACTGCATACACAAACACCATGCACAAAACAAAACCAGGCAAACGTCGCACAACCACACCAAAAAGCAGGCAAAATACACTCCAAACCCCACCCCTCCACACGATCCCAGGCAAGCAGCAACACCCAGCAGCAAAAAACCACTTCAGACAAATTAGCTGACACTTCGCACAGGCCAAGGGCAGGCATGCGGCAACTGAGGCTTCATTCTCGGCCGTATGCATGTTCTGATCCAGGCCTGCAAGGACTCTGGGTGCTCCTCTTCCAGTCACATTGCACACTGCTTCACTGGTACGCTTAGGAATAGCAACATCCGCTTCTAGCAACAGGCTGGGGGCTTGCTCTGCTAGGTTGGGCCAACCCTGCAAAGACCCACTGCAGATCTTCAGTCAGAGTATCAAGCAGTTTTCTGACTTCATTCCCTACCTAGCCCAACTTTGGCCACTGAAAATACGGAATAAGTCTCTTCCTCTGGCTGCTGCTGATAGAGAAGGATGGGACAGTGTCTTATTCCAGAATGTTTCTGTGGAGTGAAGAAGAAAAGATTGCCCTTAAGTGGGAATTTTAGCCTTAGTTCCTTTGGGTCCCCCAAAGCATGGCCTCACCTGAATGTAGTTACACATATGCATGGCCAAGAGGTTGTTTCCAGAGTCCACAATGAGGCAGGAGCCCATGTTGGCTGTGGTGTTGTGCAGGTCAAGCATGAGGTCATAGGCTTGAGAAGAACTCTTGGGCCCAAAGGTCTGGTTGATCTCCTGGGCACGCTGTACCTCGTACAAGTCCGTATCTGGAACCTTGGAGCTGAGAAACAGGCGCTCAAAGCAAAGGAGTTTTCGAGGCTGCCCCCGGGGCCAGATTCTGGCAGAGGAGGGACTGGGGTCACCTTGTGCCATGCAGGCCCTAGAGCAGCAGTGTGGAATCTCCACGGAGGTTCTCTATCAGGCCCCTCCTTGGGCTCCGCCATGGGCAGGGCTTGGCTCCAAGCCTCACCCCAGAGGAAGCCCCACTAGAGTAGAGGAATCCCCACTGTTATCTCAGGGCTTCACTTGAAGATGGCAGCAGAAACATGGGCAGTGAGAGGCCAGTACTGGGAGGATTCGCCAAGTCCTTTTGTGTGGGACACGCTTTCCCGGGGGGAAAGCACAGACCTCACAAAGCCCAGTTGGCAAGTCTCTTTCTCTGTGCAGAGAGAGGTGCAAAGCTCAGAGAAGTGCAAAGGGATGGTGTCAGCAGGCATAGATGTGCCCCCAGAGGGGCCCGTTTGGCTCACCGACCAATTACAGCCCTGCTCCACCGCCTTACCCAGCACGGTTAGCCCAGCTGTAGCCTCAAAGCCAGCGCAGGGCAGTGCAAGCTGGGACAGGCAGCCTGCTCCCCAGTAGCTGGAGCGGAAGTGAAGCTCCTGCTTCTCTGCAAAACCTCTGCTGAGTGGCACGCTGTTGGGAATGAAGGAGGCAGTTGCTCTTCACACGTGTTTCAGGGCCAGGGTGACACTGATGGGGAGGAGAAGGAGGCTCAGGAAATGAGGGCCCTGGACACGGTGATGGCGAGGGGAGAGCTCCTCTCAAGAATGGCCAGTTTGCAAGTCCCGGGAGGGGGAATGGCAAAGCAGCCTGCAATGATCCTGGACCTCAGGAGGTGGCATCAGGAGAGAAGAGCTAGCCCACTAGAGGGCTTTGCTGGAAGTACACTGAACATAAAGAGGCTTTGCCAAAGAGCAGTCTGTGGCTGTGAAAGGGGCGGGGGGGGGGAGCTGGCCCTCGACACACGCAGAGCAACACTCACTTGAGAAAATCAGCAGTGAATGTGCGATTGAGATCCCGGTCGATGTAGCGTCTGCACTGCTCAGTTGCACGTGGGTTGCCCAGGAAGGGAACGGCGTGGAAGGTGCTCCGCTGCAACTCGGAGGGGTCCCTCATCCAGTGCCTGACCAGGAAAACGCCCGACATCTCGTTCCCATGAGTGCCCCCACACACTGCCACGCGTGTCAGGGAGGGAAGGTGCTGGGTCATCGCGAGTGGGCTGCTATCGGCCTCTGTCAGGAGAAAGAAGCAGTGCCTGCAACTCTTCTGGGAACCCTGGAGGGAAGAATGTCCCATCTGCCACTTCTCTGGCCAAAGCACTTTCCTTATCTCTGGATCCCTCCTCAATATTTGCTTTGGCAAAGTCCTTAATGCAGAGGCAGGGAACATGTGGCCAGCCAAATTTTCTCGGATTCCAGTCCCCATTGACCTCAAGCAAGCATAACCAATGGTCAGGGTGATGAGAGTTGTAGTCCAAAACATCTGGAAGGACACCAGAGTTTTAGCAGACTATCATAGCCTATACACGGTGCCTGCCACTACCCCAGCTCCCTTCGGTCTGTTCTCATCTTGGAATTTTCTCCGCCCTTAGCTAAGCATAGAAACCATTTTTGGCACTCATGGGTGGCTCTGCCTTCCATCACATCCCTCCCATAGAATCATGGAATGACTGTGGTTATAAGCCAGGAACTGGTCTTATGTGTTGGTATACCTGCTACAGGTTTAAATCCCTTTAGATACACATACAGGAATAAAAGAGCAAAAACATGATCTTAAAGCATATTGCTTTTTGCAATTTAGACTTGAATGCCATGCATTTGGATATCTGAACATAGACAATGGCCAACTGATAAATTGCCAGCTTAATCACATTCGCAAAATAATGTTTATGGCTTTTAATGACCAGGTATAACACTAGTTGGAAATTTCCAACCTTTGGAATGCAGTACCGCTTAGTAGTTTGATAAGCAACACATCTCCTAACTAAGGAGAGAGACAGAGGAAGAGTTTGGCATCCATTTTCCAGAACCAAATGGGAGAGCATTGCCGCATCAGCGTTCCTTGGAACCGCACCTGGCAATTGTGATAGTTTGTCTGAATGATTCTTTAACTCTTCCCTGTGAGATTATATACTCGACTAGTTCATGTTACAAGCATCAGAGAGACCCAGAAGGAATATCTGGAATTATATAAGGCTACACTTTGGAGAATCTGATCCAAAGTTAGCCAGTTAGCTGTTTGCTGTCCATGCTTGCATTACCAGCACTTCTGAAGTCTCGATGCCACTAACAGCCCTTTCAAAATATGGCATTGATGCATTGGATTATTGCTGTATTTATAGTGGATTTTCTTCCCTAAGGGCAAAAATGTCATGTGTAGTCTCTAGCACTGAAGCGAACAGAGAAAGCATGGATCAGTTTTCTTGTGACACGGCCAACTGTCTGTTCCTGGTAGGCTCTGTGCCTGAGCCCTTTCATATGTGAGGTTGTACCAATATTTTTCCAAAATGCGGTTGCTGCTCTGGAAGCACTTGCTAATGAATATAGTGCAGTAGCCATTGTGCTTATAATACAATCAAGTCCCACACCAAGTTCATAGCACTGTAATTGTGGGAGCAGTTTGACAGGGCACATATCTTTATCATGCTCTGTAGCATTCACACATGCCACAAATCTTACTACACTATTGCAATTACAGAAATGCTTCCCTTTCAAGTTTGCGCTCGCGCGCGCTCTCTCTCTCTCTCTCTCTCTCTCTCTCTCTCTCTCTCTCTCTCTCTCAGCCTGAAAACTGCATGTACAACTTCGATGCTGCAGAAGAATGGAGGTTGAAAAATAAATTGCATGGTTATTCACAGCTATGCACCTGCATAGGTGTGCAGCCAAAATTTTCCCCTCAAAACGTCTAAATGATGGAGGGGAGAAATATGAGGGGTAGAAGATGGGGAAATAATAGTGCTATTTTTGTTGTCATTGTTTTCCTACTAACTTGTCCCAAGAAAATCAGTGTGAGAAAAGAACAAAGAAGGAAACAAGAAGGGAAAAGATACGAGAGAGGAACAATGTAGGGAAAATGTTGCAAAACAATGTTAAAGCCTCGCCTACCGTTACAAGTTCAATACGGCTAGATTGGAAAACCTATTTGCAGTGCATGGGAATCACAAGCACTGGAAAAGTTGTCACAGAAGCAGTTTGGGAAACACTGAAATACTGAGGGGAAAATAGCATCAGCACGAGGGGCTGGGACGCGAATCGTGTGACCTGTGTCTGAACCAGATGGTGCAGTGCCTGGAGAAAGTGCTGCCTGGAGAAAGTGCTGCCTGAGTCTTGTCTCATGACAGCTACACCTCTGCTAGGCATGTCTAGGCAGAATCTACCCAGGATAGGACTGTGACTCCTCTAGGGTGACTGTTGCACAGAAGCAGAGCTGCAATGTCACCGCCTAAAATGACTATGGAGATGCTTTTCTCCCACTACCAACCAAGATAAGCCATAAAAACACCGTCAAAATGTTTTGCAGTTACTTAAAATGCCAGGGCTTTCCTACTGAAAAACCAGGACATCTTTCTATCTGTAAGTCTAAACCATTCCGCTATTTTCTTGAACTTTCTCCAGTACACCCACTCGTCTTAGCAAAAGCTTTAATCCTAAGGCCACCCACAGAGGAGAACTAAATTTTAAAAGTTACTGTTAAGACAGTATTTGGACAAGATTAACATTGGAGAGGTAGAAACTGCCCTGTATCTTGCACAAACATCATGCAAAGCACAGCTTTAAAGCCAGAGAGAGCAAAACTTATCCTAGAGATTAAAAGGAAGTATGGGTGCTTCCGGATGAAGCTTTTATCAAGCAATCAGTTTGCCTTAAACACAGAAATTTACATGGAGGCCCAGACTGTACCCTCTTCTACTTGTAACTCTCCTTTCTTTTTCCACACCTTCTCAACCTTCCTTCTTACCAGGAGACAATCCGTGAAGCAGGAAAAGATGGGACAGATGCGCAGTGCCTTCTGATTGGTAGCGATGGCAGCCGGCTGACTGGAAGCACCCTAGGAAAGCACCTTCCCTGGGTCCAGGAGTACCACTTGATGAGGACAGGATGCAAAAGGCTAGTGTGCCAGAGCTGCAGAGGCTGCAGCTAAGAATAAAAGAGCATTAAGGAGGAGGAGCTGCTCAGTGCGTTCCCTTCTTGCTTCCAAGTTTTTTCAGCATCCATGAGCGGAAGGAGCTTTTTCCCTGCAAGGTGAAAGGCAGCTTGATGTGAGTGTGTGTGTGAATGTGAATGTGAATGCACAAAAGTGAAAAGGGGTAGGAGTTAAGCAGGCCCCCCTCTCTGAATCTCTTCTGCTCTGAACTGCAATTTCCAAACTGTCTTTCAGTTACAAAAAGTGTTATGCCTGACTCCCCAGGATCCTGACATAATAGAAATATCTATCAGCTTTCTCAGGGCATTCAGGATAGGCATGACTCCTCTAGGCTCCAGATAGGCAGGACACGGCCAAACACTAGAATAATCAGCTGTCTCAGGGTATGCATGATAGGCTTAGCTCTCCTAAGCTCTAGCCCATTCAAATGTCTAGTAACTGCCTCAGAGAATTCCCCTCAGAAAGTGGAAAGAGCTTACCTACAAAGATTGCTTAGAAGGTGTAAATTAAAAGATAAAACTTACTGCTAACCAAATCTGCTTTTGTATATCGCTTGCTTAACTGCTGCTATGTGATTCTGTAACTCCCCATTGTCACCATTGTTCTGATTTCTGTCAAAAACTGATTGTATTGTTTCCCATTTACCGAAAACTCACTGTGATGCTATAAAAACCTCATTCCAACTCCATTCGGGGCGCATTCCTCTATGAATGCAGGAATAAACCTCCTCTTTATTTTACCATCCGGTCTCTGGTCTCATCTGTAACACCGCGGGTTACAACAAAAGCAGCGTTTGGAAAAAGAGGCCTGCAACTGCATGTAACTTGTACTTTGGCCTGGAGAAAAGAAAGAAAGAATAACGTTTCTGGTTTTTCCGGATACCAGCAGATTGTTGATTTGAAAGATACTGGCTTGAGCGTGGCCCTGCAGGAGGCACCTGGGCTCTCAGGAACAGAGCTCCATCAGTAACAAAGATGAGAGATCGGTGTGACGCCAGTTCCTTAGCCAACAGGATGAGACAGAAGAATCAAAGCAGAAATATCGGAGGAGGAGAGAAGCATTTCGGCTTTTTGGGCATGGGAGAGTAGTGGACACATGGATGGCCCACAGGAAGCATTGCAGAATGCAAAAATGGATCGCCGGTGGGGATCTTGTAGGGCATTGGAAATTACCACTTGGTCAGTTGCTCTGCTTTTCTTTTCTTTTCTTTTCTTTTAAAGCAGAACAGAGGAAGCTTTTTTCAGTCCAAAGTCCAAATTCCAACCTGGGAAAGGGTCCCAGAACTACATTCCTTCTGTAGGCTTGGAGCCAAAGGTAATCTGGGTGCAGCCAAAAGTGATGATTAACTTATTGTAAGAATTCTGAAATATGTGGGATAAGATTTCTGCGTGCCTGCTTAGAACCAGCCTGAGCAGCCTGTCGGCTCACAATAAAGAAATACAAGCCTGAGAAGTATCCTGAACTGAACCACTCGGTGGTTTTCTTCCCTGTCCTGCCTCCTTGCAGGCAAAAGCTCTCATCTTTGATCAGCAAGATTAGGGGACTTCCCTGCTTCACAGGGCAGAGGATCTCCTTCATACTGCACAGCAGGAAAAATATCCCGTCTCTGATCACCTACTGCTCAGATATACCAGCTTTTCCCATTAGGTCTGGGAATGAAGCTGTCCGGCGGGATGGGGAACTCGTGTGGACAGGGCCTTAAAGTCTACAGGTGTGCTTATGTGCTTGGAAGTGTTTGTCAGGGAAAGCAGTACAAAAAGCATAAGAAAATCTAGCCAAAATGTGTGTTAGATTTGGGGGATCTCTTGCCTCCGATAAGAGGACTTGGGTGCTTCTAATGTCCGTAAGAGGCCTTTATAGCCTCACACTCATGATGCAACAAGACCAGTAGCAAAAGCGGTTATTGCAAGAGGGGGTAATTACATCTTACTTGCAGTCTTCAGTTCTGATGTACATTGTGGTCACTGAACAATATTAGCGTAGCCTAGTGAGCGGATCTCTATGCCCCGCAGCAATAATGCTGAAAGTGCATTATGATACCGCAAACAAGTGGATTATCTATATTTGCTCATAGAATTGTAGAGCTGGACACACCCTCAGTGTCATTTGGCCAACACACGGCCGATGCAGAAAATCCACCGCTGGGTAGGCGACCACTCAGCCTCTAACAAAGGAGGGTCCAGTTCATGCCACCAATAATGCCTTCCTGATGATTAGTCAGAGTCTCTTTTCTTAAAACTTGAACTCGCTGTTTCTAGTCCTTTCCTTTGCAATAGCAGAAAATTAATTTACTTCAACACCTGTGTCATCATTTACGGTATGATGGTCAAGTCTGCACAACTGATTGGCCGCATGGATGCAATGGCTAAGAATAGTTGCATGTGCGTGGAATTACGTTGTTTGCAGTCTAGTTTTTGTGAGGGAAAGTTAAGTTGTCCACTTGGCAGGGAAGTGGCCCCATCAGGTGGAGGAATTAAGGGACATGGACTGCTCAGAGGCAGCGAGCATAAAGAATGGCTGGGGAGCTGTCACTGACCTAAGAAAAAGCGACCTGAAGAAAGATGAGTAATGAGTGAGGCTTGAGGGAAAAGGCAGAGGAGACAGAGAAGCAGTGCAAAAAGGGACTAATCAGAAATGGAGTTCTACCAGGCGTAATTTGCTCTGGGTGGGGGAGAAGGTCAGTACTAAGGAGGCTGACCATGTGGCAGTATGACTAAAGCAGAGATGGACCACTTGGACCCTCCAGATGCCTTGGCCTGAACCTCCCATCATATTGGCTATGTTGGAAGTTGCAGGCCAAAACATCTGGAGGGTCACAGGTTCCTCACCCCGGGCCTGAAAGAAGTAGGGCAAAACAGCCATTGCCTGAAAAGCAGGGGTTACAGGACTGGCAGATGGAGAAGCCAAAGGGGGGTGGAGGCAGCTATATCCAGCAGAGGGGCTGTGCACTGTTGGCAGGGAGGAAGCAGAAAGTCAAGGAAGGTTTGTGCACTGGAATCATGGGTCCAGAAGCCAAGGGGGCACAAGAGTGCTAGGAACCCAGTCTAGAGTGGACAAGGCTGCTATGTTTGAAGAACTGCATAGAAGAGCGAACTCTACATTCCCCCATCATTGTGATGATGGGAGCAACAAGAGCTACAGGACAGGACAGGGGCCTCGGAACTATTGATCTGAGCCAACCAGCGAATTCTTTGGCTGCCACTGGCACGTGTATTAACAGCTGGAGAGCCCAGCTACAAGCATGTTGCTGTGGAGATTCTGCCTATTTGCAGGTGGAAGAAGCACAAGCCTGGAGAACTCCAGGGACAACAAGAGCCAGTGCCCATGAGCGAGGAACAAGAAACACCCATTCCTCCATGTAGATGATGATCAGGTTTGCTGAAGCTCAGGGCAAATAACACCTTTTTTCTATTCAAAGTATTGATCTCTATGATAGCCAACGGCATGACAATGTCTAGGGGCTGGGAACACTTACCAGTCAAAACTTCCAGCTGGCTTTGAAGTAGTCCAAAGTGTTCTTAGGGCAGGTCGGAGTCTGACAGCTCAGTGCACTCAGACACAAACCCGCATCGTTTAACCTTTACCTCTTGCTGTTTGGAACCTGGTGAATTATTTCCTTGTTGCAGCTGGTAGTGACCTCTGGTCCACACTGGATCTGTACCAAAGTATGGCCCTGTCTCAGCAGGGCTCTGACTGAGCTTAAAGTGGCTAGGATGAAGAGGAGAACGTAAACAGGTCACATCCCGAAAAGCAAAAGCGCTGCAGAATCTAACGTCATGGAAGAGAGTTCATGCCTATTGACAGATAGATTTGCCATAGCAGCCTTCTGCATAATCAAAGGAGATTTTGTCCTTGCCTCTCCTTAACATGTCAATTCTCCCATCACATCTCCAAATTCTGGGTAGCAGCTCTGTTTACATTTTTGTATTCTCCTTCAGCAAGGAGAACACAGCCCTCAGCTGAAGTGTGCATGCCACTGGTGGTGATGGTGGTGGGGATTCCCTATTTACCCCACAGCAATTACTCTTCACTTCTTGCCCTGCTGAATCTGAGATCTGGATGCCTGAACTCTATTCCTGACCCTCCAAGATCAGAGAGAGAAAACTGGAGTGGCCTCAGGAGACAAGAGGATTTAACAGACAATGTGCCTTTATTCCAAGATCTTGTAATGTGCTACATTCACCTGGGAGCTGGCTGCTCATGCTAGGGCTGGTAGCTCCCTGTCAAGAAATCGGTTTTATTGTTAAGATTTAGTGACTTAGAAGAAGGCTCCATCTCATGAGGTTAAAACCTCCTGACTGGTTAAATGCCAGGCATGGTGCACACATGCCCAACTTATGCTTCTCTCCCAGGGAGAAAAGGGACACGGAATGTGTCCTTACCCTCTGCCAGGGGTAACTTATTCCCACAGAGGAGGTACTTTCTGAAAGACCCCCAGAGGGCCAAGCACCCAGTAGGTGCTCACACAGAGATAAGCAGCACAATGAAAACCCTTAAAGACAGAAAAAAATGGTAGACAGAATGAAAACCTCAGCAAAATTAAATTTCTTTCCAGATAATTTCCCAAACAAGCCTAGCACAGTGGTGGTCAACAGAGAACTGAGGGAGGGAGTGGAAGGCAACTAGGGACATGCAGCTGGGGTGGTGGTGGAGATCTCCACAAAAAATGCCTCGGCTGAAGGTTTCTGGAACGGGGCTCCATGCAGGTGTGGCATTTGTGTGAGTGATGCTCAGAGACCACGAAGTGTAATCCACATTTTCTGCAGGATTTTCTCTGCTGGGATTTTGCATCTAAGGTGTTAATTTCAAATGATTACCCTTCCCGCCCCCAGGCATTTAGCTCTCTTTTCTGGGCCCTTGTTTTGGCTTCAGCCAGTGATTTAATAATTAAATTTTGACCTGAGTAAATTCAATTAATAAATAAGCAACATTCAGCTTCACCTTGCATGGATGAACTACGCATGTATGCCTCACTTCTTTTTACTGCGATGCTTTGCCACTGGTGCCAAGACATTTCACCACTACTCAGGGTGGAAAAGAAACTGAATCCACTGCCCAATTTTCCATTTTGGCATGGATAAGTAGTGCATGGCCCTGCAGATGTTGATGGACCACAACTCCCATCATCCCTAGTAATTCTGTATGTTGGCTAGGGCTCATGGGAGTTGCAGTCCACCAACACTGAGACGTGTTCCCCACCCCTGTGTTGATAAAACATCACCCAGCTATCCTGGGCTGTTACTAAAGAATCTCACCAGCAAAGGAATGATCCACCAGCTGGAGTAGCAATGCAATTTAAGCCTCCAGCCTCAAGCCTCCAGCAGGAAATGCCTCTGTAAAACTGCCCTGGAGTTTCCCCCATTTGGTGGAAGAGGGAAGCAGAAAATGATAGCATGTGGTAGGAGATACCCATGTAGTGAGCAGCATGGAGGAGCAAGCCAGTGTGCTGCAACAGAGAGAGTGTTGGATTAGGACTGGGAAGCCAGAATCCAAATCCCTAGTTAGCCCTCAAGATCACTGCCTGGTTGTGGACCAAGCCGTCTCTCAGGGTTACTAGGCAGATACAACGGAAGGCAGAGCTATGTGTGCCCTGAGAACCTTAGAGGAAATGTGGGGCATAAATAAGCTAAAGGAATAATCCCATCCCCCTTGAATTTCACCTGTACACGTCTCTGTATTCTCCAAGCAATCACACAATGCCAGGTATTCTTCAGAATGCTTGTTCTCACTCGCAATGTATTTGTTACCAGCCACATGTCATTATTTTCAGTTGGTGTAGAGAAATTCTTTGTTTAATTGACAACCTATCTCAGAAAAGAAGGGAGAATGTTTCCTAAAGTGTGGGTGTATAAAAATGATAATTTCATCTGCTGACAAGCACTAAGCTAAAAGCCAAAACTTGCTGTGGCATATCTGAATCATGCTACTCTATGATGGCATGAAAGTTTGCAGGCGGAAGCTTCCTTCCCCAGAGGGCAGAGAAGTCAGAGTCTGCAAGAGGGGTGTCATCACACTGAAGCAGAACTCTAAATCAGTAAGATTATACTTGGATGCCCTGCGTGGAATTGTGGCAATGTCTGCTGGGGTAGAAGAAACGGCCACATGGCCTGCCACATCATGGTGGAGTAAAGCACTCCCAAAATAGTTGCGAATCACTGCAGAAAAAAGGGACGGGGACACATGTAGGGAAGTCAAAGGTCTACTCTACCCCACCCCACCCCACAGGTTTCAGATCAAAAGCTTGTGTTCCTACGGAACTCTTTATGTTTCTGTTTTGGGGAATACACAAAGTAATGCAAAGGGGCTCTTATTGGCAGGTGTGGTAGGTCGATCACTTGAAAATCAGTTTAAAAAAAGAGATTATGCATCACCAAAAAAGAGGACATTAGTGTACCTAAAATGTGCCTACACCTGTTTATATGCATCAGTGCAAATTTAATAACAACTATTAAATTTTAAATAGAAATAAAGTACATCTCACCATGGTGTGGAAGACCACAACTTGGTGACAGGTGTGCCTTGCTCATTCTGCTGTCCAGGTGCTAAGAGGTGATGGGCAATGTCAAGGCCCAACTCTTTCTCCACATGCCACCTGATCCTCAAACTGCACTTGGGCTGGGCAGCCCCTCAAACAGAGGTAATTTTCAAAACGGGTAGTCCTCTAGTGCATGACCGCTGTCTATAAAAGAGGACAAAGGACCACCTTAAGGAGCAGAGGCCATTTGATCTGAAATATATCAATGACTTGAATCACGCCACGAACCTTGTTGCCCTCATCCTTCCTTTCCTACTCTATCAGAAAACCTGGAATGGTACACCTGAGCTCAGGTAGTGCCTTGTAGCAGGTGTGATGTTTTAAATAAAACCCAGTGAACAGTGTGATCTCCTGAGTTCAGTGGGACTTCCTGCTAGAGAATACTATGTGCATACCATATAGTATAGGATGACTGCCTAAACAGACCCAAACTGGCAGGTGGTATTCAAAAGCAGTAAGTCATCTGCCACTTTTGCAGACCTTGGGCAGGCAGTTATGCATAATGCATCACAGGGGATGGTATGAAACCTGGAAAAAGCATCTTCCTTGCCTGACTCTTTGGGGTCCATGATAGGTATAATTCCTCAGACCATTGTGCTGATTTCTCTCTTCAGCCCCTGTTGGATACCTCCCCTTTGTTCCTGCTTCTGCTGGTCCTGTTCCCCCCTTTTGAGCTGATAGCGCCGGCTCTTCTCTCCCGTGCCAGATCCGGCCTCCCCAGACTCGTTGCCGTGGGGGCATCTTTCTCTGCTGCCCATTTATCTCCTTCTGTCACCAGCCGTGGCAGCTCTAATAACTCCTCGGCAGGTATTGAGCAGCAAGATGAGGAGGTGTGAGAAGGCGCAAGGCGCAGCTGTCACTGCTGTGTCAGGAGGAAGATGGATGGAAGGGAAGGGAAGGGAAGGGAAGGGAAGGGAAGGGAAGGGAAGGGAAGGTCATGGCCTGAAGCCGAAGGCCTGAGCACAGAGGAGAGGAGAGGCAAGCACGGAGGCGCCTGCACCAGCCTGCTGGCCCTCTTGTGCTACTAGCCTGCAAGGGGCACCAGAGCAGGAATGGCTGGGATGCAGGCCGCCGCGTTCTCCCAGCCCCAGATTTGGGGTGGGCCCTTGCACAAAGTGTTAGCTATTGATTTAAATACTTCCACCCTGCTCTGGATTAATAGGTGTTGCAACAAGGGCCCAGTAATAGCAATAATGACAGTGTAACGTAAAATGAAAATGATATAAAATCAGTATGAATAATGGAGAGAACCAAATTGTCACCAAGAGCTGAAAACCCAGACAGGCCCTAACGTGGAACCATCTGGGCCACCATGGAGAGGACATGCATAATGGGGGCATCATATCAAAGAATGCACCCCCCACATGCACAGTCTTTCTGCCCCCTCATTTTCTCCCCTGTTCTCTTGTCTACTCCTAAGGCACAGCTCCCAACAGTGGGATGCAGAGGAGAGACTGCTTGGCAGAGCTTATGAGATAGGTGGGTTTCAGGGAGACTCCCTCCCTGGATGGATCCCCCTCCTTGTCACTGTCCCCGTTCACTCTCCCCTTTTGGACCCAATCCGCAATGCTGCACAGCAGAAGAAGGTGAGAGGCCAGTTTCCCCTTGGCCTTTGTACTTATAGGGCAGAGGCCAGAAAGCTCTGGGAGTGCTTCTGCCTGCAGGTCATCCCAGAGTATTGCTTATGGGGTGGGTAACTGGCTCTGTGCCCAAAATTGCCATTTTGCACCTGGCATGTCCTTCCCTCAAATTACTTTGTTGTAGCCGTTACCTCTTGGAGGAGCGTGAGGGTCTAGTTAAAGCACACACATGCACACACACACACACAGCCCTAAGTGGTTCTCACAACAAACCTGACAGGAGCCTGCTTGTGGATGAAGCAAATGGGCCTCGCACAATGTAGTTTGTAGGAAATGAACCTTCTGACTCTAAGGACAATAATAAAAAATGCATTGTTATGGATGCCTGAAACTATACTTTCATTTCAGGGAAACATCAACACTTCAGCAGATCACTCACGCATTTGCTTTAGTTTGTGTCATAATATGAGATTCCTGATAATTTAGTGAAAAGTCAGTGTACTGTCTTAGTCATAGGCAGAAGGAAGAAAAGAAGCACATCTTTGCGGAAACTGAGGTCATGGACCAGGAGAGTTGTAACCCGCCTTGCTTTAAGGGAGGCTTGTGAATCCCGGAGTGTTCCATGGGGCAATGGTGGACACAGCCAGTTCATCCTTCTGGAGGCCTTCTGTCCTCTGGAAGAGCTGGACCTTGGCAGATCCCAGCAACCACACAGATCTTTGGAGTTATCACGCACCAGCAGGAATAGTTATGTTTCACCAGGAACAAAAATGAACAGTACACCAAAGCAGCTTCCTCATGGTCTCCTCTGAAGGTGAACCTGGGGAAGAGATTGATCTACAACACCCTTCCGCTAGAGCAAGATTGGATGTAAAAAGGGGGCATGGCAGGGACCCCCGATGCTCTTTAATCGTTTCCCATGTAGAAGAGGGAATTTCAGGGGGAGTCATTAAAAAAAATGAAAGGCATAAGAAATGCTGTGCCTGCCAGTTCTCCTCTGTGAGCAGAGGCAGTGTGACAAGGCAGCCCTCCAGGGCTGGAACCTCAAAGCTTTCATTTGGAGACCAGAATCCCCAGCAGGCCATATGCTCCACCCTGAGGTCTGTGGGCACTTGCTGGAATGGTTCAGTGGCCCCGATTATCCCTGCCGCACCTGATCCTCTAGGACTTCTCCCCACACGTGTTTCACCTCCTTCTGCACCCCATCAATCTACCGCAGGGCTTTGCTTTTTAAATCAAATACCTTCCTCTCCATGGCTGATGCATTTCTTTTCACAAATAGGTGACTCCTTAAGAAACAGGAGTTACACATGCACCGGTCTTGGAGTGTATGTAAATTAGCATATACGAATCAGTACATTTTCTTGTCTTATTTTGTTGTTTTAAGGGCCTGAGCCCCAGCTCTTTTTGGTACCTAGCCATGTCCTTCTCTGCATGACACAGAAAGGTCTTCAGAAGCCAAGTGTGATCTGGAGTCCTACTTCTCTCATCCCCATGCTGTGGACTTGCCCTCTCCCATCAAGCCCACCACCACAGACTCAATAGGACTCACGCAGAGGTACTAACAAATCACCGTCCCTTGAAGGAAGGTTTTAGCCTGCTGGCTTTAGCAATATTGTCTGGGCTCGCAACGTGGTCCCAAGGCTGCTGCCCCCGGCCACCTGCTCATTCTGCTCATTAACGGCAGAGCTTTTGCCGCACTCGACGTGCATATGCCCAAATGCCTCCAGCACTGTGCGCTGATGACCTCACCCAACCAAGCCTCTCTCTGATTCACCCATTTCCCTGCCTCGTGTCTCATTGGAGGGAACAGAAGTCTCTCTCGATACAGGTCTACCTCCTGTCTCCCAGCCCTGCTATGAAGGAAAATAAAATTGCTCGCATTGTCCCAGAGATCCAGTTCAGGGCATTTCTGAGCAGGAAGTGGCAAGACTGGGAAGGGAGACAAGTGGAAGATACTAGAGTCATCCCAGAACCTTTCGGCTTCCTACAATGTCAGGTAAAGCCCACTGGGGACTACAGGAGCCAGGTATGCACCTATCAGTGCTCTGGACCCTGGCAGGTTCCTCTCTGGGCATTTTATTTCTTCTATTTTGGCCACTCCATTCCCTGCTGTGGGCTATGAGCTTGCTATTCATGACCTCCTTCTCTGGCCCTGGCAATCAGAGTAGCAGCTGAAGTGACCTGACCCTCTGCTGGTTGACGGGTCCTGTGCTGCACACCAACTCTGTGCCTTGGTGCTGGTGGTGGTGAACCCTTTGGCAACCTGAGTGGAAAGGTCGGGGTGGAAGCTGCTGCGGTTAGCATGGCGGTGTGATAGGTGGGGTTCCTCTGCGAATGCATGGGCACCGGGGCGCTGAGCCAGACGGACTATGGCAGGGATGGGGAATGTTTTTCTACCAAAGAATATAAACCAACAGAGAGAAGGAAACAACTGGGAAGCCATGCACAAGGATTAAGCAAAAATATATCCATTAGCTAAACCATATGTCCTTGGCGATATTATAAATACCATAAATAAACACAAAGTACCATCATGTCTAGGAAGTCAGTGCTGCATGAAACCATCTTTTGAATCTCTGGTTACTTTAACTGGGACCCACTCCCTAGAGGGAGTGACAGGAAAACTATTTCCTCAGGGGGTAGATGAAGATTATTATTATTATTATTATTATTATTATTATTATTATTATTATTATTATAACATTTCTATGCCGCCCCTTGCCGAAACCTCGGGGCGGCTTACAACATTGAGCTCTTCCTGGGAAATGTTTTTGCCAGGACAGGAAAAGGCAGAGGAGGGGAGGGTGCCGGGAGTGCAGCAACATCCGCTCTGCTCACCTGCACTTGTTTGGGCTGCAGCCTTATGGGATAATTCACTTGAACATCATAGGACTTCTACCTTCTATCTTCTTCCCAAAGCAATGCTTCATTGGCACTAGATGGAACAAGGAAGGGAGACGTTTTGTCATACGTTTGTGTGCAAAGAAAAAAAAGAGAAGAAAGTCTGCAGCAGCAGAAGCTTGTGGGAGAATATCAGCAGGGCAGAATATCCACTCCAGGCTTTAGTCCAGGGGTCCTCAAACTTTTTAACCAGGGGGCCAGTTGAAAGCTGCCGGAGCTGGAAAGGTGGTGACAGCAGTGGTGGGTCAAAATGGGCATGACAAGCCAGATAAATGGGCATGGTGAGTCGGATCTGGCCCCCGGGCCGTAGTTTGAGGACCCATGCTTTAGTCTGTGCTTTTAAGGAGCTGTCCATGGTACTGAAGCCAGGAAACAATGTAGGTTCAGCACCATGGACAGCTCTGTAGAGTTCAAAAGCCGCTTGCAGGAAGCACGCCACCACTCCTGCATGTAGGGTTGGATCCAGATTTGGCTGCATGCAATTGGGCTGGCCGGAGCAGATCTGCCTATCCACACTGCAGCAGTGTTTCCAGCCCCCGGGACATACTACACAGAGAGGCAGAGGAGCCTGGTGGGTGTGGGGAGCTATGGTGTGAGGTAAACAGGATATCCTGAAATTGGGTGGCGGCACCTGCCAGGCATGGAGCTCTTCCTATCCATATTCAGATAAGCCAAGAAGAAGAGAGATCACTGTCAGACCCCTAGTTTCTTCAAAGAGTTTTGTTTGATTATGTTGCCTTCTGCATTATCAAGTGGAAAGGACCTGAGGTTTGGAAATGAGGGTTTTTAGGCATGTCCCCTGCCCTGATTATAGCAAGGATTCAGAATAAGAAACATGGGAAAGGAAGAGGATCAAGAGTCAAGGATAAGTAGAATTAGCTGGGATTAGCATCTTGCTCCATTTCAAGAAGCTGTATATGCACTGATGAACCCAGACTTGGAAATGGTGCTCTAGTAGATGCTGGAGATTAAAATTTTGCTCACTCCATTCCAGTGGCAAACTGCAGCGGTGACCTAAAAAGGCCAATCTTGGCTTTAAATCTGGTCTTCTTAGGTCCCCGTTCTGGTTTTTCTCTGCTTCTGCCACAACAGTCCCTGCAGTAGAATTATAGCTGAGAAGATCAGCACTGTGGTTACTTAGTGGGATCCAGATCCTCTACTGAATGGCTCTTAATGACTGTCTTTAGCTCAACCATCCCCTCTCCCAGTACTTCCTGCCCGAGCTGGAAAAAGTATTGAGTTTAGGCTGGGTTGATCCTTAGCTCTTCCCTGACATCCCCCAGATTGTACTCTACTTTGACTTTACTTAACTTTCCACCAGCCTAACTAAAGGGAACTCCTAAAATTCCCAGCTGTATATCCTAAAGATTAAGAAAGAGAAAGCAAAACCTTATAGCTACCAAGTCCATAACAGAGATCCAAAGAATAGACAGTGCTCCGAACACCGATGAAATCTGGTCCATCCAAGCTTCAAGATATAGCATTTAGGAAGGTCCAAAGGGAAAATTAATCCAGATGGTGGTTGGAAAAAATGTTTAAAAATAAAGCAGTGAAGTCTGAGCTACACCAAGATGTGAACAGCATCAAAATGTAAAATAAAATGACCTTGTAAAAGGAAAAAAAAAAACTTAGCAGACTGAAGAAAAGCTGGATCTGTTCTAAGCTGTTCATGATGCCAAACATCTAGCCCTGAAAAGCTAGTTCAGGAAAAATGGCCAAGAATACTGAAGGAGAGGCATGCTCAAAGGAAGGGAAAGCAAAAAGCAAGCTGGGCTCCAAAAGAACCCCAAATAAGCAAAAGGTTACTGGCAAAATTTGAGCTATGCAAAGTGAAATTAAATAAAGTAGGAACAGAGAGCTCCGGTACCAAGATGGCTTTTCTGCTTTCTGCTTTGTCCTTTCACTGGTTCCCAGTCTTTTCGCTAAACATTCAATTCTGTCTTAGTAAATGTACAACAAGTGGGAGGAACAAAAACCTGTAAACACTTTCCCTTTCTTTTAGTGGGGGTGACGGGGAGATACTGGCAGAATGAAATTTTCACCCACAAGAAAGACAGGCTTGCTTGGTGAATTAAAGTTTGTTCCCTCTGTAATCCGTGGCACTTTTGTAAGCCCTCTGTCCCCAACGTAACTGGTTCCCCAAAGGTACCCTGAGCTAGAGGAGCACTGCTAGGTCTGGGCCAAGCTTCCTGGCTCAGTTTATTTTGTAAGCTTCTTAATCTAATAAATGCAATACAAAAGGAAAAAGAAATGCAGAGAAAAGCAAGTCCCAGAGCAGCAGCTCCTTCTCTGGCTAATATTGGGGCCAGCATTGTTTCCTCTTCACACTGATATGCAGCCTTGGAAGCAAGTGGCGCAAATTTTCCTGACCCCAAGCCACTAGCAAACTTCTTTTATAATCAGTTTTTTTCATCGTCCTTTGAAAAGGTGGCATGATAATAATTTGGAGAAAGACCTTTTACTGCTCTCTGTTATATATGAGTGCATGCATGGAAAAGGTGTCAGCCTGGAGAGAGTCCGAGGTAGCTCTGTACAGATTCCAGAGGCATGGAATCAGCCAGCTGTGCCTATAGGACTCCGAAGGATGAAAAGTGAAATCCCTATTTCATTCTGCAAAGTTTCTTTACAAGGGGTTGGTAGTACCTCACTCTCTTTTCCCCAGTTATTTCATGCTGTACAGCGAGGGGCCCTATTATATGTTATATTCCTCTGATACAAAAGAAGCCAACATTAAATTCATTTGAGACCATGCTGGGCTTGCAGGTTCAGAATGTGTCATCGATCTCCTCCGGCTGCAAGGCCTTTCTCCTAATCCCATGCATTCAAATTCGCTGCTTCGGGAATGCTGATCCTACCTGGGGACTGATGAGTCAAGTTCTTCTCTCCTTCCATAGCATTCATTGCCACAAGCCTGAGTGTGCTGACATCCGATGGCTGCCCGTTCTCACCCAGCCCAGTGGGAGCGCCCTGTCTGTTGGGGACGACGCCAGAGTACGAACAGTACGAAGTGGAGGGGGAAGTGAGGCAAGGAGGCAACTCCCAGCTGGCCAAGAAAAACCAGTGTGTGTCCGGGGTCACCGTGCAACTGGAGATGAGGAGCCTCTGGGAGGAATTCAACAGCCTCGGCACGGAGATGATCGTCACCAAAGCAGGGCGGTAGGTCCGGTGTTCTTTGGCCCATAAGCAGACAAGAAGGCCCAAAAGGTCAGTGCATTGACAGTGACTGAACAGGAAGCACAGCAAGTGCCTCCCAGCCTAACAAGCTCTGCCAAGATTAGGGATTAGCGTCACATTGCAAGGCTCCTGTTGAATGAGGCCTTGAGGTAACAACCAGCATGAACAACTCCCATAGACAGCCTTCCCCAGTGTGATGCTTTTCAAAGGTTTTGGACTACACCTCCCACCAGTCCCAGCCAGCATGGCCAATGACTGGGGAAGATAGGTTTTGTAGTCCAAGACATCTCGTGGGCCCCACGCTGGGGATGGATGTGGCTGTGTACCTTGCCTGCCTGGTGAAACTCTGCCTTGGACACCTCAGCAGCCATTGCATGGTGTGTCCGAGAGAACGCAAGGCTCTTTGAAGGGACCAGGCTGTGTCTTAGACTACAAGTCCCACACTAGAGGCCTCTGTTGCATTGATGCACGCTACAGGGAAAATGTTTTGGGGGAGTTTGTGGTCCCTGGGGCAAGACACTCAATAGGTGCCACAGTAGGCAAGAGACCTGCCTCTGCCCAGCCAAGAATGTCGTTCCATGATCCTTAATCCGCTTGCAGTGCAGGTCTTCTGAGCACTGGAGGCTGGTGAAGGGGGTGTTTGAGGCCAGTCCGGCATTCAGCTTGGCAAACTCTTTCAGCATGCTCAGGACAACTTGCCTGAGCCTACTGATTGCCTGTGCCTGCCATGAGCCGTTCTTCCAGTAGTGGCTGCTCGTCCCCTTCCTTGCCCAGGTAAGTTCCTGTAGCTTCCTGGAGAAAGCCCCAAGTCCTTTTCCCATGTAATACGGAGTCCATAAGAAAGGCAATCAGTGGAGGAGACTATCATGCTAGGGAAAATCATAGGCGGATAAAGACAAATATCATCTCCATGAAGGAAGACACAGCCTTGAACTTAGAAGAGCAGAGCAGGGCTATCAGGGGCAGGACATCCTGTTCTGGAGGGTTTTCATTCATAGGATTGACCTAAGTGCGGAACTGGACAGCACATAACAACAGCAAGAAAGGTGAAGCACCTCACAAGCTTCTTTCTCCCTGTGGCAGGAGGATGTTCCCCACCTTCCAGGTAAAGATATCAGGCATGGACCCCTTGGCTGATTATGTGCTGCTCATGGACTTTGTGCCTTTGGATGACAAGAGATACAGGTATGGGCATCTCTGGGAAAGTAACTTTGGAGCTGTTTCTGCTGCCCTTCAGGTGGCTGGTGAGAGTGAGCAAGGCCCCAGCAAGACTCAGGCTGAGGGTCACTAGGTGCCCTACCATATAGAGGACTGTCCTTGATATTGTAGGTGTCTCTGTCTTGAAGAACTGTCCTGTCAAAATTCAGGTTAAAGATAAAGAACCATCAGAAGGGAGAGGTGGGGTCTTGATGTTGCCCATTCACACCGAGCACCTGGAGAGCCAACTCTGGCGGTCCTCAGCCAACCTGGCAACAGTGTTTCCCACTATGGTGTCATGCATTTTCATTTAAATTATCATTTCTCAGTTTGCATCTACAGTATCTGCATTCATTAGCAAAGGGAAATGTTATGCAAATTTGTGTCCTCTGCTGGGCCCATATGTAAGTGGCCACCTTCCTCAGAAGGAAAGGCATTTGTCAGGGTGGAAGGGAAGCCAGGTCTGCTACTGGGCGTTAGTGGAAGTCTGTGGGTGCTTCACAATGAGGCTCTCGTGCATCATTTGCCCTGCCCCAACCACAGAAGTTTACTGGGAGTGTGTCGCCAGGTGATGTCATCTTCCATTTATAAATCTCTCTCAGGCTTTCCCACTGCTTCTGCTGTCTTTTCTCTTTCCGAAGAAAATTCATTATGGATGAAAAACTGGAATAACTTTGCAATGTCTTTTAATTCATAGCATTAAAAGCCCTCTCTTTGGAAATACCCAAACTGCTCAGAGATCACAAGCTGGAAATGTTGCCACATGGACTTCTCCTGCTCAGGATTCCAGCCACTCTGTTGCATCCTCTTTTTGTTTTGTCTTTTTCTCCCTGTCCCACATTAATATTTTGCAGCCAGTGAGTAGTTTCATGCTTTTGGAGCTGATTAATAGCATTTCTGTACAGCCCATTAGATAAAATTCTCTGGGCAGTTTAAAAAAAACACCTAAAATCATTAAATGCAATAATACTTTAAAACATAAAACCTTAAGCAGAAACTATAATAGAACCCAAGTGAAAAAGCAAGATAAAAGGCAGCAATGCTGTAAATATCTTTCTGCAAAGCCCAGGTCCTTCTGACACAGATAATGCCTCCCCTCTTGTGTATATTTGGCCCTGATTGAACTACAGAAAAAATGACACTGGGAGAAGTACGAGATCACTGTTACTATACATGGTTCTATGTCCCCCTGCATACCAGTTCTTGGAATGGCTGAGAACTCTTGACCTGGAGATTTTCTTTGCTCAGGGTTTGGGTTTGTTGGAAGTAAGTCACTGGAGATTGATAATATTTCTGTGACATAAGGTTTATTTACACATATATGTACATGCTGAGCATAAAATTGGGGTTCACAGCATGAACGCCCCAACAAGTATTTGTTCCCCATCAGACTTCATGGCGAATACGTAGTTCCATAGGATTTTTTCACAGGGCAGGTTAGACCCAAGTAGGATTAAAGGATGAGTCATCTCTATTCTGGTAACTCTCATAAGATACAGAGGTTTCCCAATGAAACCCTGAATTTCTTTGAAATTAGAGGTACTAGGCTGTCAGGGATCCCTAAAAGTTTCTGAGACTAGCCACAAAAGTATAACAATGTAATGAAGGTGAACCGAAGCACCTTGAAAATCTGTACCCACTGCCAAAGAGCTATTTTGACAACCCTGAATTTGAGCTGTGATGCTATATCAGAAATTCATTTTAGTTCTCAGCTGTGGGAGGCAGAATATAAAAACAAAGGGCAAAAAAAACAGCCTCTTTGAACTTGAATTGAAATCATGGCCTTCAGCACTAAGCAACAGCATCCCAGCCCCTGAGATCAGGCATCTCTGTTACAGGGAGCAGCTTCCCAGTCTCTGTGAGCTCAAGCATCTCTTATAGTACAAATTTAACCATTATGAGAGAGGAAAGTAACAAATGAGGGGAAACAGCCCAGGGAATTCCCACTCTACCCATATATTCTAAGGATAAAAACAACACAGCCGTTTTTGTCATTGTTTAGGACTATAGGGGGCACAGGAAACAAAGTGCACACAGAAAATACCGGCAAGCTAGTAATATGTGTTGGATCTCTGAAGTGGTGTACAGCACAGGGTCAGCAACCAGTCATCCCTGGCCCAAATCTGGGTGGCCTCTAGTTGCTAGCCCCAGAAGGAAAACATGTGTGGAAGAGCTGCAAATGTAACATTGGGATTTGGCATCAAGACATTCTGGGTGACACCCGTTTTTGTGTCAATTGTGTTTGCTGGCCATGAATCCCTGCCTCTGATTTTGTCTTGTTGATAGCCCTATAACATAACCTCAAAGTCTATATATAAAAGAATGCCAAGGACAGTTTCCCAAATAACTCATTAATGTATTTAGAAGTTCTCTACTGAACTCTTTCAATGAAATTATTCTCAGCATGGCTTGGAATTGATTTTAATAATACACACTTCTGCAAACCCAGAACCCACACAAATCAGCATCACTTGGCCTGTGGCTGATGGTGGAGAGAGACTGTGCTAGTCCTCCCTTCTAGTAGCTGGGAGTTGAGTTGAATATTCCTTCTGGCAAGGAGAGGAGAAGCAAGCTTGCTGCAGCTGCAGCTTTTGTAGTCTTCCACTTGCTCAGAGAATGCTGCAGAGCCCATAAATAAGGAGGGGGACTGTAAAGCAAAGGAAGCATAATCGATTTTCTCAAAATCCATCCTCTCACAGGCCCACTATCAAGCAAGAATCGGAAAGGTCTCAGCTCAAAGTAGTACTTCTCCCCCACAGATATGCCTTCCATAGCTCAGCTTGGCTGGTAGCTGGCAAAGCAGATCCTGCGACACCTGGCCGGGTTCACTTCCACCCGGACTCCCCAGCCAAGGGAGGCCAATGGATGAGGCAAATCGTCTCCTTTGACAAGCTCAAGCTCACCAACAACTTGATGGATGACAATGGCCACGTAAGTTACTACGGCACGGCAACGTGGCTGGTGTCATTACACAGTATAGCCACTAGGTGGCACTGGACCTTTATCTATCTGATGGGAGTCAGGCGTCTCCTATTACCGTAATTCTGTTTTTGTTTAAGAGACAATAAAGTTCTTGTCTAGAAGGTTTCCAAGGCAATTGCCAATAAGAGCTGATGTTATGGAAAAATAAGGAGCCTGGAAAGCTTAAACTATGCAAATGCAGCCATTTTCAGCCCAAATCCCAAGCGTCTTTCAAACTTCAATGTTCACATGCAATTCTGCCATCTTATTGGCAGACTCAGTTCTTCAGTGGAGTGGCACTTTCTGTTAAGATCCCCCATTTTTATTGGCTAAAGAGGATTGAGTAAAGTTGAAATTCTGTGCATTTTTTAGACTGGATGAAAAAATCTTACAACCAATCCCCACATTCTTAAGCCAAAATGGTTGGCTGGAGGGATGCTGGGAGTTGAAGGACCTTTTTCTTGCCTAAATGAGCATAAGATTGTGGCTTATCAGTGCTTTTCAACCACCAGTCTGTGGACGGGCCCTGGTCTGTGGGGGGACCACATCCCACTCACCACAGGCTGGCTGTGCTCCACCACCTCTTCCTCAGTTGGCATCATGTTTGTGAAGGGGTGCACCTGTGCTGCCAGGGGAGCTGGAGAGGGGAAAGACAGTTTGGTGGGAGCTGGTTGAGAGCCACGCCATACCAATTTTTGGTATATTGTTCTTTTGTTGGCATTTTTTGCTGCTGGGTTTCTGGTTGTTTTGGAGACTTTTCTTTTTCCTTCCTTCCTTCCTTCCTTCCTTCCTTCCTTCCTTCCTTCCTTCCTTCTCCTTTTGGTATTTTGCTTGGAAACTAATACACAGAATACTGTATCATGTGTATGGTGCTTTTTGTTTCTGCCTCAGTGTTCCCTGAGGTGATTTTCCTGTTTTTGCTGGTCCCCAGCTGTGGAAAGGTTGAAAACCACTGGCTTGTATAACTAGAAGGGTAGACAGACAACAAAGGCCTGAGCCTGGAGGCCAGTCTTTAATACCCATAGACAGCATATGGAGAGAGCAGTCTGAAGAGTATTAAAGAGACTACTAAAAGATTCAGCTTTTAGGAAACATAGCATGTGGATCGTGGTGGTATTTATGCAAATCCCTTTTTCACATGGAGTCAAATAATAAACACAGTGAAGTATATTCATGGGGTCCCACTGATCTGTCGGACCAGGATTGTGAACCCCCGTCAGCAATGGGTGGGATGGGGGCTCAGTGCTGCAGGGTGAGCATGGGAGCCAGTGCACTTACCTCCAGCTGAAAGCTCTCTTCTCCTGATTGACTAGATCATCCTGAACTCCATGCACAGATACCAGCCCCGCTTCCATGTGGTGGTGGTCGATCCACGTCCTGACAGTGAGCGTTATGCTCAGGAGAATTTCAAATCGTTTATCTTCGCCGAAACCCAGTTCATGGCAGTGACCGCCTATCAGAACCACCGGGTGAGAGCAACGCACTCTAAGCGTGCTGGGCAATTTCGCTCAGGAGGGCTGACCTAAGCAGGGGTTGGGATGGGTGCAGCACGGGGCACTCCTGGAGACTGGCAGATTGGTCCATGCCGTCACATCCTCTGCTACAACAAGCCAAGCACTGCAGCCTTTCTAATGCATTTCTCAAGGTGCTTAGCTAATTATAGCAGCACAACAAAAACCATACCAATTACCACAGGGTTAGCTTTTATTTTGAATCTCTTGCATTGAAGAAATCCACGTGAGGTGGGCATGAGTGCAAGTCACTGACCAGGTTCACGCAACATGGTAAGCCATGGTGGTTTATATGCCAGCAGCGACTTATCCCTTTGTCTGGATCCAGCCCAAGTGGCTTAGGCATGGTTAAACAAGCAAACAGGCCACTGAGCTCAGGCCATACAACAAGCCACCAGTCACATTCACTTCTTGTTTTCTGTGAGTCCTTGTGCCCTAAGCTGACCTATTTCACAAAGCTCACTGCAAGGGGAACATGGGACGACACTGATGCATTCCACCCTAAGGGCCCTGGAGAAAAAGTAAGATCCATGCATTCTAAACAGCTGTTGAGCAGGGGCCTTGTTCTTCTGCCAAAGTGCTTGGAGCATTGCTGTGTTAGCTTCCCAGTGCTGGTGATTGGGTGCTCCAGAGCTGGTGTCACTTTCTCAGGGAGTAGCAAAAGCAACCTGTCCAGCACAACAAGGACGGGGCCAGTGGGGAAGATGCTGTTTCCCTGACAGATCCCTTGCTCTCTTTGGCAGATCACACAGCTGAAAATTGCTAGCAACCCATTTGCAAAAGGGTTCCGGGAATGTGAGCCAGATGACTGGTAAGTCTCAAATGTGGGTCAAAGCATAAGCCTCTTCTGTGATATGGCTGCAAAGAGGACAGGCACAGTTCTCACCGTGTAATCCTGTGCATGTCGATGCAGAAGTAAACACCACTGATTTGAAGGGTTAAGCATGAATGTAGGGTTGTACCTTTGCATGTACTGAAGGACAGAGAAGTCATATTCCAGGCACTGCTAATGCTGCACCTGAGCAAGTCAAATTCTTTTGCTTTATCCAAATGGTAGAAACATCTTGCATCCTGCTCTGCTCTAAGCCAGGACTCCCAAGAGTCCAGCTCACCTATAACTTGAGAGTTGTCTATGTCCCTGTTCCTTCTGTCCCAGTAACACCAAAAATGGGATACTCATTACATTGCCCATCCACCCTCTGGCAACCTCATCTTTGTAAGTTTTTAATGCTATGAAGTTTTGTTTTGTCCACAGTGTTGGGAAGGAAAGGGGACTGTCAGTAACCCAAGCTAAGCAGAAAGAAAAGACTCAGAATCAAGAATGTTTTTAACAGGTCCAGAAGCAGCAATTTGGGGCTGCTCTCCGTGGCTTCTCATGAGCAGCGGTGGACAGAATATAGCTCTCCAATGTTTTAGACATCAACTCCCCAGAAGCCCCTCCCAATAAAGCTAATAATCAGGAATGTTGGAGGTCCAAAACATCTGCAGAGCTATGTTTTTCCCAGCCCTGTTTTACAGCAGGGTTGGTCAGTTTGTAGCCCCCAGAAGTCATGACTTAAAACTCTGACCATCCCTCACCATTGGCTTTGCTGGCTGTGGCTGAAGCACACTGTAGGCCAAAACATGTGGAGGACCATAAGTTGTTTTGCAGCTCTGCCTGAGAAATCCCTAGTTTTAATTCCCATAAACCTAGAATCTAAACAGTTTCTTTTGTATGTGTGTGTAGGCCAGGGTCACCTGGGCAACTATTAGGCTGCTTATCTCGGACTGGGGGTGCCACTACCTTATCCCAACTGCAGGAGATCCCAGAGAAAGGTAAGACGGGAGGGACAATGATCAGCCTTGCAGCCACACAACTCCTGGGGAAGACAGACTTCCTACCACAATGCCTGATGGAAGAACTGTCAGCCTGGTGTGATCAAGAGACTGTTGGTTGAACTGTTATCTGAACAGGGACTTGAAATAATCAACAGGTTATTATTGTGGGGTTTTGCTGCTGTGCTACATGTTTACAGCACCTTATTCTTTCTCTCCATGTTGCACTAGACATAAGCTGATGTCTGTCACTAGACTCTCGCTTACCTCCAGTGCAGTTAGGTTTGGTCATGAACAGGGCTGTGTGTATTCCAGATATTTGCCCAAGCACAACCATTTAGTCTTGCATGCAGAATTCAGCTGAGAAGTGTTCATGTTTCATTACGTATGGGAGAAAAAAATCAGTCTCGAAGCATAAGGATAGTGCTAATCAGGTGAACTATTAGAAGCCAGAGGAGATATGACTAAGAAAGGGCTCCTACAACTTCCAGGAGCAGTATCTACATGCCCTATTTTTATCTTGTTAGCCCACTTTACGATTTGCAAAGTAGCATAATTTGGCTTTTCTTGAGATACAGTTTGACTTTTCATTTTTTCAAAGTGCAGTGGATCAACAACCCCTGGTTCATCAATGTGCTACTTATGAAGGGTGCATATGAGTTGTAGCCCAATGCATGCTTATTTTATTTTTTATTTATCTCAGTATTTATATAGTGCACCATTCCCACAGCCTTTGGGCAATTTACAAGAAATTAAACCAACAGTGAGTGATTTTGACTAATGCAATATATTAAACCGAACCAACGTGTGAACAAATATGGCAGCTGCCACTGTGATCCATGCTGGTCTGCGGGGCACCGTAGCAAAGCACACCACTAGCAATGAGGTACTTTGCCCTGAGTCTGTCCCGCCCCAAAGCTGCATCTCCCACTGAGGGAACCATTTGTACGATCAGGTCAAAGCACATGACAGGTGCATGTACAGGCGACCCCAGAAAGGTGGCGCTGCGGCCACCCGGAAGCCTATCTTCAGCAGCCCGCGTGGTAAAGCGCGGGTCATGGCCTTTAAAGATCCTGGTGCCCAGTGAGAGCAGAAGGAAGTTCTTCCCGGAGAGAAAGTTTGGGATGAATTCCTCAGGGGTGGTGGGGCTTGCTCCTTCCCCCATCCCCCGGCTCAGTATAATTACATTGCGTTTCTATTCCACTTTTCCCCCTCTTGTGGGCGGCCCAAGCAGCTGACAGAGCACCATGTTAACCTCACAACAACCCTGAGGTGCATTAGGTGACTGACTGCCCCGTCCCACCTTAGCCCCCAGGCGATGCTGGCTCCCCACTGGCCAAGAGGGCAATTGTCTAGGGAAGACTAGGCAGGATCAAAAAGCAGAGTGAGAGAGAGGCTGACGTTTTCCAGAGGAAGCCATGGCGCAGGGGGTGGCTCGGGCGGGCAGGCAAGGCCTCGGTTCCTCACAGCGACTTCCATCTTCACAGGGTTTCCCAGCAGCCACCACCTGCCTCCTTCCCTCCTCAAAGACGCTGCCCAGCTCCAGCACCTGCCGCTGGTGGCGCCCGCCAGCCTCCCGGAGATGTGCCTCGCTCGACGGCCCTTGAGCGACACACCGGGTGCCCTGCCCTACAAGCACCTCTCCTACCACAGCATCTACGTGGGCGCCCGCTCCCGGGCAGCACCGTACGCCCTCCCCAGCAGCCGGGGCACCAGCTTCCATGCGCTCAACATCTATGCGGCTGGTGGCTACGAACAGTGAAGGACGGCGCTCTGAGCCCGGCCTCTCCACCCTTCCCCTTTCTCAAGGAGCCGCACCTGCTCAGCTGTGGTGCCCCACTTCCCTCACACCCCCCTTTAAAATGGCCCACGTTTTCCACAGGTTGCCCTCAGTGGAAGGGATCTTCAAGCCAACCTGACACTGCCCCTGTCCCTCCCAAGACAAGCACTGGCATTCTCACACCATTGTTCCCCTGCCTATGGACATTAAATAACGTACAGGGCCTGGCACTGAATCAGTCTCATTTCTGAGGCATGGGAAGCTTGCTGGGAACTGCTCGTTCTCTCTTTGGAACACCCCACAGCAGTGCTGGGTGATGTTTAGCAATCTGAAAACCTATCCTGGGCACCGCCACACAATGGCTGCCCCAGGAGGTGGGGCAGAGTTCATCCAAAAGCTGAGTACAAGGTGGAGTGGAGCCTGTGGCTCAAGACACTAAACAACCCCCCTCCCCGTGACCCTTCAGTTAGTCACGCCAGCAAAAACCAAAGTCAAGTAACCTCTGTTAGTGGTAAGAAAACTTCTTTCCAAAAAGTGGGAGAGCAGGGCACCTTGGCGGACACCAGGAAACAGACCTGGGGCTGCATTCATGACACAGACACCGTGTTGTCTGCCTCTTCTCTACACATTCCTTAAAAGGAATTCAACCATGTTCCTGAGGCTCGTCCCAAATGTATGTATGTGATTCCCAAACCACCCACCCTAAACCCAATTCTGCAAAGCAGGCATCCCAAGCAAACTTTGCAACCGAAATAAACTTGAGAGGCAAATATAACAATGCAGCAAGAGTTATGTTTTTATTGCAGAACTGAATGGCTATGTTAAGAGCTTGACTTGGTGGTTTTTAGCACAGTATTCTGAACAACCTGCTTAAAACACAGGACTTGGCAAGGTGAGCGGAGGTGCTATGTCCACCTTGCCCTTGATAGGAAGCTTGTGCAATTCAGAGCAGAGGTGCCCCTTTTGTGCTGGCCAAGCTTTACCTGTCCAGGACGGTTGCTGCTGTCGGGTGTTCCTCCCCACAACTGGGGACCAGGGAAAGGGCGGGCACAGCCACAGTGACCCCCTTCCAAGGTGTCAGCCACTTTGCTAGAGGCTGCCATCCCTTAAATGAGGCCTGGGCAGAGGCCTGGAGCTAACCTGCGGCTCCACAGCATGCCTTGGCCCATGCAGTGTCTCCAGCCAGGCAGCTTACCAGGGAAACAAACAAGGCTCTTCAAGGCAGGCTGCCATGTGGAAATGAACATCCATCAAAATCTGGAGCAGGGTTCCAAAAAGCAGGCAGCAGCCTCCCTCAGCATAAGACGTGCCTCGATGGGTCTCTGTCTCGTTGTCTGAGAATAAACAAAGCTGCGCTGGCAAGCAAGCAGGACAAGCAAGGCAGACAGACGGTGCCACATGCCAGCCCTGCGGACTCCTGGCTACACTGCTGCCCACATTCCAGCACTCCTCAAGATCGCTTTTCATTTCTTCCCAGCAGCAGCTCTGAGGTGACAGAAAAAGGCGCAAGGCTGGCTGGCTCAGCTCCGAGTCATGCACATTCAGGGCGGAAATACCATGGCACGGTGCAGGTCACAAATCCTGCAGACCTTTTCCTTGATTCCAGAATGTCGCTGTAAATACTGATATTCCAGCAACACGCCTTTGTACAACCTCTCTTGTACGGTAAGAGGAAAGTGGCAGGTGGTTCCGATGGGATGGGATGGGATGGGGATGCAGAAGCTTTGTCCCACCTTCTGGAGGGACAGGAGGCACTAGTGGCGGAAAGAGGAAGCAGGAGTCAGCAGCCTGAGTGCAAAATGTTGCACGAGTCAGTCCATTCCTGGCAGGGGCACACGGCATATCTGCTCTCAGGAGAGGAGGAGGAGTCCTCTTATTCCCAGATGCTGGCTGTGAAAGTAAATGGGTTGAACCGGTATCCTGCGCCTCCGTAGAACTTGTTCTGAAATTCCACCCTGCAAGATACAAGAGGGGTTGGTCCAGGCCTTGCAGGACCAGCTCTCACCTGGCCACGCTCTACTTTCCCTGCCTCGGTTGTCCCACAGCTCCTGAAACAGGCATGTCCCAACCCAGCTGGCAGCCAGAGGGCCACGCTCTCCCATGAAAGCCCCCTCCCCTGGGAGAGCGGTCCTGCCAAGGCTCCAGTCCACAGGGTGGAAGCCATCAGCCATGCAAGACAAGTGGGGCAGGTGCTCTCACACACAAGAGGGGTGTGCTTCGCCCACATAAAGGGTGCCTCACCAGTGCAGACGCAGGGCGTGCAGAAAAGCTGAGAGGCCCTCCATCACAAGCAGGATTGCCACTGTCAAGACTGCAAAGAAGGCGAAGACGGGCACCAGGAACACCCCGCCCTGGTAGCCTGTCATGTGGAAGCCATTCCTCATCACCATGGTCCACAGCACCTCTGAGAGCTCTGCAGGAGGGACAGAGGGATGAAAGGCCAGGAAGAAATCCAGAAAGAAAAAACTGGGAGTGGTCATTTTTAATTCTGAGGACTGCTTGTGTTTTTTGCTGAAAAACTGGGAAAATTAACAGCTCTAGGTGATGTCATAAGTTATTTTAGAATTGAATACAAGATATTTATATATTGGCACTCAACTTTCACAGCCTCACAAATGATTTCTATGAATTATGTAACAAGACTTTCATAGAAAGACTAGAGATGTAAAATGTCAGGGAAAAAACATAAGAGGATTTTTAAAATCCTCTTTGAAAGATTCCCAGCCTAGTTATTTTTCATTCCTTATTAAAAGATCGTTGATCCAACATATCTTTCTACTGATAGACAGGGATGCTTCAGTTTTCCAACATGTCAATAAAGTCATGATGTCATAATATGGAAGAAAATGTACATTCCTGAAGCTCTGGGATTTGTTTTAGAGAGTGCTGTGTTTCTGGATGATGCTGTAGCAATCAATTAGCACAGTTCTAATCTAGGACCCAAATACAGGTTGAAAATAAATCACTCTAAGTTATCCCGCCAATGTCACCAGATTTGATGGAATGGCACATGCAACTTGGATCTATAAAACTCACTGCCACAGTTTTTAATAAAGTTCTCAATTAGACATCACTGTTAGGGAATGCTGCCTTGGCTATAAAACTATCTACCGCTGTCACAGAAACAGGTTTTAAAACTTCTCTAACTTTCTCTCTAACAAGAACAGATGCAATACACCAATGTTTTTTGCAATACGCTAATCTTTTTTGCTTCCTGTTCTTCCAGCTTCCTCTGGCTTTTAGGATGATTAGGAAGCTTCGGGAACTTCTTGCTGAAGTACTCTATGGTCAGCCATAAAATTGGAACCTCATATATATTACGTATAACTTGGTTTGCACATTATTGTGCTTGGTATATTAAATTTTAAAATATGGTTTAGTCAGACCATAATTACAAATTTACTGAGCTTACTTTTTAAAGCTTTCTAAATATAATGAGCAAGCCAAGTTATATATAATTCCACCTTAGGAACATCTGGTATGCTCCAGATGTTTTGGACTACGCTGCCCAGCTTTCCTGACCATTGGCCATGCTGCCTGAGGTTGATGAGAAAGTATTCGGAGGATAGTGGGTTGAGCAAGGGTGTCCTGGAGCAAAAATAAATGTTGCTTATTCTTCAATTTCCCCTCAAATTAGATTTGTTTCCTTTGGGGGGAAAATTGCATGCACACACAAAAATACTGATTTTTCCCATGACTATAAAATTTCTGGAATACATCTCCAGGTGGTAATGAGTGTATGGGGTTATTAGGAACCAGCAGAGTGGCTGGGCAGCTTTTCAGCTTCCCAACCGCACACCAGAGACCTCTGGGGGGCAGAAACAACAGTCAGAGACTTACCACTGACGCTAAGGGTGCAACCCTGTGCATATTTAGACAGAAAACTGTCTCACTGCTTCCAGCATTCCCCAGTCCGTTACTCTAGCTCAGGTAGGCCATTTTTCTATCTAAACATGCACTGGATTGCATACGAAGGCACATAATCACCCTTTCCCAAAGGCTTCAGAGACAAAACATCTGCTCTGCTTCCCACTTGGCTCACAGAGGCATGTGGCCAAAGCTCTCTCCATGCCTCTTATTCTCCACCTTCTCCCCTCCCAGCTCCAGAAACTCAAACTCACGTGCATGGGCCAGGCTGAGAGCCCAGAGACGCAGATAAGAGGCTGTGTTTGAGATGCAGCCCAGGCAGAACTCAATGGTGTGGATTGCTTGATGCATGAAGACATCAGAGAAGTCAAACTGAAGGAGAGATGGGCAAGAAACAGAGATTAGTTTCACACTCTTGGGGGGAAACAGTCAGGAGACCCAAAGGACCCAAAGTCCCTTGGAGCTGCTACTAGAATTTAAGCTTAAGGAAAAAACAAGCAGGGAACTTAGGGCTGTAAGAAAAGGAGAGAAATCTTCCAGCCCAAATGCATTTGCATAGAAGAAAAAAAACCACGCCAAAGACCAAGCCAAAATCACTACTCAGATCCTGAGGCTGTCCTTGTCATGATAATCTTGTTTTGTTTTTAACGGCAGTCTCTGTCATCTTGTGCCTTCTCTATACATGCAAAAGAGCCTGGAAACAGCTCCCCACATGGGAGTCTTTCCATTTTTATTGTGGGGGAATCTCCCAAGTCAAGAGAAGTGCTCCTGAATGTAAAGCACTTCGGACCTACTGGCATCTCCAGTGCAATGCGATCCACTTCAGTGGTTCTTGCAGCGGTTCAGTATTTAGCATCTTAAAAACAGCAAGGGGGCAGTTCTTGCAGCATCCTCCATATGGCTTGACCCATTTATTCAGTGCTCCACCAATAGTCTTATCCTCCAGTGACTTTCTCAGTGCACTGCGGCTAAGCAACTTCCAGGCAATTTTTATTTCTTCCACAGTCGCTCTTCAAAAGGCATGGAACAATTAAAAAGGAGAGAAGGGCTCCTGATCCTATGAAGAATAAATTTCCTTCATCACCTGATAATTCCAGCCTTCTCTCATATATCTGGGAGACAGGGAGCAGGTTTTCATGTCAGAGGGTGCAGCCTTCAGGCACTGTTAAAACCCTGAGCCTTTCTTTTTAGAAATCAAAGGCAGGGCTCCGGGCCAGAGTCATTCTGTACATTTTGGCCAGCCTTCCATGCTCATGCCAGTTCTTAACAAATGGTTCAAAACAAAGCAAAAATGAAGCAATTGAATGGGCATAATATATTTTAATTGTCCTGTCAATTAAGGGAAGGCTTGGAAGTATGCCAGCATTTGGAGCAAGACCACTGTTCCTGAGCCAAGACGTTACCTCTGCCTCTTGCTTGGGTTTTGCACAATCCACATCATCCACAGTAATGTTCACAGATCTGCTTGGCTCTTGTGAGTTCAGCAAAGATTGGCGGTCTTCTGTACTAGAAGGGTTGTGCTGCAAGCATCCCAGGACATATCAGGGAGAAAGAAACCACACACACACACACACACACACACACACACACACACACACACACACGGTGAGTCCACAGCACGCCACACGAAAGAACAAATCATGAAATGTAGTTTGCTTGTCCGTGGGCTGCCATGTGCCCAAAGGATGGCTGGATGTATCATGGCTCAGTGGCCAGTCCCCACCTCTCTTCCCCCACATGGGCTTCTTGCAGGTATTTCAGGAGACCGAGGGACACCAAGGTGTCCGCTCTTCCCTTCAGCCTCCACAAGCAGTTTCAGGATCACCACAGCTGGTGTTTTGTTTGTAAACAGTTCATTTGTTTGAGTTAGCAAAAGCTGGCTGTTGAACCCTCCTTTGTGACCCCAAAAGGGCATTCACAAAGTGCTCTTTCAAGGATCCCAATGGTATCTCTGTGGTTACCCCATTTTACACAACTGTTTTTACATCAATTATATAGACAAATTATTGTACTCATATTTTATCTTGGAGAGGTTACTTGAAAAGCCCCGTTTGTACAGACTTAAAAAGGGGAACGCTGCAGCAGGTACGGGCTGTGAGGAAGGGGCTGCCTACTGGCCTGCTTTCACAAGTTTCTCCAGTGCTGTTGCAAGGGGGGGGGGGGAACCTGAAAAACCGGGGCAACTACTCACATCGGCTAAAATCAGGAGATTATACTACGGAGAGGGTAGGAAAAGCCCATTTCTGCAAAGCCCAATCTTGCTTCACAATGAGCTTCTCCAGGAAGGTGGTTGAGGCCCATTGCTGAGGATGTTCAAGGATAGGCTGGACATGCATGAGGTAGGCATGTCATGAGCTGGGGGTCAGACTAGATAGCCTGGGAGGTCCCTTCTGAATCACTCTCTTTCTATGTTTCTGATCCCATCCTGTCAAATCTGAAAGGTCCGTGCAAATGCTTACCTGCAGCCTGCCCCAGACACCACAGAGGATGGGTGCCTGGATTCGGCCAGTGGACACGGCCCCAGTCAATACTCAGGGTCCTCTTTTTTAAACCCCATTTGTGCAAACAGGGCATGTGGGTAACGAACGCAATCATTGCACACAAAATCGGTACAGTTTTGCTTTAAAAAAAGGAGGGACCACAAGAAGCCAGTCCAAGATATCACTAGGGGTCCTTCAAGGGGATCATGAAAGGCAGCTTGGAAGTCCACTTGTGTGATCTCAAAAAGATAAAAGGGAGAGAAAGTCATGGCATGGCAAAGCCAGGACAGTGGCTGGCAGCTGCAGTGGGGGATGATGCCTTGGCCAGAGGTCTCCGAGTGCCACTGGGGCACTTTGGGGTAGGTGGCGACGCAATCACCAGGTGGCCCTTTGGCAGGAGTGGAAAGCTTTCCTGCTGATTTAACCAAGTGACTCCGTAGGGTGTTGGGCTTCACCTGGGCTTGCTGAGCCATCAGGATGTGAATGATATAGCAAACCCAGGGATGGCTCCAACACCCTACAACAAGCCACGCAGCCACAAACAAGCCACCCTGCGGGAAGCAACACACTAAGTCACCATGGCTTTGAAGACACAGTGGCTTAGCGTGTTGCGCAAACCCAGTCCCTGGCCCTGCTCCATCTTCTTCAATCTTCTGGGGCTTCCTGGATGTTGTGCAATTTCCCCCTCTATTCTGAAATGCCTTTGCTAAGGCTGTCACTGGTGACTGGAGCTTTAAGCTACAATCTGCTGGTATGCTTTGCATTTTTGCCCCCCACCCCCCCCCTCTCCCCAACCTTCTCTGAATTTGAATTCAGCCCTTGGGCTGAAAGAAGTTCCTCCGCCCTGACAACATGCCTCCCCTTTGGATCCCTCATGGCCACCAGAGGCCACTCGCGGACTCAGTCGCAAGAGCTCCCCACCAGCACATCCACAGAACTGCACTGACCCCATCGTGCCAAGGAAATGGGGTAGAAACCAAGGTTGGATGGCAGCCTCAAGCTCAGGCAGAGGATCGGGGTCTTACCCTGGACTGAGAGGCCCGACGTGGACGCTGGCACCAGAGGTACAAAGGTGTTCCCAGCAGCAGGACAGGTACGGAGGCCAGGGCCACCACCACCAACACCTTCTGCACTATGTCCTGCAGTGAGAAAGGGGGGGCGGGGGGGGAGAGATGCAATCCTTTCAGTCCCAAGTCACAACAACCAAAACCAAGGCGAGATGGAATGGCTTGCTGCTGCTGGGGAAGAAAGGAAATAATGACAACCGGGCCAAGGAGTAAATACAGTGTCCTCTGCTCCCTACATTTTCTGCTCTGCCTCAGGCTCAGCCCATAGGCGTGGTTAGAGGGGTACCTGGACATCCTTTGCAGTTTACTCCAGTCCAGCCCTCTGGGGTTCCGCAGGACACCTTGCCATGTCCCCTGCTCCCAAGAAGCCGAGCAGATAGAACGCAAGGCCACAAGCAGTTACCTGGTATTTGAAGAGCGAGGGGTTGCTGGCATTCTGTGCGAACAGGAACATGTCGATGAAATGGATGAGGATGCTGGGCGCCCGCTGGGAACTCGCAGCATTGTACGTCACCCATTTGTAAAAGATCAAGACCACGAGGTAGCCAAAGAGAGCCAGCAGGAAAGTGACCTCCGGAAGGAAAACCAGCAGAAGCTTGTATCTCTGCTTGAAATGGCTGCAAGCCAGACAGGAGAGGAGAGCCATCAGCAATGAGAAGGTCTAGCATACCACCAGAAAAAAAAGGAGTCCTGATACTGGGTCTAACCAAAGGCCCCTAGTGCAGCATCTGATTCTGCACAATGTTCAACCAAGTGCCCCCTGGAAAGCAATCGCCCCTCGGACTGTTGCTCCCGAGCATTTGGTATTGAGATCCTCTGATCCTGAAGGTCACAGACAACCAACTAGCAGCTATTAATAGCTTTATCCTCAGTGAATTGATCCAATTCCCTTTCAAAGTCCCCTGTGCAGACTCTGAGGCAGATGGGATTTTCACAGTAGCATATAACCTGACCGAAGTGGAGCCTTTGGGTGCCCTACCTCACCTCCACTTCGTAGAAGTAGCAGGCAGCAGACCAGCCAGACACTCACATGTAGTTGAAGATGCCAAGGAACACCCCAAAGCTCATGTGCACGATGCCCAGGATCACAGACATCTTCATCTTGAAGGAGTTTAAGAAGGTGAGATGGTTGACCGCCAAACTCCAAATCTGACTCACAAAAGTGGAGAAGAAACACACATATCAAACAAATACATCGTGTAAAACGCTTTGGGCATGGAAGGAAGAACAGAACAGAAGGGGGTGGGGCAAAATGTAAACTCATTTACTTCAATCCTGACCCTTCTGAACTATGAGCACACATTTAAGCCAGCCGTCCCCAAGCTGGTAATCTTCAGGTGTGTTGGGCAAGAACTCCCATAAACCCCTGGAGGCCTCCAGGTTGGAATAAGCTGTTTTAAATGGTGATATGAGGCAGATGATTTTCAAAATTAGATTTCTTCTCCAGAGTTTTTTCATTTCTAAAAAACTAATGTTTCATAAAATTTGTTTGCACTAGCAAATTGGACACCAATACAACATTAGGAAGTTCACAATTTTTCAGGTGATTATCCTATGTGTATGTTTTTTTGGTGGGACAAAAATAGAACCACAAGTACACCTAAAAGCAAGTTATGCACTTGGCTGTGCAGGGCGAGTCAAAACTAATGCTCTGTTGTTGTTACATGATGCCAAGTCATCCCTAACCTGTGATGACCCCATAAACAAACGCTCTCCAGACTTCTTATCCTTGACACCCCTTCCTTTTCTTCCTTTGCTTTTGACTTTCCCTAGCATTACTCTCTTCTCCCGTGAGTCTTGCCTTCTCATAATGTGCCCAAAGTAAAACAGCCTCAGTCTTGTCATTTTTACTTCCAGGGAAAGTTCTGGTTTGATCTGATCTAAGTTTGCCTTTCTATCAGTCCAGGGCATTCTTACATCTCTCCTCCAACACCATGATTCAAATGTATCCATTTACTTCCTGCCAGTCCTGCTTTCATACCCATATAAAGTGATTGGGAATACAATAGTGTGGATGGCCTTGGCCTTGGTCTCCAGCAAAATGCCCTTACACTGGGTGATCCTTTCTAGTTCCATCACTGCTGCCTTCCAAGTCTCAGTCTGCTTTGAATTTTTTGGCTGCAGTCTCTGTCTGAATTGATCACTGAGGCAATCTGTGCAAAATCTTTCACAATTTCAATTTCTTCATCGCTGACATTTGTGTAATGCTTCTGCAATCATGATTTTTGTTTTCTTAATGTTCAGCTGCAGTCCTGCTTTTGCAATTTCTTCCTTCACTTTTGCAAAGAGTCATTTCAATTCATTGCAGCTTTCTGCCAATAATAATGGTAACATCTGCAAATAAATTACAGGTGCATCTTCCACCAAAAACCAAAGCTAATGTTCTTTATTTCATCTCAATTCTGCAAGCAAAAGCAAAGCCAAAACTAAAATGGGCAGTTATCTTTGATTCTTTCTTAGCAGATACACATAGCAGCATCTTGTTTCTTGAGCCAGGAAATACTTGCATAGTAATACCTGTTGTTTTTCAGACAAAGACATCATTTGGTGGGCAGCAGAACATTATTTCCTGTAGAAGGAGCACTGTCTGAAACTTGCTCAGTATTGCCCTAAGGATCCCAAGCATCCTGCCAAAAACTGCAACTTAGAAATGGAGCAGAAAAGTTTTCTGCTCAGACCATACCAGTCTTCCCCCACCTCGCAATTCTAGAAGTCTTGGATAGCAACCTACAACATCTCTAGCCAGTGTGGCCACTAGACCTGCTGAAGGGGAATGATGGAAGGTGAAATAAAATTGTTAAATTTGGGCTTTGATTTGTCTTGCACAGCCAACTATCCACTGGAGAGCGCTGGAATAGAGAAATGAATGAATGCACCACTATGTCTTAAAACCTCTTGCTTCCAGAGCACACATGTGCAACTCGTGGCTCTCCGGATGATTATGGGTCTATGACTCCCAAGATTCCTCGCCACTGGCTATGTTGGCTAGAGCTGATGGGAATGGATAGGCCAAAACATCTGGAAGGCTGCAAGCTGCCCACCTCATTCTAAAAAAACAGTTGGAGGCATAATAGTAAAAAAGGCAGGTCCTAAGTTGCCGCTGGCCACTGACGTATTGATGAGGCAATCCTTTAGCCAAAAGGGACTGGGTTTTCAAGCAGTTGGGAACAGTTGCCATCTCGGTACCCTAGGCAAGGTGGTATTTTGGCACCCTGGTACATTTAAACCACCTACAGTTTGCTTTGTTTAATACTTTCTCTAAGCAAATATTTCAGTTCAGGCTATTGGGACATAAAAGTAAAGTGGAGTACCTGCTTTTTGCTTTCATTTTTGTTTACTCAATTTAAGCTTAAAATAAAATAATAAACAAGGGCGCCAATTTAGCATTTTCCAGTTTACCATTCTCCAGGAAAGTCACATCACTGTTTTTAAGCTAGCTGAAAGGTAATGGTTTTCCACCAACCCCCCACCCCCACCCCAAGAATTGCGATTTTGCTGAGCATGAATACAGATGGCTAAAGGGGTGCCCCATGTGCACTCACAGCTCATCCTTATATGACACTCACATATTTAACCACAACAACCGAGGCTCCAGGACTATCAAAACTCCCAGCATCAGTTTGCTCCTTCAGTACTTACCGGATCTATCCCAAAAGGGTAAGGGCCGTTAAAGACTCCTGTGATATTGGGGTTCATGGTGAGAACAGGGTTTGTAGTGATATCCTTCAAGCTGTAAAGAGGAGGAGGGCTTTGGTATATGAGAGCGGCAGAAAAAGGCAGCAGATGGAAGGAGAGGCCATTCCTGGCTTGGGCCATGGGATGGTTCATACCTCCACTCTGAGGAGTTGGCCATGGCAGCAACGCTCCAGGCAGATGGGAAGATGGTTGTTGCCTTGCTGAAGCATTCGTTGTAGATGAAGCCAGTGTAGATCGAGAAAGCCCCCATCAGGAGGATGAGGTAGCGGCCCGCAAAGAACATCTGCCAAATCTGGGGGAAAGGTAGAAAGCAGGAAGGAAGACAAAGGCTGAATATGCCTGTGTGCATATGTAAGTTCTCTGAGAGTCAGCAAGGAATAAGAACAGCAGTTAAAGCATCCAACTTGAACCTGGAAGGCTCAGATTCAGCTCTCCACTCAGTCATGAAGTAAACGTGGACCTTTTTTTAAACTGCAGCCTAAGCTACTTCCCAGATTGATCATCAGGATGAAACAGGGAAAAAACACGTTTGCTTCCCTGATCTCCTTGGAGGAATGGAGGGATATATATATAGGAGGCAAAGCGTCCTTCGGATGCTGTTGGACACCCACTCCCATCACCCCTCTCCATTGGCCATGTTGTGGGGAGGCTGCAGAAGCATCAGATCCTCCTTTCCTACTTCCCTGGAAGGGACCCCTCCTCCTCTTGGGGCTCACCTCATTTTCCACCTTCTTCATGCCGGGACGGTTCTCACCCAGCACCATCCAAAGGGCGAAGAGGAACATCAGCAGCCCATGGCCAACATCCCCAAACATGACAGCAAAGAGGAATGGGAAGGTGATGATGGTGTAAGGAGCTGCAAAACAGAGCCCACCTTAGACAGGGAGCCCAAGGAAGCTTCCTCTCTGCCCCAAACCCTCAGCCAGCTGCCTTTCATCTCACCAAGCTACACAGCGTCCCCACCTGTTCCCTAGCTTGGAACTGTAAAGCACCGGGAGAGGATCTGATCAGGCAGGGCACACATTCAGTGGAGAATCGCGCCACACCTCCTGTCCACCTGGCTCACTGTGGACATACGAACACCTGAAACGGCCTTCCCAGTTCCCCCTCCCCCACCCCCCTCCCTCCCCCCCACCCCAGAACCAGCCTCCCCCAAAAATGCATAGCCCTCCCTCCTTGAGGAAAATGCCATTCAGTTCCAGTGGCCAATGCCCAGGAAAGAGAGAAAGCACTGCCAAACCAGACCAAGGGCCTAACTAGTCCCAGCATTCTGTTCTCAAGCAGCTGGACTCAGACCTTGAGCCGAAGTCCAGAAGCTGGCAGCCAAGCGGTCCCCCAAATTATCAAGCAGGAGCGGCAGCTGGTGAGGGCAGCTGGGTAGCAGAAGCAACCCCCATTTTGCTCTGCTGGTCATTATGATCTGTAGTGAGTCAAAAGTGCAACACTGCACACGCGCAAGCATTTCCTTCTTTGTTCTCGGCGGCTCGGCGGGGCCGTCATTATTCTAATGTATCAGGAATGCAGAAGCATTCCTAACGCTTTGGATAGTCAGTGAAATGGTGGTAAAGGGGAGAGAAATGTGGGTACTTCACAACTGATCTAATACACATGGCCATCTGAAGGCGCGCCCCATGAAGTCCAGGAATTAACTTGACCTTACTGCACTGCTGCCTGAGCCGGCCAGTCAGATGCTCATAGGAAGCTCACGTGTGGGACGGGAGCATAACAGCACCCTCCTACTCGTGTTCTCCAGAAACTGGTCCTGAGAGATGCACCATCCCTGAGACTGCTGGGGGCAATATAGAGCCAACACGGCCCGGAGCCACTGATGGCCTCATCCTCCAAGCATTCCCTTCATTGCTAAAAGGATGCTCCTCTGAGGGGGAAAGACAAGCTGGACGCTGTAATTCTCCTCACCTGGGTTCACCTCTTGGTAGCTGGCTACCCCATAGGCATCGACAATGTTCTGGAAGCCAGCCGTGAACTTGTTGGTGCGGATGAGGGTGGGTGGGGGCTCGGTGCAGGAGATCCGCTGGGCAAAGCACTCCACCCCAGAACCACTGCGGTGCTGCAAGGACAAGAGAGGATGGGCAGGGGAGCTTCAAGTCCATTTCTAAGCACAGCTGCCCTTAAAAAGACAGACAGACAGACAGACAGACAGAGTCGCATGCAGCTGGACCTGGCACAAGCCAACTTTCTCTCCTGCACTCTCTAGCAGTGCATGGCAAGCTACCTGCGCATTTCACCTCCCAGGATGCAGCACAGGTTGCTGTTAACAAGCTCAGCCATGGACAAATGCTACCCACCGCAGGCACATAGGTGAGTAGCAAGATTGCCATGAGATCATATAAGCCCGGCTTTTAGAAGTTTCTAGTCCTCATGATTAAAGAGGGAAATGGCTAGGATGGACCTACTGAAGTCTCAGATCCCCCCACCCCCCCCAAAATAAATAAATAAATAAAATCCATTTGTCCAGAGTGGCATTCCAGTGCCTTACACTGTCTACCCATCTTCTATTATTTTTGCTGCATCCAGGGCTGTATATATGCTAACTAAGAAGCCTGAAATTCTGTACCAGAAAATCTGGACCCTGCCAGCTATGAACAGGATCTTTCCCACTGCAACATTCTGTTACAGGGCCCACTTGACAATGCACGGACCTTTAGCAGGCAACAGTATGGGGCCAACTATATGGGATCCCCATCATCTCCAAAATGGGAACTGGACTGAAGGGTATATCAGACAACAAGCAGAAAGCTGCTGCATCGCTGGCAGTGCAGAATGAGGAGGGGCAGGGAAGTGGGAAAGCCTTTATGGCACTTACTGATCCCTCCCGCAGGGCCTGCTGCACAGCAGGAAGATCGCGGACGGGGCACCAAACTTCCCCAATGAGGCACTTGTCTGTGATGTTGAAGCTGCACTGGTTGAGGATGAAGTAGATGGCCTTCATCTTCTGTATCTGCACTCGCCAAGCAGGCAAGACCATCAGCACCTTTTGTAGCACCTGGTCCAGGTACTGCTCCGTTTGGCCTAGTACCTGTTGGCAGAAGGAGTTTGCTGCAGAATGCAAAACATTTCTTGCTTTAAAGAAAACAGTTTGGCAATGGAATGAGTTGTTCAGAACAGCAGTTCTCAAATAATTCCATAAATGTGGCTGTGCCTGGGGCTACAGAAGATGCACAGCAGTTGCACTTGTGAAATTTTATTTTTCAGCATAATTACAATAAAAAAGTATCATGGGAAGAAGGAAAAACCTGTTGACCACACAATCAGTGAGAGATTTTTTTCTCATTGGCACTTCCTCTTTCTCTGCTGCAGAAGTCAAAAACAGAGTGTAACTGGGTAGGTAAATGTACCCATTGAAAATATCCTGACTGCATTCTCTGCAAGTCAAAATAACACACAGAGTCCACCGAGCAAGGCTGAGAGAGACACATATAGGAAATTCTCTGAGGAAACTGGGGGACACCAGCCTCTCCAGCCCAGACCCTGGGTCATGCAAGATCTGGAGTAGGTGGGAGAGAAATTTGCAAATCAAGATATTCAACACACCAAAAATTCAGTGTTAGGGGTTGTAAAATAATAATTGTAATAATAATAGCAACAGCTACTACTGAAAAAAACATACTTTACAAGCATAATGATATACAATCCTTACAAGAGGAAAAAGGCAGGGTAAAAATGTAATAACCAGTTTTAAGAAATCTTAATCTCTACTCATGGGAATGGTTCTTCTTATTTTTCTCCCTCCCTCCCCTGGAACTCTCTCTCTCCTCCAGCTCCCCTCCCCTCCTTGGGAAGGCAGGTTCAGGAGCACTAGAAGCACAGGGAGGCTCATCACTTACATGGGTTACCACCAACCTTCCCCCACCTGGGGCCCTCCAGGTGTGTCAGGCTGCCAGTCCCATAATTCCAATGGCTGGTCGGCTGGGAATAAATTGAGTTGCAGGCCAACACATCTGGAAGGCCTGAGATTGAGGAGGGGCTGAGCTATTCTTTCTTCCAAGCTTCTACAGGTCACCACCCCAAACAGCTCTTCCTCCCTTACCGTGACCAGATCTTCGATTTGGGTGCTCAGCTTATGTAGTGCCTCCCCACGCTCGGCCTCCGAATCAGCATATGGATACAGGTGACAGTGAAAGCTGGGGAGAGACACAACACGGCATGAGCAGGAGAGAGCACACAAGAAGTGACAGCAGGGTGGGAGAAGGCGGAGCTTCTTGGCCAGTTGTGTAAAGAAGGGCAGAGATGAGCTGAGACTTATGGAAGGCAGTCGATGTCGCACTGCTACCCCGGTTTCATGGCCTGCCATACACCAGTGGTGTAGAGAACTTGCCGCAGAAATTGCTCCAAAGTGGGGCCCTGGAGTAAGCAAGGCAGGCAAAGGTGAAAGACCCATGAGCAGGTAAGGGAGGGGAGCTGTTGTGGAACAGGTGCCGCACCTGAGAAGAAGCACCTGACCCAAACTGAAAAGGAGCAGAAAGAGATCGCAGCGGAGGGGGGGGCACATGCACCATCCTTGGTGGTCTTCTGCGGAAGATGCATCTTCTAAGGAAGGAGCAGCCCCTGCAGTACTCACCAGTTGGCGATCTTGCAGATTTTCTGCCCAATCTGTTCACCCCAGTAGGAGATGAGAAAGATGACCCAGGTGACAGTCTCGCCCTGCACGTGAGAGGAGAGGTTGCCAGAAGTCTCGGCGCTAAGAGGCACAGGAGAAGCAGCTCGGGAGCCTTCCTCCCGAGGCAGGCCACAGAAAATGCCCGCAGCCTCCCGAAGTCACAAGCCACCCTGCGACTTCTACACGCCCTCTTGAACCTCACCCACAGCCGAGCCCACCGCATGGCCTGCCCCTCCTGACTCCGCAACCCCTCAACAGCCAGCCAGCTCACCTCCCCACCCTGGCCTGGTTTCTTTGGCGTGACTCACCGTGGCTGGGTTTTCCATCGGCTCCGGCACCTCTGTGAAGTGGGCCACCAGGTAGCCACGGCACGCCCGCCACAGCAGCCGCTCAAAGGAGCTCACCCGCCACGGGTGAATCACCCCTGCCACAAAGCTTGGGGAGGGGGGAAGGGGGGAACAACATGCACGTTGAGACTGCACAAGCAATGCCCAGCATGTGGACGCCTACAGCAACACAACCAGCGCTTTGTACATATACAGCCCATGATAAGTGTACACACAGCCTTCAAGTACGTGAGCCCAGTAATCCTCATGGCGACCCTAAATGGTAATCAAGCATATGGCAGAATGGGGCTGGGGGAATGGGGCTTGTTTAACACCAGGCAGAGTCCGTGGCTGGAGAAAACTGCAGATTCCTCTCCTCACACACTGAGCCACTAGGTGGGACCAGCTTCCACCCAGGAGCAAAGGGTTTGGTTTTCCCTGCAAGCTTTAGATCTCTCACAGAAGCGTTAACCAAGCAGACACCAGTGAGAGTTTCTTCCCAACTTACTTTACTTTGAGATCAAGTCGCTGTGCCGTGAATGGATCCAACAGAGGATCTCTCTCAGAGAAGGCGCGGGGGCGGGCGGGCGATCCTAAAGGCACCTGCTGGCAGGGAAAGAGTCTGTGAGAGAAGGGCTATTTACCAATCCAAAAACTCAAGACTTCTCTTCTCTTCCCTTCCCTTCCCTGGACACCAAACGCAACATAACATGCTTACAGATGGCAGCCTGCAGTAGTGAAAATGCAGTGTGAAATAATTTCCTGCAGCCAAAACAGATGCAAGAGGGCCTGTGTGAGGAATGGCAACGTATCTAAATCATGTTGCACTTTGAATCATCACTGCCCAGGAGCAGCTTGTCATGCTGTCTGAACCAGGGTAGCATGGCTCGTTGGAGGAGGAAGCAACCCTCCAATAACCCAAGGCTGTGGGGTTATTAGAGGGCTGTTCCCCCTGCATCAAGCCATGCCACTTGGGTTTGGATGACACAACAAGCCAAACCTGGGTGGTGATTATTTAAGTAATATCCTGCATGTGCCAGGATTGCAAAGTGATTTAAATTAGCTCTGGTGGCTTCTTTTGCTTGTGCTAACTGGTCCAGCATGTGACTAAAACTAATAAAGACAAAGTTCAGGGCCTCAAGCTGATTGCCTACAATACTGAACCCACTTTGAAACGGAGGACAGCTGTGCTCACGTTGCTGTGACTGCAGGTATCTTCCAGGCCTGCTCCTACACCTTGCCTTGGAAAGGAGCATTTGCCACTGGCCTAAAGTTCCTCAGATCTTCCAGGCCCAGAGAGGATTTCTTCCAGAGCAGTCTGACCATTGTTTCTTTCAGGTAACATGGGACCACCCTCTCTCTCAAGCAGATATTGATCCCCTCCCTGGCCCAGCCAGCTGTTCCTTTCCTGCTGGTTTTTATAAGGCAAGAGGGGTGAAGTTCCAGTACAGATGGGGCTGCATGAACCTGTCCAAGCACCCTGCCAACAGGCCATACCAACTGAAGCTCCTCTAAGAAAATCTGACCATGCTATACTCTGGGTACCTCACCTGATTCCGCTGGGACAACATGGGAGTCTAAGTGTTGGAGGAGGCATAACATTTTGCCCTAGAAACGCTCAGCAAATATATTAGAGCAAGCCTCAGGTGGTTCTAGGATGTCCATGGGTCTAGCACATAATAGGCCCCACAGGGCTGTGAAGATCAGGCCAGAGTCCAGCTCTCTTACACACACTGAGTTTCTTTCCTTTGCTTGGCACTGGCCAGGAAGCAAACTGAACCAAGATCAAGTCTGGAAATGTTGGGGAACATTCACAGCATTTGAGTACAGCATGGTGTTAGGTCCATGTGGGCGACAAAGGGCATTGTCTTTTAAGAAAAATGGACATATTGGATGCCTCCTTCTTGCAGCACTACATTCCCCAACACGGTCCAAAGTAGCCTTCCCCAATGTGGTACCCTTCAGATTTGTTATATTACAACCCCCAAAATCCCCTAGCCAGCATGCTAGCTGGGCATAATGGGAGTTGCAGCCCAATACATCTGGAGGACACCAGGTTGGGGGAAGCTGTTCTAAAGGGTATCTATAGATTAAGTGCCCTAAAATATGGTTCTCCTCCATGGTGCTGCTACCCTCCCCCCTTTGCTGCCCTCTCCAGTGACTTCTTCCATCAGGTTACCACTTCCTCTCTTCACCCAGTCTCCCCGGGTGCAGAGGGCATGCCACCCTCAAAGCTTTCAGTATCCCTTTCTGAAAGAGATGCTTCTGCATTACCCAAACAGCCACCATCTTCCAAGAAAAATGCTAGCTCCTGAGAGTCAGAGAGTGGGGTGGGAGGGGATCACTTACCAGTTGCCCAGTGAAGCGCTGCCCCTCCTGCAGCACATGAATATGTTCCCGCATCTCCTGTAGCCGACCAAACAGCTTCTCCCGGTTGTAGCTCACCTCCCGCAGCTCCTGAGCCAGTGTCTCTGACTGCTCCTGGATGCGCAGGGCATCGCGGAATGATGGTGCCGGCAAATTCTCCTCAGGGGATGTCAGCGACAACCCGGCTTTCTGCACTTCCTGTGCCAAAAAGGCTGGTGAGGGAGAAAGGACGCATGAGAGGCACCTGAGATGGTTGTCTCCTTTGAGGGTCACAGAAGATCAGGATCATACCACTGAGATCCAACAAGATCACCAGACTCATGCACATGGTAGGCACGTCATGAGTGGAGCCAGCTGGAGCTGTGGGTCAGACTAGATGGGCAAGCCCTTTGACTCATTTTGTTTCTATGTATAGCAGCCCCACAGGGGTTCTGCAAACCTCCCATTCCTGCTGACTGCTGGGAACTGCACAAATAAGGGATCCAGCATGATAAACTGCATGGATAGGTGTGGACTATGTGATGAACGAATATGTATAATTTTCGTGCAATCAAAATGACACTCTGCACTGGGATTCTACGAGGATCAATTTTAAACTGTTTGAAAGCTAAATTGGTCTGCTTTAATTCTCTGTAGTTTACAGAGAGTTAAAAGGGTCAAATTTAGTTTGCAATCAAGCAACTGAGTACTACAAACCAGTTTGCCACTGAATTTTGGCAGCAATGTATTTAATCATGTTCTTCACCTAGTGCAGCCTGCAGGAGGCAAAAATGGTCCCTGGAACTCCTGTAGTTGCCCCTCCCTACCCGCCCCATAGATAGTGGACTGCACTTGGCTTGGAGACTCTAAAGTTAGTCGGCCTGTCAAGAACACCACCACAGCAATTCCCAGACTTTTGCAATGATGCTTGTGAAAGTTAGGACTTTTCTAAAGGCATGTGCTTCTAAACATTCTGTATTACATGATTAGTAAGTTATGAGAGCTTCCCCTTACAAGAAAGCAATACATTTCTAGATCTCCCAAGTTCAATAGCAAAGATCAAACAGAATCATTACTCCCTCTGTAGGTTGCAACTGAGTCTAGGAATCCCTACAGGATGCCAGAGCATCTACTCTTAACAAAACTGTAAACTAGCACAGAATACTGTACCCCGTCATATGGGGCCAAGCATTTTTCTAAATGACTCTTTCCTCCACTAGCAGATTTTCATTGCTGAAAATAGAATGCCAAAAATAATTAGTAACAGAATGAACAGATCATACTCTAGCAGGCCAAATTGCCCATTTCAAAAGCTGTAATTAAAGTAATGGTCCATAAAAAAAACCTTTATTCATAAGTTTCATCACCTTCAACTTTCCCCCCACTTAACATTTAGGACAATATAAAGGAAGTATGTACTATTAACTTCTCATGTCTTAATACATTTACAGGTATTCTGATAAAAATAATTCAGTTGTGGCAGAGGTTGTGGTGTTAGTTTGTTGTAGCAAAATAAAACAAAACAGAACAAACAAAAAAGACCTTGGCAGTCCTTAAATACCAACACATATTAAAAATATACAATGTTGTGCACTAGAATCAAGTTCATCAGATTTCAGAGAGGTTGCTACACTGGTCTATTTTCAAAAACAACAAAGCATCTTGCAACAATTTGAAGATTAACAAATTATGGTGTGAGGTTTTATGGAGATTCATGAAGGTTTTACTTCTGCGTTTCATAAACGTTTATGCCATAATAAATGTGTTTGTCTTTAAGGCAGAGGTGAACATAAGATAGCTCTCCAGCTGTTTTGGATTTCAGCTCCCAGAAGCCCTTGGCCAATCATCAAGATTGCTGGGAGCCTAAGTCCCAGACATTTGAAGATTCACCTTCTACCTACCCCTGCAATGAGGTGCTATAAGAATCTTGTGTTTCAATAACATAGTTTCCAGGCAAAGCTTTAATTTTTTTAATTACATTGAAGTTCACGTAGCAGTGGGAGTAGCATACAGGCAAACAAACTGAGCTCCAAAGCAGAAAGTTCCCAATGTGAATCGTGTCTCTGTTATGAACTCACTAGCGACCTTAGCCAAGCTACTTTCTTTCAGTTTCAGTTCCTCCATCTGCAATATAGAGGAATAATACTCTGATTTATCAGAAAAGGTTGTTGTAACTACAAGATGCAATTGCAATGCTTTGGACACTTGAAAGTGCCAAATAAGATGAGGAGGAGGACGATGACAACAGACATACTTGAGCAAGTGCTTCCTCTAACTCAGCTTCCCTGACCTGATGTCCTCCATATGTTTTGGACTTCAGCTTGATCCATCCCAGCCCACATGCCTAGGGGTTCGGATTAATAGAAACTATAGTCAAAAATATCTGAAGGGAAACAGATAGGCAAAGAGTCCCCCAGTCAAAAGTTTCGTGTCATCTCCTTTTAGCTACTAGAAACCTTTTGAGATATCACGGAAAGGTTAAAATGGTGCTGTTGTTTCTGAAAAGTTGTGATTATCAAATACATGTTAAACATATTCCAAGAGGGCTGCATGAGATCAGATCAACTCAAGGCACTAGAATTTCCCTCCACCCACCCCAGAAAATAGGCACAGTAATGGCATCTTTAAAAACTCTGGTCTTCTGGTAAACGAAGAGGAAACAAGAAACTATAACAGTTCAGGAAGTACTAATTATAACAGTCTGCAACTTCCATGGCTGATGTACCAAAATTGCCTAATCCCTACCACATCTTTGGAGAAGCTTCAAAGGCAGGCAATAATAAGTGACCCATGTGTGGAAGTGCAACTATCATTAGCCATAAACCAGAAAGTATATGAAGACTCTAAAATGTGGCTTTGTTCATGTAAAAAGTGTCTCATGATTTACTCATCCAATTTGGTTATAACGGAGGGTCTCCCTCAAAATCTCGAGCAGCCAAAGCCTTGATGGTGCACCGACAGCTCTTGGATTTGCAAAGCAGGTGAGAGAGCAGGGCTGGCTTGTGGCATTCAGGAGGGTTCATTCCCAACCCCACGGGAATCCCACCATGACTGATGACCGCCCCCCCCCACCACATCCCCCCATGCATGAATGCTACTCACTGAAGGTTTTCTCCATATCTTCACATCGCCGCACTTCCCCCACAAAACGTCGCTGGAAGGCACTGACATGGGGGTTCAGCTGAAAGTAAAGAAGCACACAGCTAGCAAGAAGCCCAGGGAAGGGCTAGACAAGGCAGCCCCACCTTCACCTTGGAACCTGGCGGCCAAAGTCCCCACTGCTTGCTCACCCCATTCCCTTTTCCCTTAAGGATAGCTCAACATCAAGAGCCATTTCACAGCTGCTTCTGCACTCCACCCAGTGCCATCCTCTACTCAGATCTCCCTTATCCATTTAGCCAAATTGCACCAGAAATGGGCTATCAGTCTGCCACATCTGACTTTCTTCAAAACCTGGGAGGCGGAATGATCTGTATAGAATCATAATTATTCTTTGCATTCAGGTACATGAAAATATCTATGGGGGAAAAGCAGACAATAACCATCAAATTGAAGATGGGCACTCATCAAACTTTAAACTCCTACAGAAATGCTATTACTTGCCTTTTCTATGTCAAAATCAGCACAGGCAATCCTCAAAGCCACCTTTCCTACATGGCCAAGTGTCCTATCAGCCCATTGAGCCATTATCTTTGCTTAAGCCATGGAACCTACTGCCCCCACCACCTGGAATTCCAGCTGTACAGGGAAATGCAATTCAGGTGACTCACCCTTAACAATGGGCCACCCTTTTCTGGCCCTGCATGCAGACATCTCTGTGCAATGCACTACACAAATTTTAAGTTGTTAGCCCTCATTGTTGTAGTGAAAAGATATTCTTAACCTCAATTGCAGGAGATACTATTATAAGGAAGAGGGCAGCTACATTCATGAGCTATAGCCACCCACCCACCAAATCTCTCACAGATGTAAAATCATATGTTTGGAGTAGCTGTGGGCAAACTCTCGCTCTGCGCGAAGAGCACAGCCACAGCGTTGCTCCCCGAGACCTCCTGCACATACATCACGGAACTCCACAAGCGCACGCTCGCCTAATTCGCTGACACAAGCGTAGGCTGCAGCCGACTGCATGAAGAGTTGGGCCAGGCAGATCTCTTCACTGCGGAACAAGGTCCCCATGTCCCTAGGGGAGGCAAAGAGAGGGAGAATCTGTGAGCAAGAAAGGACTAAGTATGCACCAACTCACTGACAGGCTAGCAGTAATTCAAACTGGCATAATGTGGGTGCTTGAAGTTCTCTTCTGGCAGCTGTCCTGATGAGACATCAGGAAGGAGGAGATGAAAGGTGGACGATTTCTCTGGAATATGCAGAGAAAAGAACAAGGAAACAAGAACAGGCGTGGGGGGGGGCAGCTATTAGAGGGGCAGTAATTGGCAGAAAGAAAAGGTTCAGGAAGGAGGAAGGCTCTGTCTGTCTCTGCCAGCCATGGGAGGGCCATGGCTACGAAGGTTTCCTGGACAGAGAAGAATGGAACTTCCCCAAAACAGGGATGGCTAAGCATCACTGTACTGTTGCATCTGCTTGAGTTTTCCTAACTGCAGAGGGCCTTTAGGTCCAGCTAACAAAGAGGATTCACACTTACCTCTGGGTGCTTCACAAAGTGCAAAGAAGCAAAAACAGGGCTTCTCCTGCAGGCGTTGGCCAAGAAGCTGTCCCAAGATAGTCCTTCCTGCTCTAACAGCTCGCTGTAACTGGCACTCAGCCTCTGCTGATTCACTTGGGGCTTTTTGTCTCAGCTCAGGGATTGCAACACAGTTTCCAAGCTGAGGCAGGACCACCCGCTTCAGAGCGAGTGCCTGACTCAGAGCTCCATGTTGCTCACCGTGGGGTTGAAAAAATGTCCTGAGGCGGCAGATCATAGGACTCAAGCCAGACGAACAGTAGAGATGGTTGGAGCCATTAACTCGACATTTTAGGAGGTGGCAAATAGTGGAGAGAGACACAGGCAAGGCCCAATGACCTGTCAAAGGCAGAAAACAAATTCTTAGATCTACTGCCTCTTTCAAATCACTCCTCTCCATAATGCAAAAGGTGCCTTACTTGAAACTCTGTGGTCGATCTGGGAGCAGAGATATGAATAGGCGAAAAGGAACCCCTCCCACAACTCTGCTAGATTCAGAAAACCTCAACAGGCTAGAAACTAGGCACACATTGCAGGCATATAGACATGCAGATGGACCGAGTGGACATTGCTACAAGGTGACTCTTATGGGGAAATTCGATATTCCAGATTACCATGGCTCATCAGGCCATTTTCTGTTGCAGAAGTTACACACAAGGAGGGCACTTGTTAGACATGGGCAGGCCTAACACACAGCGCTTTGCCAGGAACACCCCGACTACAAACTGTTTCCTGGGGAGATGGTGCTGAAGCGAATTCACCATATTAGAGCTTGCCATATTCCCTTCAAACCAGGCCTTCTGTTCCTTTACAGAGACTGGACACAGTGGAAGCACCCTAAGCATGCCTTCTCCTGTTACAATTCTGCAGTGACAAGACAGAATATTCCTTGCTTCAGAGCTCCCAAAATGACAGAACTTCTGTCCCCACGGAGATCCAATAATCTGAGTGGAGCAGCTGAATGCTCCCGCTCTGTCGATCAGGCCTTGTGAGCGGTCTCGCACTGAATAGCAGAAATGCAACACTGCAGTACAGATTAAAGAATAATAATAATAATCTGATTTTAGACCACAAAAGTCAAACAGCCTGGCTAAAACCCTAACATTAGGTCTCAGAGTGGTGACTTTTTCCTTGACATCAATACACTTTTGTTTATTGACAGGCATCAACTGAGCAACACTCTAGTTATCCCTGTTGAAATGCACAAACCCCAAAATTTTCAGTGAGCAAAACAGAACAAAGTTCTCTAATAATACAAATCCTGGGCATGCTGTGTAGACACAAAGTACTGAGGTCACTGTACAATGTGCCCTCTACAACTCACACTGTTTCCAGTCACTGGGAAGTGAGTGACAAAGAGCCACCCAACGCCCATAATGTTACCAATAACTTCTTGCCTCAGCCCAAAACACTTCTTCTTTTCTCTTCTTTTTTTAGGAAGCAATGAATGGACAAATAAATATGTGTTTATTAGATTTATAGCCTGTCCTTTTTTTTTACAGAATTTTTCTTTTTATACTCATAGAACAGAAAACAGCCTGCATCATTCTCCTCCTCCTGCTCTCCATCTTATCCTTACAAAAACAACCTTGTGAAGTAGGTTGGGTTGAGAGTCTGTTACTGCCTAAAAGTCCCTCAGTTCCTGGCTGAGAAACGACTAGAAGCTAGATTGCTTGTGTCCCAGTCCCATGCTTTTAACCACTACACCACACTGGCTTATGTATTATGAATGCAAGACATGCATTTTTAAAAATTAAAAAGCATCCAGGCTGTCAAGCAATGCAGGGAGAGAAGGATGTCTGATGACAGAACCAAGATTTGGTTTCCTGTTGGTAGGTATCTCAGCCATATTAATGGGGGAATTCCAATCAAGCAAGGCTAATGCTGTGGCAGAGGGGCCTACCATGAATTATCTTTATATATTACATTGGATTTCAGTTTTAAGAAATTATGTCTTAGGTAGGTGTTTTTCCATGATACTGATCTGTGACTTACAAAGTAGGAAACTATAAAGTGCCCGGAGAACCTTTGGGCTATTGGGCGGTATAAAAATGAAATAATAATAAACAAGAAATCCAAGTGATCCCACCCTCAGATAGCAGTACTTTTTAAATACTAAAAAACTTTTGCCTCATTGTCATGAGGATGAGAAAGCAAACAACTTGCTCTGGCACCGCAGCATTGTAACAGTTAAGTGCATGTCGCACACAGACAGGCCAACATACACGGGTGTCCTAGCAGGCAGGAATCTCCAGCCATAACCCCAATTGGTTTCTTGCCAGTTTTGTGCCATGCAATGTGATTAGACAGGAAAAAGGGCTAGGACTCCCAATGTAGCTACTTCTGAAAAGGGTGGGAAGGTGAGAAATAGAGCAGGAAATTTGAATGAGCTGGGCGGGTGGGGGGGGGGGAGGCGCTGTGCTCCTTGCTCTCGAGCACCACTGGGCCGTGCTTCTAATTTCTCCTAAACTGATCTAGCTACACAATGTAATTCCGGGTACTCAAGAGAGTCTGGACGCTCTACATTCAAGCGAACTGAGGGAAGGCAGACCTGAAATCTCCTCAAAACCCTTTCATTTAAAAGTAAGTGGGAGGGGGGAATCTTGCGCTGCTCACGTGAACGGCAGCCCCCCTCTCCACACCTTTAACGCGGGCTCTTAAGACTAGTCACTCTTCCGAAGGCAAGATGGCATTCGCGGGAAAGCACGTGGGGGTGGCCGGGAAAACAAACAGCGCGGCCGGCCCCGCGCAAAATGGGGCCAGGGCTGCGCTGCCCCCGAACTCGTTCCACGAAAAGCGAGGCGGCCAAAAGTTCGTCTTCAGAAGCAGCCATACGCTCGCTCTCCAGCCGCCGCCACCTCCGCTTCCGTAGCGTCAATTGCAGCCCTTTGCGTGCACCCCTTCCGAGCGGCAACCCGCCCCGCAGTCACTGCAGCGCCATTGTCTCCGGATCCGAGCTCAGGGCACACAGGGCTGATCCGTGCAGGGATTCCCCGAAAGCGCGTGGCCGCCCGCTCTCCCGTAACGGGGGAAGGAGGCGCAGCTGCCAACGCAGAGGAGAGGAGAGGAGAGGAGTGGAGAGGACCCCGACCGTCCCTTCCAAAGCGCGTTGCAGCGGAGGCAACATGGAGCACGGCTTCGAAGAGAAAGCCAAAGACTTAAAGAGCCAAGCCCCAAGGCAAAGAACAGAACCCCGCCGGAAAGGAAAGAAGAAAGGGCTGGCGATCTCGAGAGGAACTAGCGCCAGAGCTGGAGGGCAACGAGGCTGGCACTCGGATGAAGAGGAATGACGCGTGAATTAGGGAGCGGCCCGCGGGGGGTGGGTGGGTTAAACAGGGACCGACCTTGCGATGCCGGCGCAGGATCTGCAGTATCCGCGCCGGGGCCGTAGCGTGGCTTTCGGGCGCACAGGAGGCGCTTCCTCTTTGCCAGGAAGAGCCCAGCCGAAAGGAGGGATGATCCGCCCGCCCCGGGAGAATCCCTGCACGCCGCGCCGAGGCACTTCCTGCTTGAGCCGGCGACGGGGAGAGGCCGGCTGGTGCCTCGCACCCTGCTCCGAGACTGGCGGGAAGGCTTCCCCTTGCATTCAGCGCTGGCCTAGCTGAAGCCCTATTTATTCAGAGAGTCTACTCTGTTGTTGTTTTTGTTGTAGTTGTTCAGTTGCAAAGTCGTGCTCGATTCTTCGCGACCCCATGGACAACATTCCTCCAGGCCTTCCTGTCCTCCACCATCCCCCCGAGTCCATCCAACCCCACACCGACCTCCCCAGTGACCCCATCCAGCCACCTCAACCTCTGCCGTCCCCTCCTTTTGCCTTCAATCGTTCCCAGCATCAGGCTCTTTTCCAATGAGTCCATCCTTCTCATTAGGTGGCCAAAGTATTTGAGCTTCGGGGTCTACTCTAAGTGGAATTAATATTGGATGCAACCCATGTGCTGCCCTTCCACACAGCAGAAGCTGGTCTTTCCTCCCCATTCCCATGTCCCACACACAGCTCAAGCCTCTGCATATTAGGTTGGAAAGAAGCCCCGTTTTACTCAGGCTGATTCCCAAGTAAGCTTGCACGTTGGATCCCAGTGGATCATGAGCTTTTCTTAGTTGAACAAGGGGTACTCCATCCTTATCATACTGCATAAGGATAAAGTATAAGAAAGTATGGGGTTTACTGATTATATTTATATCCCACCTTTTTTTCTTTAAAGGAACTCAAGGTGCTTTCTATAATTCTTCTCAGTCTTATCCTCACAACAACCTGTGAAGCAGGTTGGTCTGAGACTCAGTGACTCGCTCAGATTCCCCCACAGTTGCTCCATGGCCGAGTGGGGACTAGAAACGAGGTCTGCTGAGCCCCAGTCTTGCACCCTATACCACCATTGTTGGAGAGGGGTCTGAAAAGGATGTGTAGTGAGAGCCAGTGTGGCGTAGTGGTTAAGAGCGTGGGACTGGGACTCGGGCAATCTGGGTTCTAGTCCCCGCTCAGCCATGGAGCCAACTGGGTGACTTTGGGTCAGTCACAGACTCTTAGCCCAACCTACCTCACAGGGTTGTTGTTGTGGGGATAAGATGGAGGAGGAGAATGATGTAAGCTGCCTTGAGCCCTTTGTAGGAAAAAGGCAGGATATAAATCGCAATATAAATAAATAAATGCTGCCGGTCCACCCATGAGATTAATGGCACCATCGTGGGCGGATGTCAACTCGTGGTCACAGATTTGCTTAAGTTACTCCTGAGGGCTGGGCAGTCCACAGCACTGCTGCCACTAGAGACAGAGAGGAGCAGGAATGCACGGCTGGCAGGAGCAGAGTGCCACAGACTTGTTTGTGGCATCAAGGGATGCCTGCCTCTTTCCTCCCTGCCTAGCAGCTACTGTAAAACACTGAAAAGGCTACACGAGTGCCTGCCCTAATGAATTCGGGAGTGGCACTTGCACAACTAGAACCTGATGTATGGGTCACACTTGCCTCAGCAGTTCTGGCTCAGCTACTTAATGCCAGGTCAGCTCATCCTTAATTGCAGATGGAGAACATGGTATTCCTGAGAACTCGTTGGCACTGGGGTACTACAAGTGCTCGCATTCCTGACCACTGCCCAGGTAGGGCTGGACTGATGGGGGCTGAGGTCCAAAACATCTGGAGGGTACCAGATTGGGGAAGGTGGCTCCAGAGAGCACCAGTCAAGTCTGCAAGGAACAGTGGTAGATGTTTGATCAGGGTTTCAAGTTCCCAGGAGATTGGATTTTGGACCAGGCGGAGTTTACATGCAGGTAACTGCAAATTTTGCATGGTTTGAATTGTGACTAGAACACAGATGTGAAGCCCATCAAACTCAAGTAAGAGTGCACAAATGAACCTTTGTTGTGGCAATCAGGGCAGCAAAATAAACTTATTTTGCCTCATCCATCATGTCTTTGAATAGTATCCATCAAAGCTATTGCAGGTATTTGTGGGGGGGGATCAATAATTATCTATTGAATGGTATGTTATATCTTAACTCTGAGGGTTGCTGTCACAATTTTGCAAAGTTCTCCAAGAAGTACATCACCTATTTTCATAACCATTTAAATGCTGCTACTATAACAGCTTCTAGTAAGCTGTCGAATGCTCCATCTTGTCCAATTTTCTGGGATCAGTTCCAACTGTCGCTGGAAAATGTATTGACCAGAAACATTTGGAGGGGGATAGTACCTACAGGTGTTCCTATGCTGATGCCAGAAGCCTCTGAAACAAGATGGGGGAATTGGCTTGCTTGGTGTTAATGTAGCTACATAGCACATTTACAATGGGCATGGTGGAATGCAGAGAACTAGTGGCATAAATGTGCCCCTGGATACAAACTGATAAGTAGCCCATCAAAGTGCTTTGACAGAAGTATCATTCTCTAGATTGAAAAGACAGACACATGCACAAAAATCATAGTGAGTGACAATACCTCTAAATAACTTAACACTGGGGGCACACTTTCACTTCCCTGACCAAAAATGATTGGGGTGACCTTGATAAAAAATGTAATCAGGGAGGCATCCAAAGGAGAAAGTTTAGTAATAGGTTCAGTTATTCTTACATATGTGGGATGAATGCATATTCCAGCCATAAAGAAGAGGTAAAATTGATAGAAACCCTAACGATTATTCCATAAAACACCTGGTCATGGGCCTGAGCAGAAAGGAGGTGACCCAAGAGTTAATCTTAAGTGGCACCCTGGAAATAGTGAGCACAGTCCTGCCAAACCTATGACTGGACAATTGCCAAGCAGGCCCAGCACGGTACCATTAGTCCTCAAACTACTCAAGCTTAGAGGGGAGTGGTAAAAGGGTGAAAGAGAAACTCCAGAGGGTCAAATCTTTCCAGAAGGCTTGTGGGTTGTTCAAGAACACACAACCATAGCTCAGCTAGGATATATAATCATGTATCAGGGAAGCCACAACGAAGTCCAAGAGCCTGCTAGCCAAGTTAAACAAGCAGAGTCAAGAAGACTTCCTTCAAAACATGGAAGATTTGTCCAAATGAGAACTACCCCCCCCCTCCACACACAGGCTATGGCAAGAGAAATGGAAGCAGAGAAGATGAGGGCACACCAAAAAATAAAAATAGGGACATATGACACAAAGTGATCACCCAATCAAAGTCTTTCATGCTTAGAATTGCTCTCACCCAGAAAAGGGAGCAGCCTAGATAGCTTGGGCAACACGTACACACTCACCGCAGCCCTTCTGCAACAGTGTGGATGTAAGTTGTTCTGCCATAATTGGATGCCTTGTGTTGCCTATAAAGCAGTGTGCCCAAAGAAACCACATGCTCCAGTGAATGGGAATAGCCTTTTTCCTCCTTAATAACATTTTATGCATGTTAAGCCACAGTAGTTCATTTAGACTGCACTCAAAAATTATACATATGACAAGAGTGATCTGAACAACAACGCGCAAAAACAGTTTGGGAGAACTATTCAGAAAATAACCAGTTCAATGTCATTTGCACCTCACAGAAGACGCTTGACACACTTTTACTTGCTTTTTCCACATCTCAGATACTATTTTAGTAGGCTGATTACACTGATTCATTCTCAGTGAGGGAATATATGTGTAATGGTTGTGGCTAATCAGAGGGCTTCCCATATTTCAAAAGTTATATGACCTTCATCTTATCTGCTGCTGCCTACCCCATTCTGTCAGGAATGTATGTCAAGTACACTTTTCAATCCTCTGCCTTCCAGCCTTGTCCCTTGCCACCTTCAGTTGTGCGATTTCTCTCCAGTGAAGCCTCCTGTTATGTATGAGACAGAAGTGCATACTGAGGAGAACCAGCATATAGAGGATGAATCCAAGTTTTGCAGTTAACCACAGTTCACCAGTTAACAGTTCATAAAGATTTAGGTAGAGAACAGAATTGACTGAAACCCCTGTGAAAACTATATGAAGATAAAAAGCCATAATCCCTCCTGCTTGTTACCCATTTATCAGCAAAACCCAGTATTCTGAAAGAAATCCCTACTGTAAACTTACCTTTATTTTTTCAGTACGAACTTAACTGATAAAGATTTAAAGTCAAAGCACATTAAGATACGCATATTTTCTACTTGTTCTCTTTAAACCCATACTGCTTTATTCTAACCTTTCTCATGCTCTCTCTGTAGATCTTAGAAACCATCTGCATTTAGGAAAAGGCTACCGATAAAAAAGAATTACAGATGCTGTAGACCTACAGGGTCAATTGATCTGAGTAGGGGCTGGAACCTCTGAACTTCCAAGTAGATGCTTCACTAGAAAGAAAAGATACTTGACACAAGCAGAACCTTTTTACTACAACTAGGTCAAATCATGCCAATCTCAAAATGATGCTGAGTGGCAGAAAAAAAGATGAGCAGCAGAAAAAAATAGCTTTGTCTCATTCTTAATGGGGGTGGGGGTGGAGGAGGAAGACCATTCCTGAGAAGCCCATTCATACACACTAGAATCAGAAGCTGGGATTCTTTTCCTTCATACAAGAGCTAGATTTTCTTAACCATAGGACAGAATATAGTTTGTGAGATGCAGATCTCACTTTCATAGTCCTTGAGTGGATAAACAGCTGAAGAAGACCTGCGCCCATTTCTCAAACAAGACTCTTATATAAACTAACTTTTTATAAATATACACAGAGCGCACATGCACAAAAAGACAACTGCAGAGTACAAAGAATTCTTATCATAGTTCTATAGAATTTTTATATAAAGCAGCACTGTCAATTCTATTCAAAGACAATTTAAACACTCTTTAAAAACCATGTAGCATTGGCTTCTCACAACTGCTTTCACTTAGCTTGCAGCTGGCATGTATGTGTCTGTGGGAGAAAGAGGTTGCCTGATCCAATTCTCTTTTACATCTAAAATATGCAGTATGAGGAAATTTATATCATCTGCAGTGTTTTTCTGACCTGATGGCACTTTCTGAACAATACTACTAGTAGTCCCAAGAAGACTTGAAACCTTTTCCTGAATCCTTGAATTGGCTCCCTAGAAGACAGCAAAGGGAATCCTTTCCAGTAAAATAATCAAAAAGCTGTTGACCAGCAATCCCTCTACTTGTTCCTCAATTCACTATCACCTCTTTTCAGACCAACATTCTTATGTAATCCCTTAGGCTTCCTCAATGATATAACAATCAGAAATCCCAAATTCAAAGAAAAGACGGGTAGTGGGACTTGCCGTCTCCCACAACCTGTGAGCAAGATTGTGCATTCTAGAATATCCTCAGAAGGTTTGCCTACAACTTCTCTCTCATCCTCAAGACAAAGGGAAACAAACAATGGGCACATGTCCTTTATTAAAGGCTTGATTTCGGTTGAGCTGGCTGGTTAGGATGTGTGTGGTGGGTTCAGATAAATGCTCCATCACCGGTACAAGTAGTCTGCTTGAATGTTAGCAGCAATCTCAGCTTCCCATTTGTCACCGTTGTTGAGTAGCTTCTCTTTGTTGTACAGAAGCTCTTCATGTGTCTCAGTAGAGAATTCAAAGTTGGGGCCCTGCAGAATGAAGAACAGAGTCAAATCCATTCACACATACATAGGCAGCGTCCAACAGCAAAGCTAGGCAATTGCTTACTCTCTGAGTAGCTCCACTTTCCAGATACAATCCAGAGTGGGCAGATGAAACAGTATTATTTTACTTAGCCTGAAAACATGCCCCCTAACCTAGGTCACTTACCTCCACAATGGCATCCACAGGACAGGCTTCCTGGCAGAATCCACAGTAGATGCACTTGGTCATGTCAATGTCATAGCGAGTAGTCCTGCGGCTTCCATCAGCCCGGGGCTCTGCCTCAATAGTGATTGCCTGCAAGAGAGAAAGAGGCATACATCCCTTAGTGCATGGCATTCCACAAACCTCAAGTCTATCAGCCTGGATCCTCCACTCAGAAGTGGAGGAATGGCAGCAATTTTACCTGTGCTGTACCAAAAGCAAGAAACAGGGAGGGCCAAGGAAGCTGCGTGTTTAACAGGACTGCAGACTGGATGAAGCTGCATGTTTGCCAAAGAGCAGAATGGCCTCAGGCCTAGCATAACAAAGTAGTGTGAATGTTGGACGGGGGCTTAGAAGATCCAGATTCATGTCCCCATGAGGGCATGAAGCTGCCTTAGGTTCCTTGCAAAAGGGGAAACACAGGTTGTAATAGATAGGTGGGATGCCATAAAGAACAGAACTCGGGCAGCGGAAGAGCTGCTCAACAAACACCTGCCCCAAAGGAAGTGCACCATTTCAAGCACAAGCTCAGCAGGGAGCACAATTAAATCACCTACCACACAATGATAGATTTAATTAGTGCAGGAGCTCAGCACTAAGCAGAGAAAACATATTTCACCTTGTCACTAGCTGCATGCAACTGGAAACGTGCTGATGAACTGGGACAGATACAACCAAGCCACCCCCGCACCTGCACCCAATAAAGCAAGTCTCACTGTGGTGTGGGAGCTACCCTCCAGTAGGTTTGCATAAGACAGGTTCCAAGCCCTACTGACCTCAGTGGAATTTATCTGACCCCAAATATGGCACACAAGAATGTGTTTGCTGGGAAGCTTGCAAGATTCCATACCCTTACAACTTCCCTTTGCATGATGTAACCAGTAGCCAGAGTTGTTTGTTTTTTGTTTGCGTTCAAACACCTGGCACTGTTTGAAAAAAAATCCACACCATGATGACATAAAGAAAGGAACAGGAGACATTGGGGGCCTCACCTGAGCAGGGCATACGGCCTCACAGAGCTTGCAAGCAATGCACCTCTCCTCTCCAGATGGATATCTGCGCAGGGCGTGTTCCCCACGGAAACGGGGGCTTAAGGGGCCCTTCTCAAAGGGATAGTTGATAGTGGCAGGTTCCCTGAACAAATAGCTCAGGGTCATACCTAAGCCTGAGGGGGAGGTCAAGCAAAATATATTATTCATTTAAATACACAATTTCACTTCATTGTCCAAGCAGGCCAACAATAGATTTAAATCAAAATTTCTCTAGCTAATAATTAAACAAAACAGCTAGAACAATTAGATTACAACTGTTTACTACAGTGTTACAATCTGTCATGTGCCTGCTAACCCAGGAACAGACAGCTGCCAGCAAGCAATCAGTTTAGTGGTAAACTATACATACATATTTCCTTCCTACTCATCACTAACATGAGCAGTGGCAGGGAGAGAAATATCAGTGCAGAACTTCAACAGTTGCCCTCACAACTCTCCACCTCCTAAATATGAAAAAACAAAATTCTGAGAACACACACAGCATAGCCAGTTGCCAGCTCAAGTCTTTTTGGGCAGAAACCAAAGAAGGAGCCACGCCATGGCCACTACAAAGCTGCACTGTATTTCCTTTGCTGCAGAAATACTTTCCAGTGCTAAAACATGCCTGGTTTTGAAAGACACGTACAGACAACTAGAACAATGCCATGTGGACAGAGGAGGAACAAGAGTAGCAGCAGCGCTAGCGGAACAGGGAAGTGCTGCAGCACAGGGGAACAGAGCTTGCAAGAAAGTACTAGTGGCCTTATTTCCAAGGTTACCATGCCACTTTGAATTCAGTCCTGCAGTGGCACTGATGAAGTACTAGCTGCAGTCTGCCATGGCAAGGACACAATCCTATTGCCATCCACTGCCATGCTTAGAGATAGGACTGCTGGTGGGAGGGGAATGTACACGCACAGAAATTGCCAGCTTTCTCTGGGTAATCCGTTCCATGACAGTACATTAAACTCCTCCCCTTTATGCCCACTGTGTCAATCTATCCAATAGTGATGTGTGAGCAACCCAGTTTGGGGTATTCCCGGCTAGGCTCCCCAGACTCTGGCCCACTTTCTCTTTTCCCTAAGCCTGATTTGCGCTGAACGTTTGCAGTGCGTGTCCAGCGGGAAGAGAGCCCCAGTGAGTTCGCAAGGCCAGCTCGCACACAAGCTCCCTGGCACTAATTTGCTGTGCAAGTGGAGTTCGGCTTCTGCACACGTCACTTGTGGGCTTAGCATACTTTGCACAGGAAGAGTTCAGCACAGAGAAGGGGTCTGCTAGTGTTCCTGATTTCAGCTCAGTGTGCTTCGTAAGTCAAGGTCGACCACAGGACAGAAGTCCTCCAGGTGCAAATGAACCAGATTCCAGCCAGATCTTCTCATCCCTGCTACCCAATGCCAGACAGCTAGAGTCTTTCTTCACCCATGTCTTTCCAACCATTACTCTGATCCCACTTATTTAAAACTTTTGTATACTGTCCCTTATGCATGGCATCTCAGGATGACTTACAATCATTAAAACAACCACAATAAAACAGCAATAAATAACCATTAACCAAAAAATACAAATTAAATAAGTTAAATAAAAGTGACTGTTAAACATTACAATTTAAATTAGTTTTTAAAATAATAGTTAAATAAAAAGGTTTTAACCTGGCGCCAAAAAGAATATAAACTTGGCACCAGGCGAACCTCTCCAGGGAGCAAATTCCACAATCTGGGCGCCACTGCAGAGAAGGCCCTCCTCTGAGTAGATATCCTTTTTAATGCTTTCATAGAGGGTTCTCGGAGCAGGGCCTCTCCCGCAGATCTTAAGGGGCATGAGAACATATAAGGAAGGAGATGTTCCTTCAGGTATCCTGGACTCAAGCCGTTCAGGGCTTTATTGGTCAAAACCTCACCTCGGATAAGTTCTGTCCACAGCAGGGTCTGTGCAGCCTTGTCAGTGACTGATTTCATGTCTGTTGCCTCCTCCTTCACATTCACATATTCTGCAGCCACATACAAAAAAGAAAGGTCTGAGCTGTTGCTGTCCAAAAGTCTCAAGGTCTTCATCATACACCAGGTTTCAGTGCAAAATACTTTCTTGCACAAACAGTGCAGACAAGGGCATATTAGTCATATTAGCACATATTAATTTTCCTAGAAAGATCAATGCCTTTTAATGCAAACAGTGTGTATGTCCAAGAGGACTGGTAGGGAGTTCCACTGGCTGTATGATTCCCAGAGGAATCCAAGACTTTTCACAAGAATGATTCCCTAATGGGTTAATACAGGCACAGTGATACTTCTGTCATTAAGAGAGCATTGAGAGTTGGGGGGGGGGGGGTCCAGACTGATTTGTGTCCCTCCCAGAAGAACTTGAAGAAGCAGCTCTTTTTATATTTGGAGTAAAAGAGGGCCCGTTGATTCAAACCGTTTGCTGTGAGAGCAGCTGCTATGTTCCTTGAGAGATCCTTGCTGAGTTCAGCAAAACAGATGAACTCTGTTATGTACTCACTGTATGATGCTCTTGCAGCTGTGATGCTCAGATGCCGGGTAAGACTCAAGCATACTGGAATCCCTGAGAAATAACAGAACAATTGGGCAACATGCCAGGGAGAAGCAGATACTCCAGTCCCAGTCACTCAGGACAGCACAATCAGTAGGGGGACTGTCCAACCAGTGACTCTCCTGGAATAGCTTCTTTGAGCCTTGGGCTAAGCTGTTTCTAGAGCAACCCTGTATTTAAGTACTGACCAGGCAGCAGTAGGTAATATGACAATTTTTGCATCCAACCAAGCAATTTGCCAGGTAACTGCTCCTAGCACTGAAACACACTGGAAAACCAATGCAACTTTTCCAACCTCCTTTTGCCAGCTCCACAAGGACCAGTATTTTATTGCTGCTGCTGCTATTCTCATTCTTATTACTGATAAAATTGTTGTAAAATCTCATTCTTAAACAATTAATACCAAAAATGGCTATTCACCATAAAACTTCTCAGGATAATCTTTGAAAGATGATCAGTCAACAGAATCAGGCAACAGAAACTGTAGCATAGCCTTGAGTGGGATACTAACAATATGGAGGAAATGTATGTGCATGCCTCTTGTTTTTAACAAGGACAAACAGCAGCCAGATAAAGCCAAATTTCTGTACAAATCAGACTTCCATTGAAGAAGATGCCAAAGATAGTTTCCTCTATGCAAAGCATGAGCTTTACCAGCAATCTATGCCTCCTCCATTTCAATACTCATGTGCTTGTCTAGTATTTGAGCTGAGACTTTCACTAGGCCAAAAGTAGGCAACTTGTGCCCCTCCCAAGAGGAATTCTGGCCTACAAATCCCACCAGCCCTAGCCAGCAAAGCCAAGAGAGAGGGATTGTGGGTGTGATGGTGTTGGGAAAGTATTACAAATAGCTAAGTTCTAGTTTTGATTTCTTCCAGGCTAGCATAAGAACAAGAGCCTCCAAGATGCATGTACTTGCACAGATATTCCATTCTACCTCCTCCAGGCAATTCTGCCATAGCAAAATGGGAGGCTGTTAGAACAATGGAAGACTCCCCTAAAATACTGCCACAATATAAGATAAGCTCTTCAAGTTAAAGACAAGCAAATAGTCTACTTTCATCATCTAATGGTAGAGTCCTATGTGTTTTTTGTCCTAGGATGTATTGGATAATGTAATTTCATACAGACTGCTATCTGAATAAACGAATATTTATTTCTTCTTTGATCCTTATTGTTCATTACATAGAGGAAGAATCTCAAGGAAAATACCATTTTCAATGAAGAAAGCTACATCACTAATGCTCAGCACATGCACAAAGTTGACAATCAATACAGTTTATTGTTTTTCACTGATGCAGTGGTGAACGAGTTAGAACCCACAGTGGATGGCCTATGGGCCCCTGTGTGTAGACTCTGAGTCACTTTCCAAACTGGCTGTAATAGCCTAGTAAGGCCTGTTTCACACCTGCTGAACCACTGATATAGAGTTCACTTACCTTTAAGGCATTGCTCCCATGCTAGATACCAACTACCTGCTCAGAATGAAATACTCTAGTGGCATCCCATATAAAGTCTGATCCTATGCAAATACACTCCAAAAAAAGTCTCTTTGATTTGACCTTGTAGCCTTCCTTGCTATTTCTTTCTTCACGTTATCATTAAGCACCTCTGTGGCTCCTCAGGGACTTTGGCATATTGTATAAAATACTTTGTCATTCTTATTTTATTAAACCTCACTTCTTAAGCCACATTCACTAGACACTGCTGTAGGCTTTGCAAAGACCTGAATCTGAATTTATCACCATACAAACTCAAAACTCTGACAGGACATTAATTTCTACATCAGCTTTCCTCAACCCAGTGCCCTCCAGTTGCTTTGGACTTCAAACAGCATGGACAGTGGTCAGGAACACTAGGAGTGGCAGACCAAAATATGTGAAACAAACCAGATTGGGGAATGCTGATAGCGTTGGGCAACATGTGGTCCTCCAGATGCTTTGGCCTACCTTCATCATCCCTATAATCATGCTGCGTATGGCTGACGGGAGTAGTTGCCCTCAGATTGCCTACCCCTGGTATAGCACCCTTTGTGTGAATGCTTTAAATGCCCTAGTCTCAAAACACTTCAGCAAAAGTTCAATATTATTCCCATTTTACAAACAGGAAAAGGAACTGGCAAGTAGTCAGTTGCCAAAACCATTTAAACAAGCTCTTAAAATGGAATTTGAACCAAGAACAGATCAAAAGCCAATACTGAACCAAAGCGTCCTTCTGTACCCTACCTGTTTGGGAAGCTTGGCGCATCATCCAGAAGACCGGCATTTTCAGATTGAATTAGGGACTCCTCTGCAAAAGGGCCAAAAAGAAAGGGAGGAGGAGGGTATAAATGCAGATAGCTACACTGATTAGACACATTACAAAAGCAAATGTCCCAGAGTAACCTGCTATTTAATATGAACAACTAAAACCTCACAAAATAGCAAGGAAGCTTTTCAGTTCACTAGAACTCCAGCAAGATGGATATTAAATAGTTTTCAAAGGAGCTGAAGAGAAAAAAAACGTTTTTCAGGAGACAATGAAAAGGTTCACACCTGTAGTTTGCAATGCACCTAAGGTTCACTAGAGGAGGCATTATGCAAACATACTATGCAATCTTAATCATGTTTTCCTGGGATTTAGTCCCACTGAACATTGTGGATCTGATTTGCAAGTATAATGTAAATATAAATGCATGTATAAATTTATTTATCTGTATTTCATAACAAAGCCTAAACCGCAACAGTGAGAAGAAAGGAAAAAAAGGCTTGAGAGGGTACACTCATGCTAGAGGACCAGCGAGGCTCTTATGAAAGGCGCTGCGTATTCTCCATCAGGCTGCCCTAAAACACCAACGTAAGAGGAACATCGCAGCGAGCAGGCGAGTCACATACAGGAAAGGGACGGGGCTCCGACCTATAAAGTCCCGCCCCTCCAGCGGAACGAACTCGAGCCTGTTCTATGGCGCAGGACAGCTGCAGGACGCATGCGCGTCTCCGCCTACCTCCTCTCGTCTGCCCACCAGGTTATCACGCCGTCACCGCCTCAGCAGGTCAGGCGCATGCGCATTGCTCTGTCCTCCGCAGCACCCGTGAAGGTCCCCGCGATCAAGTTCTTTTACAGCCTTCCCCCATCCCCCACACTTAGGGAGAATTTCCAGGAGTCTGGAACGACAAGCGCGTGCACAGCGTAGAGTCACAGTGGGTCAAAACGGACTCACCCGTGGAAACGGCGAGAGAGACCAGCAGGTCTGCTCCAAACCACCGGCTAGCGGGAGGAACAACTGGAACCAAGCGCCGCTTAGCCGAATCTTCATTGGTCAAAGTAGCGCTGTGAAAGGCGGGGTTTTTTCTCTGGTTGGTTGGAACTATGAGAAAGGGCGGGAACTTTCTAGGGTAAAGGGCGGGACGTAGGCGGTTGACGCCGATCATAACAGTCGATGATTGGCTTCGAGGGAGCTTAAAGTCCTCGTGGATTGGCGGAGAGTTGTAGAATTTTGATTTTGTGGATTTAGAAGTGCTGCCAAGAGACTATACGAAAGACCTGTCTAAACCTCTCACGGCACAAATGCAAGTAACTCTAGTTGTCAAGTAGTTCATATTCAGTGAAGTGTGAGAAGTTGCCAGACACACCCATGCACTCTGCATTCACTGAATGTGTGACAGAATAATACTGGATTGTGGTGTGAAGGGGTAGAGGTGTAAATGCAGCAGGAGGAATTGTTTTCCCCAAATTCTCCAAAACTCCTTGTGGAAAAATGTGTCCCCCTCCCCCCGCATTTTCTGTTACTCCTCCCACATTTTTGTGCTTTCCTAGACTTTAAGATTTCTAAGAAAGAACCTCATCTGTATATACAGATGTGTGTGTACCCTAAGCACACATGCTATTTCAGTACAGTTTTTGGCAGGAAGAAATATATACCGTTTTTAAATAAATGAAAGTCCTGGATAATCAGGGTCCATGTGTATGTGTGCTGGGCTATTTTGCAGTAATGTCAAATGCATAGTTGCAACCATTTGCCAGTGGGTGCTGTCCTGCTCCTTCCACACTGGAAAATGATGGTGGTGAGAGGGCATGGGAAGGAGGGGTTTGACTATGCCTGAAATAAAAAAACTGCTATTATGTATTCTTCTCTCCCTCTCCCCCCCCCCTCTCTCTCTCATATATAAATGCAGATTATAGTCCTTTTGTTACTGGATGAATACTGCTGTTAGAACTACAACTTGGTTATCAATGTGGCAGGTACCCAGGAGAGTTCAAAAGTGCATTTCAGAGTGCACTCCAACTTGCAGTATCGTGCCTAGCAGAGGGAAGAATAGAATTTTCTCGAGAAAAATGTAGTGCAGTTTGAGCTTTAGGTGAATATGATAATACTGTAAATATTTCCTTCTGTGAACAGATTTGACCCTGTGCCACAGCCGAGTAAACACATCAGATGAAGTGAACTGTGCCCAAGGAAAACTTATGCTCAATTAATTTGTTACTTTTGTGAGCCGACACAAGATTTTTTGTTGTCTTCCCTGTCTGAATGCTGTATGACAAATGGAATGACTCAAGAATGCTGATGTTGCAGTGTCACTAGGAAAGGAATGGTTTAATCCTCCACAGGAGCTGCCTTATTCCTTTTAATTATCTATGCAAAACCAGTAAACTATAATTAGCTGCACCTGGAGTTTCTCAATACCTTTATTTTATGTAGCTAGATGTCTTTTACAGTATAATCCCATCCATGTTCATTCAGAAGTATGTTCCACTGCTTTTAGTTGAGGCTTGTTCCCAAGTAAGTGCACATAGGATTGTAGTCTTGTTTCTAAATGAATGAATGCTTTTGTATATGTTGCTGGACTGCAGCTTCCATTATTCCTCATTATTAGCTAGGCCTATTAGGGCTGACAGAGGTTGCAATTCAAGAACCTCTGGAGGGGTGCAGTGGCAACACAAAGAGTCCATCCAAAAACATGTTTTTACGATCACTGTTACAGTTACATATGCATCACTAAGAACTCTTCCTATTTTGGCTTATGTGCTTGAAAACAAAGCTGTCAAAAGGCCCACAATCATTTGACTTCTACCATTGTACTGTTGAATGTTTTGTAAATTATGAATACTTCAAGGGACGGCAACCAACCTACTCCCAAGCTTCTAGAATGCCAAAATGCTCTATATTTTGTTGGTTGTTGTAGCAAATTGTTTACACATCTCTCATTAGGAAAAATCCCACCAATTCCTTTCTGCCTCCCGATTGCTTTCTACAAGCAGTGGGTCCCACCTATTCAGTTGTAGAAGCAGGACCCACCACTTTTGCAAAGATGATTTAGCACTTTAGGCTTTTTGAGAAGCCTGAAATGAGTGGAAACACTCATTAATGAAAGGAGGCAGCTTGGCAGAGTTCTGTTATGTAAGCTGTGCCATACTGCCTGCTTCTAGAAACTAGTATTTTGTTTTGTGCTGCCTTGGAAGTGCTACATTATCATTTAGTAAGTGGAGAAGGCGTGATTATCTCCTGTACATCTGATTCCCAAGTTCTAGCTCTTTTGCTTTTGCCCACAAGTACTTCATCTCCTGCTGCTGCCCCCCCCTTGAATCTTTCTGCCTGTCCCCCCCACCCCCCAGAAATCACATGTCTTTCTCTCCTATGTCCTATTTTTTAAACAAATACTGGTGACCTTGGAAGATATAAGACTTTAGAGAATATGTGAATTATCATACAGAAGTGTGCGTGTTTGCCCTGTGGTTGTGAGCACTGTTTCTGGAATTCTGCTTCTGAGATGTAGTGTAGTGCTCAGAATGTTGGACTGCGCCCAGGAGATGTTGGTTTTAGTCTCTGCTTGGCCACAAAGCTTACAGGGTGACCTTGGGCCAGTCACTGACTCTCAGCCTGCAGATGAGGAAAAGACTGAGAGGAGGAGGATCATATAAGCTGCCTAGAGTCACTTAAGGGGAAAAGGTAGGATATAAATATAACTTGTTTTAGCTCATTTTACTATGAAATGTGTTGTGTAAATAACACAAGTCAATAACCTGTAGCATTTGAAGCCAAGCTCTTTATTGCATAAGCAAGCCAAATATCAGCAAGTCCATAATCACAGGCATAGTTGCTAGAAAGTAAGCCTTACTTGGAACTTACTTCTGAGTAAACATGCTTAAGATTGCCTACAGTAGCGATTGATTGGATGAGGAATATGAATTAAGAATGTTTAATTTGCAGAAATGGATACTGGAAAAATTCTTACTCCTTAGAATTGGCATATCTGCAGGACAGAATATAGTTGCATCAAAATACCTGATTAACAGAGGTATTGTGTGTAAAACAGCTTGCTTGGGTTTAACTTTGAAACTCTTTGGAGTTATATTGGTTTAAGGATGCAGCCTCTACATATTCACCCATAAATAGTTATATCACCTCTTAAAGGCTGTTCAGCTTCTATGCTTCTACTTTTATTGCACATATACAGTTATATTAATGAGTGATTATGCCAGCACGCAAGTGGAGCAGCTTTGATCAATCTTTAGAAAAGATCTGGTGCTCATAAATATTAAATGAGAACTGACTCCATAAAATTGTGCTGAAGGGGGAAATACTCTGATGTGAACTTACTACAAAAGCCTTGCATATACTCATGCTTAACAAAGTTAAGTAAGTCATGTGGCAAACCTGATGCCCTCCAGACATTTTGGCTTACATTTCCCATCAGATCTAGCCATCATAAACGATGGTGAGGGGTTATGGGAACGGTCAGCCAAAACATCTGGTATGCCTCAACTTGCTAACTGGGAAAAAACATTCCATGTCGGAAAGGAAGCTGCAGAGCAAAGTGCAAGGGGAGATGGTGGCAGAGCAGCACAGAAGTCTTCTCCTTGAGTGCTGAGCCTAGACTGATGCTAGGCCAAGACTGTGGCAAGGGGCAGGAGAGCCTACAGGCCAGTGTCCTGTATTAGCCCTAGGTAGATTGGACCCATTAAAATGACTGGAGCACAGGACAGCTGTGACTAATTTATGTTTCATTCATTTTAGTGGGTTATTCTATATAGGAGTGGCATGTAATATCACCCTTGATAAGAAACCAAGATAGTGGGGCAAGGCTTTTTCAAAGCTAGAGTTCTGACAAAAGCTTTTTCAGAAGGTGCAGGAAAACCCTGGAGATGAAGCAACAGCACCCCCTCTCTCCAGCGGCCAAGTTCTTTCTTGTAGCTCTGCAGAGCATGTGACCTGTGTAATCTGGAGAGCTCACAACAAGGTGCACAGGCCCTTGCGCTTGATTTCAAGAGCAGAAGTCATCAGCGCCAGGTTGCGGTCATTGTAAGGCGGGTAGCGTATGGTGTTGATTGACTCAAAGCCGATGCAGCGAGAGAGGCAGCCACGCAGATTAGTGAATGTGTCGAAGCTGAGCTTGCCATGGTACTTGCCAAAGCCACTGTATCCTGCAACAGAAGAAGAAAGCATGCAGATCAGATCCTGCTCCCTGACAGAGCCTTCCAGCTTGCTACACAGCCTGGACAGCCCTTCTCTTCAGTCTTCTAGCATTGTAGGTATGCCCATAAAAAGCAGGTAAAAAGAAATTTAGACTGCATTCCTGTGCACATTTGCCTAGGAAAAGCTCACTGAGCAAACTGGGACATGCATCTGAGTAAACATGCATAGGGTTGTGCTGGACTTGTAACATACGGTTAATTAAGTGTGCCATATATGGATATCGGAGGGGGATTATGTTCCATCCCTTTAAAAAAAACCTTTTTGGCAGTTTTTCTGTGGGGATGGATCATCATCCAGGGTAAAAGTGGCAAAAGCATTTGCCTGTAAGCATTATCTATGCAATGAATGTATATACTTCTGTTGGAACCTAGAAGTGCTGGGACCTGGCCTGAACAGAAATTTTGTCACACCTCGGGATTCCAAGGAATCGTGGCAAAAGAGGGTCGTGGGCCAATACAAACTGAGATGTCCCAGGAGCAAGGGGTGGCTGGCCAATTCTGACAATTGCTGTAAGTAAACTTTTCCCAGGACCAGCATGGAAGGGAGTGTGTTGCACCACTCCATCCATGCAGCATTCTGAGCTTTGGGAAATTAATTTCTGACCCAGCAGTCCCTATCACTCAGTTTGCACAGTTAAATAAGCTGTGATTTATTAAACATGGACTGCTTTGGAATGAGAGAGCATGCAGGCTCCCAACTGATTTCCCATTTCACTGAAAACACACATTCTGGGGTTGCGCTCCATGACATCCTACCCTAGAGCTCTGGCTTGCATAGGGAGAAATACCCCACAGCTTTTACCTGTGGTCTGTTCTTAAGCTTCAAGGAGTTTGCTTGCTTACTGCTCTGCACTCCCAGAAAATCATTGTAGAGAAACATTCAACCATGTGAACTTGGCCAGTGTGTCCTTAACTGTCTCTGTTTAGCATTCCTATTTGTATGCAGAAGGTTCTGGGTTCAACCCCTGGCACCTCCAAGTGGGCGAGGACAAAGTCTTTCCTGAAACCATGGAAAGCTGTTGCCAGTCAGCATCAGCAATACTGGTCTAGATGGACCAGTGGCCCGACTCAGTAAGAGGCAAATGTATGATCCACTTAATAGGATTTCTAGTCATAAGTTAGCACCAGCCTGCAGCATGATATGGCACAATGGGATACAATCAATTCCTTTCTCACATTTTCTGCACCTGGTATGTAAAGAGGCCAAGAATAGTACAGAATCCTACAAGGACTTTGACCTTCCTTGTCCCAGAGGCAATTCTCAGAGTGAGCTGGTTCAGACATAGCCTTGCATGTTCCCAGACTGAGAGGAAGGGGACAGTGATAGCTTAGGAGACAGAAGCCTAGTCATACCAATGCCGCCAAATGGTAGGTTAATCAGTGATAGTTGCATCAAAGTATCATTGCCACAAAAGCCGCCACTGCTGGTGCACGCCAACACCTGGTTCACAACCTGTGGGGAGGAAAAGAGCACAAGAGCATCAGCAGACCCTATCCATGGTCTTCCAAGCACTTGTTTAATGGGTTCCCTTTCGTAATAAGGAACACTTATTACAATTCTTTTGTAATAAGATTTTGTAGAATCTTATATAGGAAATTAGGAACAATTATTTAGGTATTTCCAGGAGCTTCCAACAATGCCTCCAAACAATTTCTATTTTGCAGAACTGTAGGGCTTTTAAAAGACAATGTAGCTGGAGAAAGAATAGTGGGGACCCTTGATTTAATACCTAATCACTTTGGGTTGTTCCTCCAAGCTCACCTCACTTACCCAAAGCTAAGTGGGTAACTTATCCAAAGAAAAATGTTACTCTGTGATGCAGCATTGCAGTTAGAGAAAGCTTTTCATTAAAATTAACAAAAGGCCAAGGTTAAAACACATTCACTGTGGGGATCGTTTAAATTAAATAAGGGATATCAAAACAGATTTCTGGTGTCTTATACTAGCATAGCAACAACTAAGATTTCTTGTGACATGTCAGGAATGATCGGGCAACTAGGAGTTCTATGTAATTTAAGACCTGCATCTACAAATTGGTTCAATAATAGATACTTCTATAACATTTTGTATCTCAAAATCAAAGAGTTTCAATTTGACAAACAAAACATAAATATCCGGCATGAATGCTTGTACAACTTTCATTCATTTCAATGATGTTTGCACAGGAAAAGTTTCCAGTAGATTGTTTTCATGCACAATTTAGGAGCATTTAATTTATTTATGTCTGGTAAGGTTAATAAGATTTCCCCTACCCCAGGGTTTTTAAAATGTTAATTTCTTTTGTTCAAAATTTCAATTATCTTCAGCACATTTAAAACTAATAGATTCAGGCTGCAGTCCTGTGCACTTACCTGAGAGCAAAACTCAACTGAATTCAATGGCTGGGTTTGCACAACATGCTAAACACTTTGAGAACTTTAATCATGCACTATGGTTAAACCTCATGTGTGCCTGACAGACAATGAGGCACAGCAGGAGTTATGTAGAAGAATGCTTTAACTTGGAGTCCTGCACTAAGCAGGGGGTTGGACCCAATGGCCCTCTGGCCCCTTCCAGCTACAATTCTATGTATCACTTTCTCCCTGCTCTTCCACCTGCATTCTTCTGTAGGATCAGGAAAAACACCTTTAATGGAAGCTTTTGCAAGCTTTCTTTCTTTTTTTAAAGAGCCAAGCCATGGCTGGCACTAAATGACTCAGGAAATGGCTGCAGAAACAAGGGGGAAGCTTTTCCAGCTGTTCCTGGGTGCTGCTTTAGCACTTTGGCATGCCTTTATGCTGCTCTTGCCAAGGCACTCCCTGGTTTTTTGATGTGACCATGGCTTATTGTGACCGGCTTCACACAGCACAATAAGCAGCCATGGGGTTTTTATCACGGTTTGCTTGCACTCTGTCTGAACCCAGTCGTGGTGAACAAACTTTGTGTCTTCTCACAGTTGTCACCCACAACCAAACACAATGCTCTGCTCTAGAGTTGCTCCTGTTACAAGCATTTAGCCAGAGAGTGTGGCGGATAGCTGCCCCCAGAGTAGCGCAGTGGTCAGTGGTATCCCAGCTCCTCCTGTTGAGTCAGGAGTCACCAGTCAGCACGGTAGGGCTGCCCTGTTCCCTGCAGCCCTTCCCTGGGAGCTAGAAGCCCTCCTGATCATGCCCCCACTTCCTGCCCTGGGGGCTTACTCCAGGCAAGAGATAGGAGCTGTGGATCAGCTCCATGGCAGAATGGGGCAGCTCCACCCAGCTGATGCTCTCCCCATTCCTGTTGGAGAGCCTTGTGTGTGTAAGTGTGAACACCAACAGTGGGCAAGAGTGCACAGCTTCCAAAGATAATGTAAGACATAAAAGACACAAAATGTTCAATCTATAGCAGGCTCCAAACATCACTGCTTAGGCTGGATCTGCCACCATCCAAGCACTAGCAGAGTCAGCTTTCCTGCACCAAAAGCTCCCTTGGCAACCATGCTAGTTGGGGTGAGGAGTTCCTGCTTTCCCGCACAGCGTTCCTAAGAGAGCAGGACTGTCTTGAAAGACCCAAACAGATCCTAAGCAACTAGCTTGCAAGGGTATCCTAAGAGACTATTTTTTAAAGTGAGAAAGCAAAAGGCATGCTTCAGTTTATTAGTAGGCATTTAGAACTCCTTGCTCTTTAAACCTTTCTCATTTAACACTAAATAGGCTGTAAGTCCATGTTCTTACTTCATTTATATTACAAAGTACACTGCCCTTCCATCAGAAATATAGACAGATAGGCAGACAACATGTTTATTATAATTGGTAGCTAGTTGTTATAAAGCTTTTGCAGCCTTATTATTAAGGTTTGTTTATGCCACTATGGATATCCAAAGCTCTTAATAACTTCCTCTGCATAGATGAAAAATTATATGGTGATTCAGTTCACCTACTGTAAGCTCACTTCAAAAGTCATCATGTACCTGCAGAGAAGAGGACATTCCACTTATCTTTACATACTAGGGGTAAGATGCTGCTACTATGGATGCAGTTTTCATGGAGGATAAGGCTATCAGACTACTAGTTGCACAGCAGCTGGACAGTAAGCCTCTGTATCAGTTGCTGGGGAAAATGAGTAGGAGGCTGCTATTAGATTTATGGCCCACAAACAGCTGGTAGGCAATGAAGGTTAGGCTGGATTAACTAGGCCTTTGATTCAGCATAGCTTTTCCTGCATTCTTCATTGCAGAGCTCTAGGTTAAAAAAAACAAGCCTGTGAGTTCCAGAGTTTATTGGGGCAACTCTGGCAAAGATGTGTGTCACATATGGGCCTAGTTTTCAGAATTACCATCCAAATACCAATTTTTAAATTACCAATTTTTAAAATAGCATACCCATTTCAATTCTTCAGCCCCAGTTGTTATTTAATTTTTCCTTCACTCTAGGGATTAGATGGGAAGAGACGTGTCCATAGTACGAATTCTGAACTGCACATATGTTAGTTATTTTTCAAACAACTGTACACTACTTAATATGCATAGCTGGATTGTTTGTAAATAAAGAAAAGCTTTGGTGGGCATATGCTAACTCGCATATGGTCACCCTTTACCATGGCCAGATGCAAGGAGAGAGAGAGAAGGTTCTTGCACCTTGAATAGTTCTATAGAAGAGAGATTTTTAGGAAAGGTAGTTTACCATGCAAGCAATACCTGCCAAAGTTCCTTTTTTTTGTACAACTATGCAAGTTGCAGGAGTCTTGTCTTCTTTTGCACCTGCCCATCATATGACATCTACCTTCATGGCACAAATACAGCCTCCTCTTTCTCATTGGAATGGCAGTCCTATTTGTATTTATTTCAATTGTATGCTGTCCCATAGCCCATCAGCAGGCCCTCTGGGCAGCTCACAAACAGAAACAATGTAACATAACTATAACAAAATAATACCATCTAAAACCACATAAAATCCAACTAATATAAAGTGAGAAAACACTTTCTCCTATCTACTTGCTTCCCTGGGAGGGAAACTTGCCTCTGAATAGATAGGCTTAGGATTGGGCTCGAAGTCTCCTTTAACCCAGTGGGATTTGCATTTCAACAAGCAAGTACTTATACAGGTTTGCCACACTAAAGCAGAGGTGCAGCATGCCGACTTGCCACAGCCCCACTGCCAGCCGTAATGCCACTGGTCTTGGGAGCAGCTCTGTTGGCTTCGCCTTTGCTTGCACATGTTTTGAAAGTAGTGTGGGAGCTTGCTATTTGTCAGCCTGGCTGGGTAGTGATTTTTAACCCTCCTGAGCTTCTTCAAGTAAGGCAAGCTACAAGTCTAGCAAGCATACCTTGTAGTTACGGGAGAAAGCATAGATAGCCAGTGGGCGTTCCCTGCAATTGATGAAACGGATGGCCTCATCTAAGTCCTGCACGGTGATAATGGGCAAGATGGGCCCAAAAATTTCCTCTTGCATGACTGGCTCCCATTCCTTCACATCAGCCAGCACTGTGGGAGCTGTGGGCAAAAGATCTCATCAAGTCATGCCGTCCTTCCATACCACCGCCATACTTTCCTCCCATCCAGCTAAGCTCTTGCCTTTCTTCATGGCAGCCCATCCATAAATGCAGGGCTTTCTTCTTGCTGCCTTAACCCTCATCTGCACAGGCAGAGCACTGCACAGCAAGCTTCCTCAATGGCACAGGGCCTCCCCACCAGCAGTCCACTTACCGATGTAACGGTCACGCTCATCTGTCTCTCCACCCATGACCACTCGGCCACACTCCAGCAATGCCCGGACGCGCTGGAAGTGCTTATCGTTGATCATGCGGGCGAAGTCGGGTGAATCCTGGGGGTTGGTGCCATAGAACTCACGGATCGCCTGGCGTAGGCAGGGCATCAGCCTCTCCTGGGTTTCAATGGTGCAGATCACATAGTCCGGTGCAGTGCAGTTCTGGCCAGCATTGAAGAATTTCCCCCATACTATTCGGTTGGCTGCATTCTGGAAATCGCAGCACTTATCCACATAGCAGGGACTTTTGCCCCCCAGCTCCAGAGTCAGTGGTGTCAAGTGTTCGGCTGCTGCAGCCATGATGATCTTTCCCACATGGGTGCTCCCTGCAGTGGCATGGCAACATTAGGGGCAGTAGTCACAAAGAAATGCACAGGCGACACCCAAAACTCCAGTCCCACCTCTTGTATCAAGGCAGCATACATTTTATGCTTAGAAAGGAATTATGGAACCGTCTAAGAGCAACACTTTATTCCTTTCAGGTTATCAAATACTATTAATTAGTATTGAAATAGTTATTAAAATAGGATTCACAAGAGTGAGCAATGCAATTTTGCTCAGGTTTTATGCATTAAAAAATCTGTCCATGTATACAAAGGATTTCAAGGACAGTCTTTCATAAAATCAAAGAAATGTCCATCCATTATATTCTATTTGAAGAATAACCCTTCTGGGCTGAAGCCTGTGATTTTTAACTGTTCCATTTATTTGCTGCTACAAGTATTTGTAGTGCAGAGCACTGAGAAGCCACACACATTGTTATAATTGTGCTATAACTTGTAAAAAAATATCCAGGATATTGCATTACTGATGAAAATAACTCGGGAGGCAATCCTATGGCCTCTCAACATTATCTGGGAGACCATAGGATTTTTTGGAGTCAGGGCACTGGAGAACCACAATGCTCAGACTCCAAAGGCTGAGCCCTCGCCCCATTCCCTTGCAGCTGACACAGAAAGAATCACACTAGCTCCCCTCCCAAAGGTCTAAACTGGGCTTTGGAGGGGGGAAAGTGGGCATGTCAGCGGGAGAAGGCTGGGCTGTGCAGTTGTGGCAGTTCTAATCAGTGCCTCAGCCTCTTTCCCTTTCCTCCCTGGCACTAAATCTACATGGCTGAAAATGGCCATTTAGATACAATGCAGGAGGTGAAGTGCCACAGCAGCAAAGACTGCTGCTGTCAGTCGCACCTTCGGCTGAATGCTCAGAAGCTTCTGAGTTCAGAGGATTGTAAGTGTCTGCCATGGGGGTACCAGGATCGCATCCTTACTTTTGAAGAAGCTACCCAGGAAAACAACCAGATCTGCTGAAAGACAGTCCCTGTTCTTAAAGCTCTTGAATAATACTTGTCAAGATAAAGGTACTGCCTGTGCTTCCATTTCTTTTTTTGGCCTGTTTCTTTCTTTTTGTTGTTTGCAAATTATAATGATTGTAAACTGTTGTAAATGGTGATGTTATCTTTGTTATGAGTTTTAATAATACACATTTTCATAGATTTTCTTCCTTCCTTCATTGATGCATTATAATTTTGAAGGTAAAAATATTTTACAAAAAGACAATAAAGGGGGCGAACAAGGAAAAGGACAAGTATTTTTGGATAAAGAAACAGAAACTGCTAGACCTGGGATATGCATTTCTGCCACAAACTGATACCACACTCCCAAGACAACTGGAATATTGTCCTGATCCCTTTTTGTTCCTGTATCTTCACCAAAGATCGGTAATATATTTTCAAACTTTGCATTGCCACCATAAAAGGTAGAAAAATTATCTTTAGAGTAGCAGCTGGGCTGACAGATGACCCATTACAAAGTTTAGGGGCAAAGGGCAAGATACAAAATATCCAATGTGCTATACTCCCTGTTATGTAACATGTTAGCTATGGAAACCTGCAGAATATACAGAGACCCATTTGCTATTTGACCTGTCCGGGCATAGAAATGTTATCAGTATGGGAGCTAAAGTTGAAGAACCACAACAATGCGCCAGGGACTGGTTTGGCAGCTGCTTTCTAAAATCAGAGGTGGTAGGGCTCAGGCATCTGAATCACATGGTATAAGTCAGAAGAAGCCTGAACCCGGCCTTCTCCAACCTGGGGTCATCTAAAAGGGTGCTGCCAGAACTCCCATAATTCCCATCAACAGTGGCTGGGAATCATGGAAGTTGCGGTACAACACATCTGGGGGGTTCCAGGTTGAGGAAGGCTTTCCTCCTCCCCAAGTAATTATCCAGGCGGGGGGAGCTCACTGTAGTTATTCAGGTGGGAAAGGTATTCTCCGTGTTCTCTGTGTATCTTCACCTGTTCCTGGACTGAGGATAGCAATACGTGACACACCGGGGTGAGGCCCTGGCTGAAATGAAGCTGTGATGCCATCTGTCTGCTGGTAGACACAATGTGCAAACAGAGGTGGCAGAGTGGCCAAGAGCCAACATGATCCTAAAGAAAGGCAACTTTGCTGCTCCAAGATTCAGTTGCCAAACCAGCCTGAATCCCAGAGGATGATCTTGAGCAAATAACTCTCCAATCTGTACAGTATGAAAACTGCATTACTTTACAGGGTTTTGTGGATATGTAACGTTCAGGGCGCTTTATTTTGTAAGTACTACATGTTATACTATGGCTGGTAGTATTATAAGCAATTATAAGTTTAAAAGGGAAATCACCTGTAAAGAAGATATAATCCAACCTGTTCTCCAGCAACTTGCTCGTCATTTCATGGTCACCTGTTACTACAGCAATGGTGTCCTGTGAAATAGGGAGACAGTTCGTACCTGGTCAGATTGCATTCATGTACACGGGCTGTTCTCTCTTTGCAGCTCTGCTTGAGGAAAAGCTTCCTGGGGCTCAGTTACAACACCCTTGGATTTATAGAGAAAAAGGAATCATGTCTGGCCTTCACCTACGGGAAAGGTAAACCCCATCGTCCGACAGTGAACCTGTTCTCTCTGCATGTATCCCACTACCTTTTCTGCACTGTTACATCACGGATGTGCTGTCTTAGTCAGATAAATGAACTGGCAGGAATCACAACTTTTATGCTTAGAAATCACTGTGACCTAGAAGTTTGTAGAATCCATTTAGGGGGGAAAATAGAGTCCCACAATCAAACAATCAGATCTAGGTGCAAAAGACATACACTTGGAATTAAAGAAATTTGAACACAGGATTGAATTCAGTTTCAGAAGCTCTTCTGGGCAACGTTCCAGTGATGGGGAAGGCCAACATTGAAAGGGACAGGACCAAAATGCCAGCATATTTTAATGTAAAGCTCTTAATTATGCCTTAGAAGAGGCACACCACCTTTCCCTCCTTTTGGTGGCAGGAGCACAAGAGGCAGGACGCCAACAGACAACTAGTGAGGGAGAGCCACCAAATGACATGCAGAAGGAGGCATGGCGGTCTGGAGAACCCTAGAGAGTCTGAACAGGACCCCAGGTAGGCTGATTTTGGCTGCCAGGCCTGAGCTGCAACCCCTCTACTCTACTAGTTACCCAGAGAGCTACCAGTAGATCCAGCTCTACCTTCTGATGAGCCCTATTGCATGTGACCGGAGTCACAGGCACGCACACCTCAAATTGCAGTGTGGTTTCTTCCTGCCAGCCCCCTCCTGAGAGATGGGATTGATGCTTACCGCTACATATGCTACCCTCATTCCTTCCGCACGAGGCAAGTGAGACCACCTTAATGTTCAGGAATGAAAAGAAGGCAGGTAAGTGAGCATCTGCTAGGTTTGGCTAAAGAATACAAGGCAGGCTTGGGGCTGAGGAACTCACTGGGTCAAGATAGCAAGACAGTGCTTCAGCAAGGAGCCTTTCAGTGCTGCTGCTGCTCTCTGCAGGTTTGATAATCACACAGTTTCCTGGTGGAAGAAAAGACCATATGATCAAGATAGCAAGAGATACAAACCCACCATCTAGCCAGCAGAAGACACTGTAAAGAGACTGGAAACCACGGGGTAATACATGGCAGCCCTGAGGGGCTGCCTGACTTACCAGCTGCAATGGCCCCCACCAGGGGCACTAATATAGTATTGATGGGGAGATTATAGACGCCAATAATGAGCACCACACCATAGGGGTCCTTGCGGATGAAGGCAGAATCAAACTGGGTGGCCTACAAAGGGGTGAAGGCAGGAACATTCATGAATCAAGTGGAGCAGAGAGAGAAATGATACAGCAGGCCGCAGAATGGAAGCACTTGCTTGGCCGCAGAGGTCTCAGCCCACTGCTTTCCTGATTAGTCTTTGGTCTGCACTTTCCTCCCCATCAAACACAAAGCTGCCCTTTCCCCCATGCGAGGCCACACTCCTTCCCTCTCCGCTTGACCTCCTTACTAGGTTCTTGGAGACGCTTTCATCCTTCATCCAGTGCTGCAGGTTGTTCAGGGCATTGTTTATTTCATTCTTAGTTAGGGCAATCTCTGAGATCTCTGCTTCAAAAGGGGGCTGTGGAGACAAAGCAACAAAAACGAAGGTGTGACGGTTGTCCAAGCGCCTCGTCATGCGGCAACTGTTCTGGCTTGTCTGACCCGGAGGAGAGTTGAGGGTGACCACTCTCACCTTACACAGGTCTTCATGCAGGGCTTTCAGGATATCCTCCTTCCTCTCCTCTAGGAAGCGACCCAGAGCCTCCAGCTGCTCTTTCCGATACTCCATAGGGCGTGTTTTCCCAGATAACCATGAGGCACGCAGACAATCCACCAGGCGAGCATAGGGGTTTGAGCTGGGGAGAAAGCAGATGCTCAAGGAATCAAGGAGCTGGGGCAGGGCACCCCCGACACATGGGTCATCCTCCTTGGAGGTAACAAGGGGCGGGTTCTTCTCAGTGCTACCCCTTCCTCAGTTGCGCAAAGATCTCTCCACTGACACCGCGTTGGTAGCAACATTATCATCTTTTTGGCATCATGAAAAGCACTACTTCCATGCTTTCAGCGATGCAACATGCCAGGTTTTTAAACAGAGCTAACTAGCTTTTCACACTATTACTGAAACTGTTTTAGGTGTTTAAACTGTTCTAAATTTTATTTACTGAATGCTTATGCTGCACTTTATGCTATACGCTGTTATCGTATCCATATTCGGTAAACTATGTCTTTTCATTGCCTTTTTATTGTTTTGAAATGTTTTATGCTATTTTAAATTAATTTTCATTCTTGTAAATGTTTTGATCTATTTTATTTTAGGGTTAGGGTTAGGGTTAGGGTTTATTTTTATTTTATTTTGTTTTATAATTGGTTGGAAACCGCCCTACCAGCTTTGGCTATGGGTGCTACAGAAATTATTTATTATTATTCCTCTTATTATGAACTAGTCATTAGGTGGCATAGAAATTAAATGAAATAAAGTCTACAGCAATAAGGCACAATGCCCATAGCTATTTCATCCTTGATGGATATCTGCTTCACCTTTCTTCAGTTGTGCAGCCAAGGGAACCACCAGCACAGCAGGCAAAGTTGACAGGACGCTGCCGTGCTTCTAAGAAGGGCCAGCACAATGCCTTCCCCCCGCACTTCACCCTCGCCAGAGAGTAGTATGTCATCATGGTGAGAGAAACAGGTATCACACCATATTTTCCTCACAAATTCAGCAGGTAACATCCAGATATTCTCAAGCGTTTTCCTTCCTGTCTAGAACCAAACTCAAAAACAGCAACAGAGGAATACAAGTACTACTGCAACACAATGTTGCAGCATATTGACTCCCTAAGAGGAGTACTTCTGTTCCTAAAGCTTCAAAGAGTGCCAGCCAGAGAGCAATGCCCTCCACCAAGATATCATAAACCGTAAGGGACTCAAGGAAACTACCCCATTGGCCTCTCCAGCTGATTTCCACTATTTTCTGCTTGTTTACTAACTGACACACAGGAGTGGCTGCAGGTGAACTGGTAAAATAGTTTGCTTCATGGGTTTGAGTTTTGTGCTTCAATCATTTTATTCTGCGCTCTTGGAAATGCAAGGCTGTGGTTTCATTTATGCATTCAATCCATCTCATATTTCAACTTCCTCTTCCTCCTTCTTTGTGAGGCAGTGGCTGTGCTGAACCGGTGCTTGGCCGAGGTAAGGGAATGGATGAGGGCCAATAAACTGAAACTCAACCCAGACAAGACGGAGGTCCTGTTGGTTGGCGGATCGGGCTTCGGAGAGGGTGGATTTGACCTGGTCCTGAATGGTGCAACACTCCCTCTTAGGGATAAGGTCCGCAGCTTAGGAGTACTCCTCGACCCGGAGCTTTCTTTGGAAGCTCAGGTGACAGCGGTGGTGAGGAACGCCTTCCTTCAGCTTCGGCTGATTAATCAGCTGCGCCCCTACCTGGAGTACGACTGCCTGGCGACAGTGACACACGCGCTGGTGACTTCCCACCTAGACTTCTGTAACGCGCTTTACGTGGGGCTTCCCCTGAAGACAGTCTGAACACTTCAATTGGTGCAAAATAGAGCTGTCAGGTTGCTGACGGGGACGGGGCGTTATGCTCACATGACTCCAGTCCTCCGTCAGCTTCACTGGCTTCCCACTGAAGCCCGGGCCCAATTCAAGGTGTTGATTATGACCTATAAAGCCCTAAACGGCTTGGGTCCTGGCTACCTGAACAAGCGCTTATGTCCGTATATGCCCGACCGCCCTTTGAGATCTGTGGGAGAGTCCCTTCTCCGGGAACCCTCCATGAAAGAAATTAGGAGGGCAAGTACTCGGAGGAGGGCTTTCTCTGCAGTGGCACCCAACCTATGGAATTCACTCCCCAAAGAGGTCCGCCTGGCACCATCGTTACTGGTTTTTCGGCGCCAGGTAAAGACCTTTTTATTTAAACATCATTTTAATTGTTAAAACATATGATCTGGCCAGGGCAACTTCTTCCTTCTCTTTCTCCTCCTATATTTTTATTTACTTATTTTATACTGATAATTTTAATTTTATATTTGTAAATCAATGTATTTTTTGTATTTTTGTATTTAATGGTAATTTAGTATGTACTATTGTATTTCAATGTATTTTATCGTGTTGTAAGCCGCCCCGAGGTTTCGGCAAGGGGTGGCATAGAAATGTTATAATAATTATTATTATTATCATTATCTTCTCCGATGAATCCTGATGCTCCGAAAGTACAACAACTGCAGTGTCATCATTTTTGCTCCCAGGGAAAGTTCTGGCTTGACCTGTTTGTCTTTCTGCCAGTCCAGAGCATTTGCAAAGTTTCTCCTCTAGCAGCACCATGTTTCAAAGGCATACATTTTCTTCTTGTCAGCTATTTTCACTCTCCAGTTTTCACACCCATACATAATGATCGGAAATACAATAGTGTAGATGATCTTGTCCTTGTTCTCCAGTGAAACATCCTTACATTTGATAATCTTTTCTAGTTCTTTCCATTGCTGTACTTCCAAGTCTCAATCTACTCATTTCTTGGCTACTATCTACATTTGAATTGATAATTGAGCCAAGGTATGCAACATCTTTACCAGTTCATGTTCCATAAATCAATGATCTTCCAGTGATAAAGATTAGACTATTGCATCAATTTTTAACAAATCTCTTTAAAACAGCAGAGAGCAATTATAGCTACTCTTACTTCAGAAGAGAGAGTAACTTTTCCATATAGCCCAACCACACTTTAATAGAAGCCAAAGAAGTCCTTCTCATTTGCCCTCCTTTGAAGGGAGATAAGTAAACCTTTTCCCAACGTTTCAGGAATGCATTGCTGTCAGGGGTCTGCCAGGCCTCACCACTACAAGGCTTTTAGAAGGCTCTGAAAATATATTTGCTTATTTATTTACCTTGTTTGATTTAGTTTGATTTTTATATACCACTCCATAGGATCTGGGTGGTTTACAAGAGATTAAAACCAACAGTAGTTAAAATTTCAACTAAAAATGCACCTATTTAATAAAACTAACCTGGGAATGCCTGACATAAGAGACACATCTTTAACTTCTTGAAGGTAACAGTCTAGAATATCTGACATCTCTCTCCTGTCACATCATTCCATAGATGTTTCCCTTTTCATTGGACTGGGTTGCAGCTGCAGTTATGTGCCATAGGCTTGGCTTATGCTGATGTCTCTTCTTGGCATTTGTTTTTTCAAATATTTACTTTTTAATTACCACATCCGTTTTCATTATGTGGATGTTATTGTTGTTGGCTTCTGCCTTGAAAAGCAGCCAAGAAATACCTTAAATAAATGCAGAGTGAATTATCTGCCATTAAATCCAGCAACCGATGCCCATAGAGAACAGATCCATGGAAACGATAGAAGAAGGTCTTGCCTTTTACTGGCTGAGTTACACTGGTATGTCTGGACAGAATCAATACATAGCAATATGGGTGTTTCATTAATCTGTTCAAAGCTAAAATATGTTTGGGTTGTACTGCCACAGGAAGCAAAGATACCTGCCTTTAGAACAAGTTCTCTGGCACTATATTTATATAAGCACCCCACGTTCATTAAGTCAAAGACCTAGCAACCCCTCTCAATCACAAATCTGACTTAGCATCTCATTTTGCCTCATAAGCACATGCATGAAGGGTGGAAGCTGTTCCCTGTTCCAGAGTTGTGACTGTGACAGATTGCTCAAGAATGTTCAGGACGGTGTAAACAATCCCTGGTGGGTGCCCTAGAATATAGGGCTGGTCTAGACAGAAATCATGCATCCACACTTACACAAGGAACCACTGAACCAAAGGAGAAATCGCAACCAGCAGATCTTTCTGAACATGGCGTAAGGAAATTATGGAAGTAGACACTCAGCGAGTAAAGGAGGAATCCCTCACTCCACGTCTTGGCCAGGCCAAGCACCTGCTGATAAGCCATTTAAGCCATTTTGACTAGGCATATCCTAGCTCTTGCATTGCACTCCGGTGCAGTCAATCCAAAAGCCCTCACTAGAATTAGGATTGCGAGGGGGAAATGGAATCAAAGATGTTCAACACATGAGGGGGGAACCAGGCTGAAAAGCCTGCCTTAAGTGCTGGAGTTCTCAGGTTAGAGAGGGACGCTTGAAGTTCCAGATTCCTGATTGCACTTTTAGCTCTGCCACTGCCCCTTGTTAAAAAAAAGCACAGACAAATTGCAAATAATTCCTCATCCTGTCCTAATTAAAGCACTTCCTACTGATCTTAATTTTGCCTGGATGTATCTTGTTTCCCCATCCTTCATTAGTGACCAAGTGCAGCAGCTTAGGCTCCAGTTAGAAAAAGCAGGTCAAGTGAGCTAATCTTTCCCTGGACAGGAGAAACCTCTGCAAACCAGCCCTGAGATCACAATGGGTTTATTCAATGTTAGTCCATTGAAATGAATGGAACTTTTGACTCTGGATACAGTCCACCTTCTCCCCCAGAAGCCCTTCCCTAGTAATCCAAAGTTGTGGTTACTCAGTAAGGACACTACACCTGTTCAGAGGTGTTCACCAATATGGATTCTAGGATTGAGTCCATCCTCAATCAACAACACTGAGGTATCAAAGTAACACAGAATTTAGTTAATAAACCAGCAGACTGAGGTATAATTAAACTGACTGTTCATGTCAGGCAGATGAAATGCAATCGCTGAGCAGGCCGCCAGTCTTATTGTTAGGAACCAGTAGCTGTTTAAAACAATTAGGTTCCTCATGATAGCTGTGGAAAACCACAACCTGCTTTGGAAAAGCCAGTATGGAGTAGTGGTTAGAGGGCTGGACTGGGACTCAGCTCATCTAAGATCTAATCCCACTTGGCCATGAAGATAACTGGGTAACTTTGGGCTACTTATGGAGTCTCAGCCCAACCTAACCCATCTCACAGGGTTGTT